CGGTATTGATGCTGATCTGTATGCTTCAGGGTCCAGCGGATCCAGTGGTGGTGAAGTCCCCTGCTCAAATGATATTCTTCTACTGAAGGTCATTGTCAAGTATCTCGAGGTTTCGAGGAAAGTATCTCGAAATGACCAATGCCTCTTATGGTTAAGGCAAAGTGGCCATTGAAGTTAACACCCTGGGGTCCCAGGAAGGCGTGTCAGTTTTGTTATCGAATCTCACGATGAGAATGCGCCGGCTGAGTATTGAACTATGCGCCCGTCAACGCAGAGTCACTGATTTCAGTGAATCAAGACACAGTATCGCTAGTAGGCGTCGAGGCTGGCATCCATCGCCTTCTGCTCAGCCTTCTCACGCGCAGGGAGTGGTCAGCCTTAACGGTAATTATCCATGCAGTCGACATGCTTCAGTGATCTCGTTGACAGGTTGTGGGCACCGCACCAGTGCATAGGAGCATGGGGGGGTGGGGTATCCACCGCGGCCGGGTTGATGCTGCTCGCTTTGCTAGAAGCACGCCGACTTCAAGGTTACACCGTCGTTCCCATTGCATAGGGTTCGCCGTCCGGCGTGTGGCCACCGTGTGCCAGGTCAGGGCAGCAGGGGAGCTAGAGCAGCGCAATGCATAACTACCTACCGCTCTACCGCTCAACCACAGTACCATAGTGCCATAGGACGGTGTGCAGACACCCGACTAGGCACTCGCGCATATCCGCGTCGTCGCAACATTGGCCCGAAAAGAGCCAAAGGCGAGGGTGTGGATCCTGCAGCAGCAAACTCCGTGGCCCTGTACCACCAACTCCGGATTGGCCAGGGGAGGCCAATATAGCGCGTCAATGAAGGACTAGACTAGTGGTCCCCGACGGCCGGCACCCTTGGCGTCCCTGGTCGTCCGTCCCCTTTCCCGTTCCATGCCACACGCCCGTCCCCATAGCGAGGCCGACGGGCAGAAAAGTGTTGAATCAAACTCTGGTTGCCCAAGCGCCCCATCGTGCAATCTCGAGCCTCTGCAACGACCATGCCCAAACAACCCAAACGCCGGCAGTCAGCCGGCGTGGATGTCGGCAGTGCCAAACGGCAACGTCATTCTCACCAGATGCGCCAGATGTGCCAGATGTCCCGGCGCTACCATTGGCCCCGCGGGCCACTGGGCGTTGCTTCGCCTCAACCCATGGTGCCACACACCCGCACCAACCAGACGAGTCCATCACCGCATTACTCAATGCTCAGCTGCTCAGCTGCTCAGCCTTACTACCGTGGTCGCCCATCGCTGCAACCGATGATCTGTCGGCCCGACCCACTTGGCTCACACGTAGCATTCTCACGACGACATCTACCGTCCACTCCGTCATCTGGTCGAGGTTGGTGCTTGGCTACGGGGGAAAAGTGCCATGGCATACATCGATAGCTTAGGTCAGATGGCAAACCACGGCGGCGGGAATCCCAATCGTCCATATGCCGGAATGAGGCGTAGCCCGCGGCGTCCGCCTTTCCCACGTCGTCGCTAACCATGAAAGTGCACTGACACCGATCAGCTCCCAACCTACTGGATGCAGGACGTGGTGCGTAAGCCCACGTTCCTAACGGCGCATGAACTATCTCACGGAGCCTTCATGCTCATGATGCGAAAGGAGCCCACCGCCTGGTGAACCTGTAAGACGTCGAATACCTAGCGTCCGCGCCGTCCGGGGTCCAAATCCGTCATTTCCCACGTGTGGCTTGGGCGCTTCAGATCGAAGACCGCTGTCAAGAATGTCAAGCACGTCGATCCTGCTAGGCATCCCCATTCCTGGGCAAGGCGGACAATTACTTCCCTGGCGGCCATACAACCCTGACGACCGACTTTGAGTTCCCGAGAGCCGTAGAGTAGAGACAGTCGAGAAAAAGGGGTCCGGTGCCTGGACCAGCAAGCGATCCGCATCCACTCGACTTGAGACATACTATGTAGAAGATAGAACGCGTTACCACTGGAAGACCATCAAATGGACCTCGTCAAGTCAGAGCCGGTGGAGAACAAGAAATTCTCCGAAACGGCTAAATTCTATTGATCCCTTAAAATCTCAAAAAGTGGTGCTTTCCTCTTAGACGATGGCATCTAAACAGTCAGGCCGGGGGTGCGGTCTTGCCGGCTGCATTGACACCTCTGTAAATCTTATAGTCGCCGACCTTACCAAAGCGCAATCTTCGAACTGTCAGGTTTCTGGGTTGACTTGGTTATCAACTGATTAACTTAAATTGTTTGAGAGCTAGGTCTCCCAAATTACATTTGGCTAGACTAGACCATTATGGTGCTGTGGATAAGAAGAGCTAGTTCGACTGTCGACGACCCATGACTACCAACCAATTTAAGTCAATATAGCGAAAACACAAGATCAGACGAAATTGACCACGTAGAACTTTATCATTAGAGTAGGGCTCCTCTCGAGTCTAGACTGTTCTGGAACGAAATGAAGATGCTTGAATCTTGACTTGCCGAGACCCGGATAGAGCGAGTATGACGTTGACCCCTACGGCTCCTTGAGGCTGACTTGAACTCACGATGAGCCAAGTGTCGAACTTGGTAAGGGTTGTGAGGCTCAAAATACTTCACGCTTTTACTCTGTTCGCTGGTTTGTGCCTCTGCCTCTAGCCCCAGCAGCCATTTAAGTCGACTCTCGTCAGTGTTTGTGTATTGCTAGTAAAGCGTGTGAACAAAATAGAGATATCTCCAATGGTGCATTTTCTAGCCGAGTAACTTTGGATTCAGAGTGGCTTTCGTAGTTCAGGCTAGAAGATACCTTTCTTCTGCTATAAGAAACGTAGTCTCTCCCATGACCGTATTGATATTTGTTTGTTTTCTTTTGTTAGCTCTTTCAGTTAGCGAATTTCTGCCTCAGTTATAAACACGCTGATTTCTTTGGGTATTTTCATCAATCGACGTTGCCGAAGCCCACTGATATACTATGGTTGCTCGTTGGGCAGTTGATCAAATTTGTGGTGCTCGGTTCTCAAAAAAGATTCCGGAGATACCCACGATGTTCATAATGTAGGACTGATACAGTGTTGAAATTAGCCATTCGTAGTTTACACGCCACTTAAGCTGGTTTCATAGTACTCACTGCGGCCCCTAACATTGCGAGTTGGGTGTTTGGGTCAAATGTATCTTTCAGAACTCCTAAGCCATTCCTCGTATAAGAGTCGTTAGGCTGAGCGCTGCTGTATAGTCTGCCCTACCGATAATATAGGCATAGAGCCATGGAGTGGGCGGCTACCTGTACTGCGTCACGAGTCGGTATGGCAGTGAACGTGTCTGGATCTTTATGGCTACTACAATGTTTCCTATGGGAGTGACTATCTGGAGCTTATGTGAAAGTGTCTTGGCTGGCGATCTGCTCTCAATTCCATACCTTGAGGTTGTTCTCCTGAGAACAATCATAATCACGAGGAGAGGAGCTTCGATGGAAGGCGGCGTGTTTTGGGTATGGCTGGGCGTAATTAGAGGCAGAAAGGCTTGGAATGTTCCAGACATATGAAGTATCCAGTCGAGATGGTTCTTACTGATCCCCATATAGTCACCTGAAGCAACCGATCGTGGCCTTTGATTCAGATTACAGGTGCCCTAGGACTGCGAGACATAGACAATGGGCACTTCCCTCGGCCCCCACAAAGAACTAGTATGTAGATTGGACGTGCTAAGTAGCGTTATGCAAGTGCGAGTGTTTCGTTTGCAATATTGAGCTCACCCGCATAGAGATTCCATGAGGATTTTACCATAATGTAAAACTGTTCAGATGAGCTACCTACTCCCTTGACGATTCCCAGATGAGGAAGACAGGCAAAGATCTCGTGGGATTCCGTGAATACTTTTTTTTTTTCTCGTCCACGACTAGATATCCCCCGAGGCTTCGAAACATGGACACGAAACAGACATGCAATCAAGTGATCGTCAAGCAAGGAAGAAAACATATGAATGTATGTATATATGTAATATAAACTGTATGGGAAAGACGGATGCCATATGTGACAAGAAAGCAAGAGACGAAGTTGGAAGATGTGGCACACGAAGTGGTGGCAGCATCCCTCTCGCTACGTAGCAAAGGCAAATCTGAGAAAAATAGTACGGGACGACCTAAATCAGCGGGCGATGAACATTCTGTTACAGCTGGCGAGCAGGCGTACTTGGCGACACCCCAAAGCAAGACAAAGACTTGGCCATCAATTCGAATCTTGAGACAGAATTTAGTAAAAAGTAGCTTGATCGCAGAGCTGTGTTATGTTTCAAGACAGATTTCCCCTGATGTTACATATCAGGTGACCATATCAGTCGGCGAGCCTAGATCGAATGTTGTGGGTGTACGGTAAGCTCTTTCTATATCAGTCACTGGGCGACTGACTATCAGGGATGGCTTGAGACTTCTTGATATTTACAGTATCTCGTTTCTCTGCCCGGATGATCATGCCGCTGCCGAGAAAATATGCTTGCTATCTACGGGGATGTGATTCAGTCCAGCTATCTAACCGGTAGCTACGTGTCCATATTGCGCCCAACTTGAGTCTATGCTTCATCACCAACTGGGGAGCCCAGACGTCACCAACGCCACATATGAAATGAGAACGGCACCATCCTAAAGTTCAGCAGATGTTATGGGGATGATGTGCCCTCAACAACTCTCTCCTGCTCATACCATTAAGGCGTCATGATCTGTCGGCTCTCAGATCTGCCAAAGTTGCACCTGTCCGTTGAAACTGCCACCAGCCGGCTTACTCATATGCCGATGCAGTCTAATCCGTTTTCTGAGATCCATCCTTCTATAAGTATTCCCCGACTCCGAAATTGACGCAACGCCAAGAACGAAAGTCCATTCAGGCTGCATCAACCTGTCTCCTAAGTACCGCTGACACTGCTGGTAGGATGATTGGTGCAGTCTGAAATACGCCTGAGAAGTGCTCCAGCGAACCAATTTAGCCCGCTCCCTAAACTGATATAGGTCGCACAGTTGGTTGACATCGAGGATTGCGACTACGACAAAGCATAGTTCATCCTCAGCGCCTGCTGATCCTGAGGCTGCAGCTGCCCGACAAAACTCTCGAACTGAGGAATCAGTTGACGGTAAATGTTGAGTGTCTGGTGGGGAATGTTAGCATATGGTGTCTCAAGTATATGGAATGGGCATAGCATTAATTACCTTCTGGAAATCCTCGTGCAAGCCATTCTTCGTGTCGCTTCGCAGTTTCAGATCCCTATACCGAGCAATAGCCGTGAAGTAGTGGAGGAGAGAGCTCTCCATAGCCATTGGGTTCTGCTCAACAATGGCGGTGAAACCTCTGAAGGCTGTGGCTTTCTCGTCGGAGGGGTCCACCTCGTCCATGAGTTTCAAGAACTCCTCCGCAAACTTGTCGATGTGCGGGGCGATGAGCCCGGCATTTCCGGTTCCGAGGCGCCCGAGAGCGATCGCGGCATTTTCACCAACACTTCTTGGGACATTGGGGTCCGACATTATTGAGACGAAGTGCTTGAAAAGCTCGGGAATGAACGGCGCCATGTTGCTTCCCCACTGAAGAGCAATCTCTCCTGCTGACCAACATGCGTTGTTGACGACACTGAACCCGCTTTCGATCTCCTCATCCAGAACGCTATCCAGGTCCAGCTGCTTCAGCAGCACTGGTACAACGTTGTTCAGAGAGCTTTGGAGCTCGCCGAAGACATACTTGGCACAATCCCCAAGAAGTGCAAACGCTGATTGCCGCACCTCGTCGGCGGGGTCTTCCAAGCAAAAGGTCAACAGCTCAAAGACAGGCAAGGAGGACTCCTTGACTAGCTGAGCGGACTTTTGCTTGTCTAAGGCTTGGATAATGGCACTCAGCAGATCCAGGCTAGTGACCAGGAAGTCCTTATCAGGAACGTCCAGGGATGGGTTGTTTGCCAAGGCTATCGCAGCCTCGAGGTTGTCGTGGATGAGCTTGACACATCGGTTGAATATCGGCTGGGCGTAGGGGGTGAAAGCGTCGTTGAGAGCCATGGCGACATATGACAGACACTCAAGCAGAGGGAAGATCTCCCGCGACTGGTCTGTGACCCTCTGCCACCGATTGATCAAGGCTGGCATGAGTTGATTGACGAGCTCAGGGCGAGCCAGAACAGGACCGATATGCTCCGCCAGGGTCTGGACACAATCGTAGAGGATATACATGTTCCTGTCCTTGTACTTTGCGAAGCAGCTCACGAATTGCTGAATGATGGGGCCACTGTATGGCTCCAAATTCTTACCAGCTTTCTCCTCCAGGTTTGCGAAAGCCGAGGCACCGGCTTCCTGGACTTTCTTGTTCCTATCCAGCATCTTTAGCAGGATGCCTTCCATCATAGGCTCGAAGAAGGCCTGCTTCTGAGCTGGGTCCTTGAGGCCGGCAGCCCAGGCGGAATAACGGCCTAGGGTCCAACAGGTGATTTGTCGTACCACAGGCTCCTGGTCGTTGAGCAGAGTGATGAGATAAGGCACCAACTCGGGAAGGTGAGGAGTAACAACATCCATACAGCCTTCCGCGATTGCGCCCAAGGCTAGTACTGCAGCTTCCCGGTGAGGCCAATCTTCGTGCTTCAGGTTCTTGGTCAGGTAGGGCAGGATGGACTCGAAAACGGCACCTCCGTAGTCCCTGGCAAAAACATCCAAGGCGGCGGCTGAACACTTCCGAAGGGTCCAGCGCTCATCCGGGTCCGCATCATCGCCGTCATCAACGTCGTCAATTTCACCTTCCTCCAGGTCATCGTCCATGCTGGCGAGTTTCTCATATGCGTTCCCATTCTGCGCGCTGTCGGCCGACGCCTCACCGTTGGCTGTCCTCGCGGACGACTTCTTCGCAAACTGTGGCTTGATGTCCTCCTCCTTATCTTCCTCATCCTCATCGTCGGAAGCTCCACCAAGCATGGCAATGTCCTCTGGGCTGTAGACCATGCACTCCAGGAGGACAGGGATGATGCTGCCAATGTATGGCGTGAGGGATTGCCACAGGTCATCGTGCTCACCAACAGCCAGCCAGAACTCGGCAGCATCACAAGCGAGCTCCTCGTCGTCTCCCTTCTGTTGACTGATGATGTAGTCAACAAGACCCGAAAGATGCGGTTGAAGCTTGTCGGCACGAGTCTCCACCAGCTGCACAAAGGCCCTACAAACCTGTCTCCGAACGTCCGGGTTGTTGTCACTTGCCAGAGTGAATAGGTGTTGTAATAGGTCGTCAATAGCGTTGAACATGGCCTGGGACTTGCGAGGGGTGAAGACGTTGATGGCCGTCAGAGCCTGAGCACGAACCTTGGGCAAGGGGTTCTTGGTGGCCTGAATGAGCTTGGGGAGTATAAAGTTGAGGGGTCGCTGGCCGTTGAGTTCGCGCTCCAGCATCTTGGTGTTGTCCTCGCAGATCTTTGCCATGGTTGTCATGGCACCTTCTTGGGCTTCATTCGAGACCTGGCCGGTCTCGTTCGAGAGCAGGTCCAGCAGCTTTGGTAGTAGCTCGGGCCAACTGAGGAGACCGCCGCGACGGATAATCTCGGTGGCGATGTTGCCAGCGTAGTTGCGCATCTGGGAATTTCTATCCTCCAGGACCATAGGGATGGCCATTTTTATAAGCGCGAAGCTGGCCTCTGGGATCTGCTTGTAGCCCGTCCTAACGTTGTTCTTGAGCATAAGGGCGGCTGCAGCCCTCACCAGATGATAGTCTTCGGGGGAACATTGCAAGCCGGCAGGGGGCTCGGCACTGGAGAAGAGGTAGACAAGGTAGTTGTTGAAGTCGGGCGAGGCCTTGGCCTGGCTGAGCATCTAGATACGACGAGGTCTCTGTTAGCACTGTTCTGTAGCGACGTCGACGGAGAGCTGCCGTTGCCTACTCACCAACTCTGCTTGTTTCTGCGCAGCCTTGTTGAAGCCGCTGAGGGAGTCCTTGAGACAAGCGGCGAGCTGGCCCAAGGACTCGGGGTTCGGCTGCCACGCCATGATGGGTAGCAAGCTGGACGGCGAGTCGGTCAGGTTGCGCCTGGGTTCAGCGCCGGGACGAAGGCTCTGACTGGCACAGCACGAAGTGCTCCTGTGGGTTGGATCGGCGACCCTGATGCTGCTTCTGATATGCGGGGGAGAGCAGTGTTGCAGGATTTTGCTGTCTCTCGTCTTTTCGTCCGATTGCGCAGCTCAAGGCACCTGGTACCAGAATCCCAGCGAAGCCAGTGTGGGTTCAGCGGGAAGAGTGTCGCTGGGCCAAGATACTGAGCGCAACAGGGCGACTGGTAGTCGGCACAGGTGAAGGCGCCGTGAGAATCCAACTTGGTCGTGCGTATGTATGGGTTATGTGTGTAATTGATAGAAAGGAAGCGCAGGTGGGAGGGCTGTCAGTCAGGCGCAGGCGTTCACCAAGGTGCCAAAGGGTCCTCCTACTAGTTCTAGCCTGGAGCAGAACAGGTGTGACAGATGGTGGCTGGCAGAGGGGGAAAGAGAGAGATAGAGAGAGCAAGCGACAGCAGCTTTGTCCTCGGTGGAAGCTGTCAGTTGACGCTGTGTCTCCCGGGTCTCCTCTGGGCGGGCGGCTTTTTTGGTGGTGCAGTGCTCTGGTTGCTGTGCTGTGCTTTTGCTTGTGGTCTGCTGCCCAGTGTGGTGGTCGGTCTGTCTGTCTGTCTGTCTGTCTGTCTGGTGGTGGTGGTGCTGTTACTCTGCTGGGTCGCTGCCCGCGCGCGTGGTGGGGTTGGGATGGGTATTGCTTTTTTCCCACCGCCTGGGCGCGGGGGACTCTGCGATTGCTGCCCTCTTTTTTTTTTTTCACGCCCATTATGGATATCCATCCACGCATCCACGGGCGGGCAGTGGAAGCGGGCGGCCCAGGACCTGGATCTTTAGCGGCTGTTCGACCCTTTGCGGCCCGTTTTTTCCTTCTTTCTTTCCACACCTGGGCATGCCATTGGGTGGGCTCTGCGGTGGGCACCACTAAACTTGGTTACAGAGAGCTAGCTGCAGCAGATGACAGGACAGACACCGTTAGTGCCTATTGTGCTAGCGTCCGTCATTCAGCGATACCTGTCATGATGATGGGCTCTCTAGTGTTTTACTCTGCGGTGGCACTACAAAAGCAGCACCAGAGGGGCATCTTTGTGAATTCCCGGTGAGTTCACGGTATGGGTTATGGTTCCTGGTTGTTCGCTGCAGATGGCGGCTGAGGCTTTGATGCGGCCAGAGCCAGATCCGATGACCAGGGCTTTCGTCAATATCAAACCGGCGGGACCTGCCAGTATTGGTCCAGGACACCCAGTGGAGGCTTGCTTCGCCCACGAATACCACGTATGACCAACACTTAACACGGAACATGAAACCTTGGAAACCAGACCATGATCTGTCCCTACTGAAGTTTTCACCCTCTTGCCCCCAACACCCTGCCTGTCCAGGCACCACAGAGACTGATACCTAGCTGGCTGGTCGAGCTCTATGGAGCAACAAGACCGGTGATCCCCATCAGCCTTGCCGGAGTTGTGTACGGCGGATCAAACCAGGGGCCTGTTCGTGAGAGCACCCAACTTGTTACTGTCCATGTACCCGGCCAGTCGTGTGTTGAATGTCTCTGCACCCCCACCTCAGGTGACTAACGACTTGGAAAGTAGCGATCAAGACACCAACACTGACAACGAGCAACGCTGGTGTGCTGGAAAGGTGAGCAAGTACTTTACAGACGGGGAGCTGTTGTTTTGCGAGGCAGGAGCTGGTCAAAAGAAATTATGTGATGGCCTGATCCCTGCAACCTTCCCGATGAGCCTCACCCGCCTTAACTACTTTGACAGGGGATACTATTTTGACCACGCATGGAAGCCATTGCCGATTGTAGGGTTCTCTCATACCGGCCGAGTGAGTAGGCCAGTCCGGAATCGTATGGGCAAAGCGCAAATTTGTCGCCGTCTAGTTTCTTAATACGCGCCCTTGTATTTATACTCTATATTCTTTGTGGATTCGCTTGCGACGTGTAATCTGCCTAGGTACTTTGTCCGTCAAATCTTCTGCGGTGCTTCTCTCTCACGCAGCACGATTGCGTGTCATCAAATTCGAGTCGCAAATGTGACGCTGTGAGCTGATCCTACGGCCACAACCAATCTCTCCATCTCCCCACAGCCCCAGGCTGCTGGATGGCAATAAGACGGCCAACCCAGGTCCCCCAGGCTGGCATGACTCTCGAGATGACTGTAGCTTGCCTTGACTGCAGCCCTCGTTTTACACGTGGTGCAAGGGGACCCCGAGGTTAGGCGTCTGCAGCAACCCGTCGGCAACCGGAAAGCCCATAGAACTGCGAGCGTCCGTATGCGATGTGTGGACGTCATTGGCAACAACCCCGACAGAGATTCCAACAGGCCGTTGGGGGTAAGATTCTGTACGATTGGCGTGGCCGAATCACCCATTGATGAGAGTCAAGTCATGATTGACTTGGTGTTTCTCGAGGTTCCTCCGTTTATCTACCCATCCAAATGATGCCAACCCCCAGTATCGGATCACTCGACGGCCGCCGAGTTCGTGGGACTGTGCAACCGGGGCCGGCGCCATGGTCGCTGCGTTGGCACCGTCTACATGACACAACTTTGTCGTAAGTCGAAGCCTCATGCCTCGTGCGTCCCGTTTGACACATTTGCCGGTGGTTGACTTAGATGCTGCAGCTTTTCCAGAGCGACTTCGGCGACCTTCTTGAACGCCTCCATCTCCTCCTCAAAAGTGCCACCTAGGCCAGTGCTGGCCAGACTGATGGAGTTGGACAGATATACATGCATCTGCGTCTTCTTGACAAGAATCCTGGCGAGACGAGCGGCAAAGTCATAGGTGGGCTCCTCCTTGTAGATTGGCGTTGATAGAGGAACGCCTGGGTTGAATCGCTGAGAGCAATGTTAGCGACTGTGGCCATGCAAAGCGCGAGAAGAGTACCGACATCGGGTAGTGCATAGACCATGGATCCCATGGGGACGGCGTTCCCATTCTCCTCTGCTGACACAGTTGTCAAGTGGACTATGAGCACTTTCGACTTGGTGATCAGGCGCATATGCACCCGGGTGTCCAGCGATTTGGGCAACGGAAATGAGACTTGCTCATCCATGATGGGCGTGAGCGACAGCATGCACAGAGCCCAGAACTGGACCAGAATAGCTGGGCAGGACGTGTGAGCACTGAGCAGAAGTGGTGAGAACAAGCCGGAGAGTTGCGTTGGATGAGTGCAGCTTGGCCCATCGGTTTGTGGCACTATCGAATGGCCCAAGCTCCACTGAAGGACATTAATTGCACTTTTTGGTATGGCGCTGCTCAGCTTGACCTCAAGCAAACCTCCAGTGGAGCCAAACCTTCTGCCCGCCCGGCCATTGAGCCATGTCCCACATGCACGAGAGCAAAAACCGAGAGCTCGAATCGTCTTGTTAATTCCTCACCTTTGCACCAAACGCAAGATGTTACACATATAGTTGGATCCGGCTCCGCTGCTTTGTGAGGATGAGTCGGAACTGACCTCGCTTCTGACGTCTACTGCCCCTCCTCAGCCATCCGTCCGGGCTGCCCCGCTATCGGTGCCGGAGTCTGCTCGGGCAACATCACTCGTTCTTGCTCACCTCGTCTGGACAACAAATCTCCGGGCACTTCTCACCAAACAACCAGAATGGCGGAGCAGGCAAATGTGCCTCCCACAGAAGAGGCTCAATGGAGTGGCGTCGAGGATACAATTGAAGACCCTGAGGAGGTAAAGGTTATTTTTTCGGCACTGGACTCATTTGCGTTAGTATAACCCCTCCAGATCCTTGCAGTATATCACACAGATGCGCCCCCATCATATGATATAACTCGGGATTTCATGATGAATGAAAAGCAAGTGACGGAAACACTACGAGCTAACCACGTCTTCACAGCCAATATGGCAAAACGGCGCATCTGAACTGCACGCATCTGCGCCGCCAAGCTTTCTACGCGCTCCCCCAAGCTCACTGGAAGATGCTGGCGGAGCCTCCATTCTCCTATCTCGAGACGTTGGACCGTATAGATGCGGCAATAGAGAGCAATGCAGAGTTGGCGCGCGTGATCCTGAGATGCGGCCTGCACTCGTTCGGCATGAGCGAGGGGGCCTCAGAGGAGGGCCACGTTGCCATGCCTGAGGAATGGGCTGGGATAGCAAAGTATTCCGACAACGACAAGGCCCGAAGTACCATCCGCCAGTTCTACCGTGACTGGTCGGTGGAAGGTACCGCCGAGCGCGAGTCGTGCTATGGGCCAGTCTTCCGGGCACTCGATGAGCATAGAGCACGGTACCCCGACACGTCACAGATGAGGGTTCTGGTCCCAGGTGCCGGACTGGGGCGATTGGTCTTCGATCTTTGTCAGAGGGGGTACTTTAGTGAGGGCAATGAGATCTCATATCATCAACTCCTAGCCTCGTCGTACATCTTGAATAACGTCAAAGAAGCCGGCCAGCACACCATCTACCCCTGGATTCACTCCTTCTCAAACCATATGAGCAGAGAGAACCAGTTCAAGAGTTACAAGGTGCCCGACATCCACCCTCAGCGAACCTTGGAAGCGACGGCGGGAATTGGCGCCATGCAGATGTGTGCAGCGGATTTCTTGTGTCTGTACGGCGACGATTCCCATAAGGAATCCTATGATGCCGTCGCATCGTGCTTCTTCCTAGACACCGCACCGAACCTCATCCGCTACCTTGAGGTCATCAAGCACTGCCTCAAGCCTGGCGGCATACTCATCAACGTGGGGCCTTTGCTCTGGCATTGGGAGAACCATGTCCCGGGGCACCACGGTTACGACGGGGACGGGGACCACGACGAGAACAATGCCATGGGCATCGCTGAGCCGGGCAATTTCGAGCTCACGCATGACGAGGTCGTGGCACTGGTAGAAAAGATAGGCTTCGTGATCGAGAAGCACGAGACAGGCATCCGGGCACCATACATCCAGGATCCGCAAAGCATGCTACAGACGGTCTACAGCGCAACGCATTGGGTGGCACGGAAGCCAGAGGCTTAGATAAAATGTTGGCTCAAGCAGGCATCAGCGAGAACAAAAAAAGGGGGCATCGTAGAGAGTTTTTACATTTCTCCTGGTCGGTGTGCATCCACATCTAGATGGAAATCATAGCGCATGGCATCTTTTACGCGGGTCGGCGTGGATACACGTTTGAAGGTCACAAGACATCCCGATGTTGCCATTGGTAGAGCACTAGACTTGACATCAACTAATTCTTGTGATTGGCTCTGGGTGCATGGTGCACACGGGCTTGATAACTTTGGTGTTTTGATGTGTCAAGGTCCATCATATCCCTCTATCCCCTATATATATTACATACACGGGATGATAACTACATCGCTGACTTTTCAACCCCTTGAGGCTAGGTTGCAGTCCTATACCTGGGCCAATAGCAGCCGCTGTGGTAGCTGAAATGGAATTTGCCATGAACAGCTTGAAGTCCAATCGATCCCATCACCACAAATGTTTCTTGCTTCCTCATACCCTCACAGCTTTGCCTTGTCCTCCTCCCCAGCATCCAGCAGCCCGCCCCGCGCCCACAGGCTGCCGCCGTCAATCTCGATGGCGGCGCCGTTGACGTGGCTGCCGGCCCGCGAGCTCAGGTAGATGACGACGCCGGCAATGTCCTCGGGCTGGCCGAGGCGGCGCATGGGGTTGCCGCGGGCGTGCTTGTCGAGCCCGCCGCTCATCTCCAGCAGGCCGGAGCTCATCTTGGTCGGGAAGAAGCCCGGGCAGATGGAGTTGACGGTGATGTGGCGCGGGCCCAGCTCGACGGCCAGGTTGCGGCCCAGGTGGAGGACGGCGGCCTTGCTGGCGCTGTAGCCGAAGGTGGCCTGCTTGCCCAGGGTGCCGATGCCGAGCCCCGCGACCGACGCCGTGATGAGCACGCGCGAGGGGTCCTCGAGGCGCGCGCGCGCCTGCAGCAGCGGCGCGAACTCGCGGATCGTGTTGAAGACGGCCCGCACGTTCAGGTCCATGACCTTGGCGAACGCCCCGTCCGGGTGCGAGTCGAAGGCCTCGCCCCACGTCGCGCCCGCGTTGGCGAACAGGATGTCGACGTGCGCCGTGTGCTTCTTGACCTGCGCCACCAGCGACGCGATGCCCTCCATGGTCGACGAGTCGGCCGGCGCCGAGATGGCGCGCGCCCCGGGACTCAGGTTCGGCAGGGCGTTGAGCTGGGCCACGGCCGACTCGCAGGCCTTGGCCTTGCGCGAGGTGATGAAGACGGTCGAGGCGCCGGCTTGGAGGAAGCTGGGAAGAGAGACGACCGTCAGTCTTGGGGGAATCGAAGAGGGTATGCCAGAGACTACTTACGCCGAGGCAGCATTCAAGCCCAGGCCTCTCGATCCGCCAGTCACTACGACGACCTTGCCCTTCAGGGAGAACAGCGACGGAAAGTCGTGGAGGGCGGTTTCGTCAGCCATCTTTGCTTTTGGGTTCCTTTCTTGACGCTTTGCCAGCAGAAGCAACTACAGTTGAGTAGATATTTCTCCGAAATGCCAAATAGACCCTAGAGATAGAATGCAGAGAAAAGGGATTTCAAAGGGGTCTTTTGTTGGACAAAAGAGCCCCATGGTCGAGCCTCGGGTGTCTTGCATGACAAGATGCAAGCGTCCGGGGGACCGCAACGGCCCCGGATTTCGGTCCCATCTTTAGCTAGGCCGCGGGGAGATGCCGAGGCACAACAGGGGGTTGTCCGTGGGCCAGCATTAAATATGGAGCAGGTATCTTAGCTGAACTACGTGGCGTGTTCGTTGACTCTTACTCAAACCACAGAATATCGAACAGTTTGTGGACCGATTGACAAGTGATATATATATCCTTGGTATCGTTTTCAACTTGCTACCCTGCAACCGTGATTGACTCAGCTCTTGTAAATTCATCTGATTGGGGATTGAATTTACAATATCACTAACATTGTACACACACACACAAACACACACGGGGAGTATACATGTTAGGGATGGTTTTTTTTCTCTTTCTATGTATCTTCGCTATGGATAGAATATATTTATAATTCTGATCTACATGTCTCTTTGTCGGCACTCTCTCACGACATATATTCCTCATGGTTCCTAGTCGCCAGCACAGCATAAACGCCTATCTCGAGAAGTGTCTCTTCTGAGTGTCAGCTTCGGCCAGCTCCCCGAGGTCCTCAAAGTAGCCGCCTGGACTACGATTATGGCGCTTAGGAACTTGAAGTGAGATCTTCCTCAAGTGTGCCCGTGTTTTCGAGCCGCCGCCCAACTCCTCTTCGCCAGTCAACTCGGGATCTGTCACTGAGCCGTCGGTGCCTGTGGTATCCTAGACGACGCGCCTGCTTGGGCTCCGTGACATCTTCCGACCAGCTTTATCCTTGATTATCTTCTTGCTTGTGGCAGCATCGTAACCGATTACATGCATGAGATAGTAGAGCCTGCATTGGACATTAGTCTTGTGCATGTGCAATGGGGTCCGCTGTCAACTCACTTTTCTTCGTTCGCCTCCTTCTCCTTCAAATCTTCGAAGCGCTGCTGACAGTCGGCCCAAGTCATGGCACGTTTCTTGGGCGAGACTGTCTTGACAGTGAACTTGAACCGTCCGCTCACGGGTCTATGGTCAGAAACCCGGACCTCGTGTCTACGGTAGTCAAGTTGCTGTATCCTGCCGCAGCCTCGATGAAGGAGGCGATCGCACCAGGCTGGAGAACGTTTCTTCTCACTGGTGTCATAGTTGTCAGTCCCTACATCATACTTGTAGGTCGGTGCAAATTGGATGGGCATCTCCTCGAAGGCCCGGAGTTTGAAAGCTGGGTTCCGTCTGCGAGCGACAAGCAACTGGTCTCGATCGAGCAGTTTTGCCAGGTTGTTGGCCTTGACAGCGGCGACAACTGTGTCCCGCGACATCGTGTCGATGCGGTAGTTGAGATCGCCGTTGATGAGACAGATTTCGTGGTCAAGAATCATGGTTCCATCGCCGCCTCCCATGTAACTGTCGATGCGGACAGTCGGGTCCCGCTCGACCGGCAGTACGGCGCTTTCTAGAATTGCTGCGATGTCGTTGTGTCGGCTATTCGCTTGCGATTGACCAGCTGCTAGATGGCAATTGATGAAGCACATCGACGTATCATCCACCACAAACTTCACGACGATTGCCCCTTTGTTTCCATGCAGTCCGCCCATACCACGCTTGATGTCTGCACTGCTTAGGTTTCGTACGCGGTCTCGAATACTTGATTTGACAAAGATGCACGTGAATAGGCCGACCAGGGTCGATGTATGCAGAAGATGGTAAAGACAGTCGGCCGGCATAAAGTCGTCCAGGCTCCTGATGAGGAAGTCTCTCCAATCTCGGTACTGGTGGCTCATTCGCTCTTGGTCCGTTACGGCATCCTTTTTCTTCGACTTGAACAATCGCTTAGCGGTCGCTGCTTTGTCCTCCAGATCCACTAGTTCTTGGAACCCGAATATCAGGATCTCGGGCGAGTCGCTTGAGCGAAGTAGGTTCTGAATAAACATCGAGTCCTGCTCAGAATATCTGAGACTAGTTGGCGTCGAGGCTCCTGCGTTCCACGTCATAACCATTGCCTTGATGTCTTCAAACTCGCAGTATTGCGTATCAAGCGCTTTCATCTCGCTTTCCAGATAGTCGTCTTGTAACATCCCGTCCCATGCTTTGATCATATTGTCCGCACCCAACGAGATGACCTGAAGTCGGTTGAGCCGGTAACAGCTTGCGCGGTCTGTCATGATCTTTATAACGGGATTGTCGTGAGACTGCCAGTCTTTCTTCACCACCCACGGCGACTTCTCAATATCGTAAACACAGATCTTGCCGGTGTTGTAGCCCGCCCATAACTCATTGCGAACACCCGCGAGACAGCTGATTTTGTAGCTGCTGATATTGATCACACCCAAACACGAGAAATCTTGCTGGGACCATATGCTGACTTTGCCATCTGCGTGGCCAAAGTAGACGCTCCCCTTTTGTGTCTTGATGAGAGCTCCAGAAGTAACCTCTCCTGCGCCTTCTGCTATCATAGGGCGCATAAGAACTTGTACTTGAGTCCTGCCGTCAAGAGTTGGCGCGAAGACTCGAATCTCCTTCCCTGTCGCATGCCAGATCTCACTGCCTACGAGCATTGAGAAAGTGTGGCCCCTCGGCAAGCGGTAGGCCTGGTGAGGGTTGTTGTTCAGATTCGGTAGACCATCACTATCTGGACCCCATACGAACAGTGATCCAGTGTCATCCAGGGTCCACATCTCGTTGAAATGCCTGTATATCTTGATGATCTCAGTCCTTCCGTGGGCGACCGACTTGTTCCCCACGATGCTTTGGGTCGCGATGTCGGCCTCCATCACTTCCCCTAAGTTGTTTCCAATCCATAGCTTGGTGCCTTCGTCCTCAACTCCTAAGCCGCACTTGAAAGAGATGGCGGTGGCCTTGACACCTTCACCATGTGCAAAACTCATGAGGAGTTCTCCGTCGAGCAGACTCCAGACTCGGGTGAGGGGCCCGCTGGAACACACGTACTGCCCGCAAACGTCAAATATGCGGGTGTCGTATTTGGTATAAATCTCGTGCAGCCCCTTTTTCGTGAATGGCGGGCGGCGGTTGATACGCGATGCATCTGGGTATGCATTTATGGGCTGCGGTGTATGGCTTGTGGGGTTAGGCGCAAGGGTTTCCGTGACACGCGTTCCCCTTTCTACTACTGTACCATTCCTCCTCGGTGGCTCCCGGAACTCAGGTGGCGTCCTGTCAGATGTCCTGTCTACCGTCATGGATCTGTTATGAGTGCGGGTTGGTGGAGGTGCGAACTGGGTGGTGGGGTTAGAAACCACCCGCTTAGTCTGAGGAGACGAGCCGTTCTCGTGGGTAGTGGTATTTATGGACGTGATGACGCCTGGTCGTGGAGGCCGCGGAGGCGGCCTCATGGTCCCTGCTGCTCCTTTTGCCGGTTGGGCCTCGGTCACAGTCTGAGGTCTCGTGGGTAGGGCTGGGGGCGGTGGTTCTGCAGCAGCAGGAGCCAGGAGCGCCTTCCCGTTGCCATTGACATCTCTCTTGGTTTCCAATGCTGCAGAAGCTGTGTTGTTCCTGCTCATCGAGGGCATCTTTGGAGCCTGAGGCCTGGCGGGTCTGCTGGGCAGGCTTGGGGGCGGTTCCTCGCGCTCTGGGCTCCCGGGCGGGCTATTAAACGGCGATTTCGCGGTAGCATCATTGGCTGCGTCCAGATGGAACCCGTTCTGATTTACGAGTTGAGACAGACGGTTGCTAGGTTTCTCTGCACGGTTTACCGGCGGAGGTACCGCGGGTGCCGGTCTCAGTTCCCTGTCTCTTCTCAACTCGGCAGACCGTCGTGGAGGTGGCGGCGAAGGGGGTCCAACAGTTGCGGATAGCCTGGGAGACCGGCGTGGTTCAAGAACAGGAGTATGCGGTCGACTAGGAATCTTGAAGGACCTAGGAGAGGTGGAGTTTGGTGTCGTCGGGGCCTTTGCAGGATCGAGACTAAGCGGGCTGCCCTCAAAGCCGGGTACCGCGTTCACACGGCCTTTCGGCGGCGACTGTGGTGGCTCGATCAGGACCGCCGGCGGTGGTTTGAGCGGCCTGGGACTGAGGGGAGGAGGGTTGGCGATATTGAGGCTCGGGGCGTGGTCCGGTGCCGCCTTGGGCGCTGGCAACCCCACGGGCCTGAGTCCTTCCCTTGCAGCTGGCTTCCCTTCGTCCTGCGGTGTGGGTGTGGTCCGCGCCGGTCTCGTGTCGGGCACGGGAGGGGGCTTCGGGGACGGGGAGCGGTTCCTCGGCGACACGACGGATGTGGAGGGCTTTGGGACCGGCGGGGGCTCTTTAGGCTTGCCCATGGTCTCGAACTGGGCTCGCAGAGATGAGACAGGCTTCAAGGACGAGCCGTCAGGCCCGTCGCCGGCTTGAGGTTCCATGAGCGGCCAAGTGAAATATTACTGAGAGTAGGTGAGGTGATGGCGGGGCTTGGTGTTCTTCCCATGGCATCCCTCGCTACGGGAGCGGAACAGAGTGTTCATCGAACCATGGAACAGAGGGCAGGATAAGCGCCTGATGTAAACGAGTGTCGGGTGAGGTGATGCGCGGTTGAGGTCGAGGTCGAGGCGTGGGAAATTACGCTGTGCTTCGTGGCAGTCGCAAGAGTCGTCAGCGACTAGGAGGCTGAGCAATAACCCAGGCTCCTCAAAATGGTGGCCGTATCCAATGCGATGAGGGCGGCGGGGCAGAGGCGATGGTCGCTAGACGGAGATGGAGATGGAGATGGAGATGGAGATGGAGATGGAGATGGAGACGGGGACGGGGACGGGTAGCTGCTGGCGATGACGGAACGGTCCTCCTGTCTACCTAAGCTCTGCCTAGTTAGCTACCTTCACCATGTTCCGATCTCATGCGGACGAGGAGTTTTGTTCGCCGGGCCTTTGTTTTGCAAGACAACAAGAGCTGGATCAGTGATTACGTGGTTACCGAGCTACTGAAGGAAGAGGAAAGACCCCAGGGACATTCCATCAGTGACTAGCTCGAGGTAAGTCTCGTCGGTGTCTAATTATAAAGTACGGTACGGTAGATACAGTAGATACAGTAGATGCCAGCCGTGCACTCTTATTAGGCGGCCCAATCTCGAGGTTGATCATGCTTTAAATTGCTTGGCATTGTTAAAATGTCTGGACGCCTGAAATCTCAACAGTCAAACGCAGATCATAGCCAGGGCGCGCCAGGGGTTGGATACCTCTAACTACTTAAGTACGTGGAGCGCATGGTTGGAAGGGCACACGGCCAGAAGGCCTGGGAACCACGACCCTGGGCCTGATGCAGTGCGAGCTGTCTTGTGTGATGCCCGCGGCCAGATGCAATACTCGTTTCCCATTCTAATAATGAGGGATGCTGGCTAAAGCCACGACACTTTGGCGACGCACAGATGGACAACCGCCAGACCTATAATTCACTCAACTTGTAGATATTCAATATCAGCATTGCCTTGTCGCGTTGGGCATGTGTGGGTGACGTTTTCGTCCACCGCCCCTGCTCGCCTGTCCGCGCCCAGCTGCCACCGTGTTCTATGTGCCCAATCATCACGCCGAATCTCGCCTCAAGTAACGGGTCCCGGCAGGTCACTGGCAAGGGGGGGCCATCTCGCCGGGGGGAGGGGGGGGGCTAAAAGGTCAACTCACGCAATCCCGTCCCGACAGCCACCAGCGACAGCGATGCCGCGGTGGCAGGGTCCTGGCTGAGGCGACAGTAGCGCCCCTCTGTGCACTCAGCTGCTAACTTAGCAGCCCAGTAACTACCTAACTTAATGGGCATGTGCAGGCGCAGCGCAGCGCACCCGTTGGACCTAAACTGCATGGGGGAGAATCGTACGACATCTCCAAGTAGCGCACCGTGATGTCAAAAAAAGTTTCCAGAGTTTCCCACTGCAACCACTTCCCCATTGTGACAGACGTGCGGCCAAAACCAACGATCTTGAGACTTATTCATCGGCAACCACAAGCAAAAGTTTCAACGTGTGACCCTCTAATCAAGACCGTCCGCAAAATCCAGATTCACAATGAACACAGTAAGTCCGTCGCTAAGGTCTACTTGGGCAACCCGTCCGCTAACCACTTACTAGGTTCGATCTTTCTGGTACGCGATCCCGCAACAAAACCTCAATAGACTACCCAGCTAATGACACAATTGACGCAGGCTCGGATGGGGCTCTCTCTGTGTCGGTATGTCGAAGAACCCCTCTAGAGACATTGCTATGGCCATCTGACAACAACGTAGCCGGCGGAGGCGCCTACTACTTTGCGAAGAAGCAGATCAACGCCGATCGAGCACATCGGCTTGAAGAATCGAGACGGAAGAGACAGATGATCGATTCTCTCGAATACTCAGAAAACGTCCCCAGCAAGCCCGGCTCGGCCGCGACCATGGGGGGCGCACCGCCGACGGCCAACGGAACATCGCCCCGAACGGATCCATCGGGATCACCAAGCCAAGAAGCGAGCAACGACCCGGCACCCACAAGGCATGCGCCGGCGACGGAGGGACAGAGAGTATTCGAGAAGAGCAAATATGAGAGCAGCACGCCTTTCTCTAGCAAAAAGGGGGATCGGTTCTCGTAGCGGTCGGCTTCATGCGTGTATTATAGCAACCCTCGGCGGTGCTCGGATGGACACTGGCCGTTGGATGGCTCCTACGGTTTGCCTGTAAATTACGTGCCCCTTTCACTGCATCGAAACCCACTGGATTTGGTTGAATATTACGAGGCTGGGAGCAAGAATGAGGAACAATTCCGCTTCATCAGAGCCTCCCGATGGCGTGCGTGTGCCCTTCTGATCAGCAGGATCCTCACTCCTGACGACATTATACTTGTGCATCGAGTCATTGATTCGCCTGTGAATGCCCATCTCTTCATGCCCTTGGTCCAGGGCCCCCGAATATAAGAAAGCCGAACCTCGTTGCCCTGCATGCTGCAAGGTAAAGTCAGACGTCATGGGCGCTTCACGTCGCCTCAGCTCACAGCTGTCGCGCTGAGCTTCCAAGCTGAAGTGGGTCCGCCGGCAGGCAGTCTCCGGCCACCGCGATTACCTAAGGATGGACCGGACTGGCGACGCCCGCATTCTCGAATGTAATCACCACTACTGAATTACACAACACAACCAGGCTGAATGCTCCCCCGCCGACGTAGAAGCTGAGAGCGCCAGACCGCTGGGGCACCTAGACTTCCTCCTTCTCTATTCACCATGGCGTCGCCACAGCTTGCGATCGCCAAGGTCTCGTTCTCGGCCGTCCTCCTCCGTCCAGACCCAGTCTCCTGCCCGCGCACCGAGATCGATGCGTTCCTCGCCCAGCTCGACGCGACGCTCCTGCGGTGCTCTCCAGCCAATGTCCAGGTTTGAAAAACAATCTTAGCAAATTTTGCTGTCTTGGGCGACAACTAAATGGTCGTCACGATCTAGAAATGCAAGCAGTGGATTTTGAGCCACGTAGTGCAGTCCGCCGCGAGGGTATCGGCCCTGGGCAAATATTTGACGGCCTTGTCCGCGTCCTTCAATGTCGAGGTCGCGGCGAGTAGGCAGGCCCGGGAGCCGTCCTCGAAACGGAAGAGGCTGCATGTACTCTATGTGCTCAACGATGTGCTCTATCATACTTGTGTCCGTCAGCGTACGGACACCCTCTCCTCACAGCTGGAGCCGTCTCTGCCCGCTCTGGTCCGACACGCTGCTGTCTTTGCCAACTGTCCGAAGCATAGCAAGAAAGTGTCTGATCTCGTCCATCTTTGGGGAGAAAAGAACTACTTTTCGACATCGTTTATCTCCAAGCTACAGGACATTGTTCTAGAGGCACCATCTTCAGATCCCACCGGCGCAAACGAGTTGCCAAGCAATGGCGCTTCAGCAGGGCCGAGATCTTCCAGGGATGCGCCCTTTATTATGCCTTCCATGCACGGCGATGCAACTGTACCTTGGTACGACTTGCCCGCTGGCAACTGGCTACCTCTTATCGAGCCCAACTCGACAAGGCCAATGAACCCGTCCATGATCAAGCCTTTGCAATTCATGGCAGGCCCTGCAGAGAAGACCTTGGTCAAAGCAGTCCAGCATTTGCTGGAAGACGTTGACCGAATTTACGCCAAGGACCATGGATTAGGCGATGACCCCACTGAAGATATTGACGAGCTTGGTCAACGGATCATTGTCGATGAAATCGCTGGCGATGTCATGGCTGGCGAGACATACTACGGCTGGTCGCGCAATTTCTGTAAGAAGATGAAGCAGCGGCGCAACAAGGCCAACGGATCTGAAGACGACCGAGGCCGAAGCCTTTCACGGTCGCGATCAAGAAGTCTGAGCCGCAGCTCGTCTCGGCCGGCTTTCAAGCGGCGCCGGATGTCAGGCTCCCAGAGCCCGTATAGCAGAAGCCGAAGTCGAACCCGAAGCCCGCGTCGACGACGCAGCTACAGCGGAGACAGACGGCGTCGGCGCTCTTACAGTAGCTCTCGATCCCCTCCACCTAGAGGGGACAGCAGGTACAACCGCCCACGATCACGATCACAATCACGCTCTCGAGATTATAGCCCTCCTCCAGCCTTGAAGGGGGATCCATTATCAAATGGAAGTGGTCAACAGTTTAACTTGCCTAATCCAAATCTACCATTCCCGCCGCTTCCACAGAACGTCCCGGTTCCTTTCGGCAGTGCACCGCCTCGGCCACCCAACTGGCAAGGTCTCTGGCCTCCGCCACCGCCGCCTCCTCCCCCGATGGCGGGCGGGCCACCAAATTGGTTGCCACCATCACTGCCGGGAGGTTGGGGCGCGTCCCCGCTTCCTCCACCGCCGCCGCCACCGGTAACGCAATTCGAGGACCAGCAGCGCCAGCATCAAGGGGGCCAGTTTCAGCAAGGGCATGGAGGACGAGGTGATTTCAGAGGTGGAAGAGGTGGCTGGAGAGGAAACCGTGGTGGATGGTGATTTTGCCTAGCCGGCCGGTATTATGTAGTAGAATACCCGCAATGAATCGTCAATTTCCCACACGGGAAAACGCGTTCATACGGTACGTGATTGATTCACTTGATTCGAGCTTCGTAGGAAGGAGAATCAATGACTACGAGATCATCAGTAAACTACCAATGAGTGTCCTGAATTAACCTGTCTTCTAGTTGACTTGACGCAGAGCTACTTTTTCTTTTTCCAACCGTCCATCTGAGCAGGGAACACATACCCAGCGCGCATCGAGGTATGCCGGGCAATGCTGTCCGGGTGTGTCCGCTGGCTCTCGGCGTAGGGGTTCTGCAGGCAACGCGAAGTTGAGAGCACTGATCTCCGTGGGGAGGCATAATAAGATATCTGTGCTTGAGCGAGTGATCACTGGCGCAATGATGGATTTGACTTTCACGTGAGCCGGAAGCGCGACGATGTAGTCTACTCCAGCTTCAGTTTGAATGGTAAAGTGATAATTGCTTGCACGGTGGGCTTGCCACCGCGAGAGTATAACGGAAGACATCCAGCTGGATCAAGATCACCATGCATTCTTTTGTGATTCCCCTAGTCGAAAGAACGCCAATGAATATGGGCCGGAGCTCAGAGTCCCAGCTACAGTTACATGACATGCATGGGCTCGAGCGGGTTCAAACAAGCCCACGTGGAAGCAAATACCCTCCACCACCAAAAGCTGTATCCATTTGCCCTGCGATGTGACCTCACACACAAGGCCCATGGTCCCTCGAGCTCCTCTGCAATCCTCCATCTACCAAAAAAAAGAAAGGCCCCCTGAAAGTAAGACGTGTGACCTCCTGAATCGTGTATTCGTCCCCCATCCATGCACCACGCTGGCTTACGAACGCATCGAACACCAGGAGCAGGGCACAGAATAATCCACTGTGATTGCATATCTGTCCAATACTCCCGTCCTCGATCTCGGAAATCGAGATCTCGAGAGGACTGCAGGGCAGGAGCCTGAAAGAACGCCATCGTGAACAAGGATCAAGTATTAATCGTTTCCTGGACCGCAGTAGTCGCACAAGCCCCAATCCCTTCGCTGGTGATTTTCGAGGAAACTGTCTGTAGAGATGAGGAGAACGACGGCCCCAGGCCCTGTCCAACCTCACGTTTCTATTGACCGCCGTTCCGTAGAGGGTTTTGATTCGGTAATACCCGGCTTGTCCTCCATGGCGAGATCGGTTTGTTCATTCAAATCCTATACATAAGACGACTATTGGTTAACTGGAGACCTTCCAAGGCTGGCCAGACTCGGGCTGTTGGATCGCGAAATCGAACGGTGATACATTGCAAAGGGGGTCAGGATCGAATGGACAGTATTTCTTTTCTGGAGATCGTAGACAAGTGTCATAAAGGTGTCATAATCGCTTAACGAGGTCTATCGTGAAGGAGGAAAGCAAGAAAGGTTTTGCAGAAATGACCAGAAAACAGAAAGCACCAAATCATCGGCTTCTGGATGAGCCTACCGAACTTTGTCGTTCATGGGTGGGACGACGCTCTCTCCTGTCGCCGTCCAACTTGAGGGAGTCAAGGCGCTTCTGGTTGTCTTCACTCTGGTCGACCTCAGCAGCGCCGTTGGAGGGTTTCCTCTTCGCAGCTTGGTCCTTGATAGCAGCCCACTTTCTCTCTCGGAGAGCTTCTCGCGCCGGGGCGTTGTTCTGTTGTTCCGTGTACTCATGGGAGCAATCGTCGAAAAGCTGAGGATTGATCTCCATAAAGAGCTTCATGGCGTTATATACCATGCCGTGAATTGTTCTGCAAAAACACATTAGTTTCTCACTGCTTGCATCAAGGAAGTGGATCTACCATACCGGTTCCAATGTCCTTTCGAGTTCTCATACAGGGGAGCAAACATGATGGGAAGTATGATCTCAACGTTGTCGCTGACGAGATTGCAAAAGTACTCATTGTTCCAGAAGTATAGGGCCCGCTCGGCCACCTGGAAATGAGGGCTGGCTACAGACTTGGCCAGCTGGTGGAAGAGAGGCTCTTGGACCTTGGCAAATTCGGCAGGATCCATGACCTCAAAGATATCTTCGACCTCGTTCAAGAACATGACTTCCTTGGTGCTGTTAACCTTGGGCCAGTATCGCAGAAGTCCGAGGACAACCTCCTCGGTAAGGGATGCGTCCTTCTCGAGGAACTGTACAATACAGTATGCCAATTGCGGATGGTACATGCTGAGACTCTTGACCTTGTGCAGCGGCAGGAGGACCCGAGTCAAGAACAGCTTGTGCTCCTCCTTCAGCGGCAGGGCGAAACCATTGATGATGGAGCCGAGAATCTCGAGCAACTCGGCAATACCATTGAAGCGTTCGGTTTCGTAGGTGAACTGGAAGAACACGTTGTTGATGGAACGACGAATAAAAGACCGCAAGTTCAGGAATTTTCCGTAGATCCTGTGCAAGGTGGTCTTGAGGAAATCCCTCTCACGAGGGTCCTCAGAGTCGAAGAGTTCCAGGAGTGAGAGCACAAAGCCGTGATCGATGTAGGCCTTGGCAATGTTGGTGTTGAAATCCTGGCTCTCGATGAAACGCAGGAAGAACTCATAAACGACTTGAATATGCGGCCACGCAACCTCGAGGACAGGCTCGTCCTCCTCCGGGTCAAAAGCCTCTCCCTGGGGGTTCATGGGAGGAGGAATGGGGCGAAACAAATTCTTGGCAAACATATCGACCACACGTGGATACATGGGTTCGGTGATTACCTGGCGGTTGTTCGCCACATAGTCGAGCAGCTCATGCAGCGCCAGACGCTTGATCTCCTTGGATTTCATGTCACCACTAGCGTCATTAAAGTCGAAGATGACATTGCATTGGTCGATCTTCTGCATGAAGAGCTCTTGACGTCGGTTCGGCGGCACCTCGTGGAAGCCAGGGAGCTTCTCCAGTTCGCGATGGGCCGAGATGTCGAATCTCGACGAGTGCTGTCTCTTGGGCGTTCGAAGGCCCTCGGGGACGTCTTTTGGGGTCTGCTGGAGGCGGTCAAACATCAGAGACTTCTGGCCTGCCTTCGGGGGGGCCAGGTCATGAGGCATAGTCTCAGCGGCGCCAGGGGGAGGGACATGCTGGCAAGTCGTATGTTAGATATACAGGTCCGGAATCTCACAGATACAGTGTGCGGAAGGAGGATCTTACCGGTGCACTGGGGCTGATGATGACGGTGGGAGGCAAGGGGCCGCCATGTCTGTTGGGAGTGGCAGCGCCGTTGGGCGACTGCGCTGAGGAGGCTCCGAATCTGTCGGAAGCGTTACCCTGGCCTGCAGCTGAGCCGCCTTGACCCTGATCACCGGCGAGGGCACCGAGGTTGTTCGGCGGGAGGGGCTTGTTGCGGATGTCGTTCAGGGTCGACGTGGACGACGAGGGGGTCAGAACGGGGGATTGCGTCTCCCGCGAGCTGCCGGAGGGGGAAGCAGTGCCATCTTTGGAGTCCTTATTCTTCTTTGACGACTTGCTATCGCCCTTGCCTCGCGAGAGCTAGATAGGATTGGGGCCGTGTCAGCAGGGGCCGGCCAGCCGTCACACAGCGCAGGACCACTATGGAAATGGTGCTCGTGGCAAGCAGGATAACTCACAACTCTCTGGCTGAAACGCTTCATGGTGGTGCTCATATGACCTTGCGCCAAGCTGCCTCCGCGGACGGAACTCGCGTCTCTCGAGGCCCTCCCAGCGTTTGTCTGGGACGGGGGTGGTCGCCGAAAGATGGGGTCGCCGTCGTCTCGGGGGGGCTGAAGTCGGGGGTAGGTCTGTGTATAAGACGGCGCAAACGCTTCGGTCGGCTGAACACGTCGACAAACAGCTCCTGTATCTTGAGGCTGCTAGGAGCGCAGAGACGGCATCCGTAGAATCAGAGAGGCTTGTCTCGGGAGCTGGGGGCGCCAGCCAGGAGGCGGGCACGGCACAGGTACAGACACGGGTACAGGCACAGGCCGGGGTGGGGATTGTCGTCGCGCGGGCAAGTCGCCAGCAGGGGGAGGGGGACGGGGGGGAGGTGAAGTTGTGTGTGTGTGCCCGTGCGTGTACAATGACAAGCGCAGTTGGAGAGATCGAAAAGCAGCCGGCGACGCTCTGCACAGGAAAAACGGATCTGGCAGGGAAGCGGTCGAATTGGGCAATGTTTTCTGGCGTCGTGATGTTATTAGGTAGGGTGGTGCAGTCGAGGGAAGTGGAGAAGTGGGCAAGGTAGCGTCGATACTGTACGGCCCGCAGATCATCCAGGGGAACAGCAGACGGGACGGAGATACGTTCGACGGCCGTCTGGTGGTGGTGTGGTGTGGTGGTCGTGGTTGTGGTGGTTGTGGTGGGCAGTAACTTATTACGGTAGCCGGGTTGCGAGACAGCAACCTAGGAACCTGGAGGTATGGGATGCAGGCCACTCGAACCAGCGCCTTGGGTTCTCTGAACAATCAGACGTTCAGCAAACCAGCGCTTTTTGCAGCGCAGGCGTCAAAACACACAGTTGGCAATGGGTGAGCGGGCGTCGAGTACACGCCCCAAAGTGTATCCTGAGTACCTTACTCAACGTATGGATCTCTCTTGTGGCCGATGGCTGGGAGGGGCGTGGGCGGACCTGCTTAGGCCAAGCCTTAGGTCATAGAGCGACGACGGGCGACCTCGAGGACGCTGGAGCGATGTGCTGCAGCGCCGTGCTGCGGGGCCCTTGGCCCTCGGGCAGGTGAGAAGCGCCCCCCCCCAACAGCCAGACAACCAGAGGGTCGGCGCACTACGGCAGCCCTGTGCGGCGCCCTGGTCCCCTAGCAAGCCTAGCAAGCCTAGCACGCCTAGCACGCCTAGCAGCAGAGGCCAACCTGGTCCGAGCTGAGCTAAACTGCTCATGTGAGCTCTTGGTGAACGTCAATGTCACCTGGTTGCCCCCAGCCAGGCCGGGTTGTCCCCTACCCAGAGCGCTGCTGCAGGCGGTGTCCACGGGTACGACCGCACACAATCGCTTTGTTCCGCCCTCTGCTCGCCTGATTTCGAGGCTGCAACGAGAGAAGACAAGATTACTAGGGTGGCTCGTACAGATTGGCTGAATTGACAATTGGCACCATCTCAGATCCGTCTCGGAGAATAGCAGCAGCAACCGCAAGCACGCAACTAGACCTAACAAGTAAACATCACCAAAGATTGTTTACCGTTTACATCCGTTGACCCATGGAAACCGAAAACTCGAGAGGAGCGGATTTCAGTCAGATTTCCACGGTCCCAACAACCAATACAGGCTGTGATACAGGACCGATAGCCCAGATCCCTTGTCCACATTCTTGCTAGACAGATCCTTGAGTGAATATATAATCAGACTAGTTGGCAATGTACCTGAGATTTTGCGTGTTGGCCTGTGATCCGAAGTCTATTATTGACAGGGGAATGGTCTGCCCACCACCAGCTGGGCGCATCTGGCAGTTGGCTTCCCGGGCAGCCACAATGGCGACCAATCATCAATCGAAAGAACAATCACACTCTCACTTATTCATCTCTCCCCAGACGAACCGCTTCTTGACGACCCATCTCTGAGCTGCTCCAGACTGCTTGATAGACATCGGCTGAGAAAGCAATAGCGTTTGCACCTCTGTGAAAACCACTGCCGTGTGTGTGATCTCGCCATATGGTCGACCTGAAGATAATATTTTCTCACCCCGAACGTTGGTGATGAACGACGAGTTTGATGCCAATAACCAAGCTCAAAGTAACTGGAAGGGACCATCGAGGCGAAGGAGTCCCCTTTGGCAGCAAATCTGGGATATGGACGCATGAGAACCACGACGATGAACGAACTTAGCATTTTAATCCCCAAGACCCCACGACATCATATCGCGACATAAGCACACCATTTTGTCACCGAAACGAGTACACTTACATTACGTTAGGGGGGGCATTTGCAGTTCCCTATCTGTACGTACGCTCTGGTTCCATGTCCACACTTTCCATTCACATGTCTTCCCAAAGCGCACGTTGGCTGATATTGCAGAGAGGCAGCTCATCCAGAGTTGGCACGCCCACGATCCAGAGTTCTCGGCTAGTGAGGGTCCCGGGGACGGCCAGCATAAGTAACAACTCTACACCAAAGTCACTATGCTCGGCTTGAAAGATCTCTTTCCCAGCCAGGGGCCGAAGCAGAACCCGCACGCTGCTCCCTACTTTGAAGCGCCACCACAGAAGATCATCGCTGTCGAGCACCCATACATCATCAAAGATGTAGACAAGGCTGTCAAAACGTTTGGAACGAACCCCAACCTCCAACGAGTATGTCACTAATCTTTCTTTCATTCAATCTTTTGTGCGCTGCAATACGAGCACTGCATGATTGAACTCAGTGTCTAACCTGGGGTGTGGTAGCTTTTCGAGGATGATACCGGTAGGGTATCTCTGCCCCTTTGGCTACGGCCTCAAGTCCCGACTACGAAACCAATCATGTCACACAATGCTGCTTCCAACAATGTGGTGCTGAAGATCACAGTACCCAAGCGCACAGGGCGTAAGCGCAAGCGCGGTAGCGATGAGCCCTTCTCTGGTGATTTCGCGTGGTCCGACGCTGCTTCTTCCGAGCCTGTCTGCTCATTTGCCCGGCTTGATGACCCAACTTCGACATTACGCAAGCTTCAGGATAACATTGGAAAGTACCAAGCTGAAGCAGTGGGATATGTCAAGGATACTCACAGATATCGTGGTTTGGCCGACTTTCAGTTCTCTGGCAAGGATTATCCGTACCTAACAAAGGTGGCGGATCACCTACTTCCAATGAAGGGTATGTCTGAGTCTGGATTGCACGTTCACCCCAAACCTACCATTTCTGACGTGATCGATAGTTTCCAAGTTGAAGGAGCTCCGAATCGACCCATCTCTACATACAGGTAAAGGACAGGAAATCATCCCTCCACCCTACTTCACTGACCGGACCATTCCTTTCAACTACCTGTATGAACAGAATCCTTATGTTCGAGAGCAAGGCAAGGACGAGCATGGGAATCCCATCGTCATCAATGTCCAAAGTCGCCTCGCGCTCACATTTGGTCACTACATCAACCATGACCAATATCCAATTCCAGTGGGCCCTACCAAGAATGTCATGAATTCCCGTCAAGTTCCGCCGGACTTACTAGAGCGTATGCGTGCGGCCATGAACGAGCGGCCGATTTGGACGCGGCGTGCGCTTATCACGCGCGTCGCTCCATATTACAGCGACAATAGCCTGAAGATTGCAGTTCAGCTGGTCGGATACCAATTCAAAGGTGGACCATGGCGTGACGCTGTGATCAAGTATGGCGTTGATCCACGGACGTCGCCCGAGTATCGAATATACCAGACACTTGCGTTCAAGCTTGAGCAGCTACCTATCAACAGCATCGTCAAGAATGGCGTTGTGCGAAGTATGGGCAAGGAGGAGACGCGGCGGAGCTACTTCTGGGACGGTCAAAGCTACTGTACCAACGGCAAGTTTTGGCAGATTTGTGACATCACAGACCCAGAGCTGGTAAAGATGATCGAAGCTGCGCCACTTAGGACGGAATGCGATATCAACTCGGAAGGCTGGTGGTACACAGGCACGTGGTCCAAGGTGAAGGCCTTCATGAAGGCCAAGATGATCGCTATCAAGGCCGGGCGACTTGGATCTGAGGATGACGAACCAAAGAAGAAGGACTGTCTATATGACTCCATCATGCTCGAGAAGCTGAGTCAATACCCGGACATCAACCCGCCCAACAGTCGCACCCCTGTAAACGTTAACGTCTTGGCCCTTCTGTATGGCATGGAAGACGTTGCCGGGCTCGAAGGGATTCGGTATCGATACCGCCGGCGCCAAGACTTTAAGGACCAACTGGCAGCAATGGGCTTCCGTCGACGAAGTCGCAAGAATGCGGTGGGAGAGCAACGTCCCGAGGACCATGGACTGGGCGTAGGTCCAGGCTCGGAATCCGATGATGGAAGTGAAGGGGGCGAAGAGAGAAAGGATAAAACACAATTCCCGGACGATGCGTGGGCACATATCCTTGACAGTGATCTCAGCGGTGGCGAAGGCGGTGATGCCGATGAAAGCATTATGCCGGAGGACGATGAAGGCCAGGAAGATGATGACATGGAAGCCGGTGAGGGCGAGGATGAAGACCCGGAGGCCCGAGCCCGGCAATGAAGATGAGTTTCCAAAACGGAGTTTCGAAAAGGGGGCAAGTAGACCAAGCGTTTACCCACGTGGAAAGTAAGACCTCGGTATTGTGAATACCGAGATCGAACTCCTTCACGGCTCTGTAATATTCGATTCCCACTTGTGGACAAGTTCCCTTGACCCATTGCTCATACCTTGGGCAGAGCGACAACTTGAAAGGCCGTTCAACAGACTCGCTTGATTCAAGTAGAGGCTGGAACAAAGCTCAAAAAGTTATATGCGCACAAGAGAGGTTCTTCGAAATGCATACTCTCCGCAAGTCATTATGCACGGGGATCTAATGGATAGAAGAACAGCGCTTGCGTCGCTATTGGGGATCAAATACAAATGGCCCCGACTGCCTCCTGTGTCCGTGAGTTATGGTTCGTCACATAGCTCCGACTATGTTCCGGCCCATAAGAGGCTATCTATACCTGGAGGCCCCCATCACCTTCCCAATTATCCCTAGATTCGAGACACAGTATGCCATTATACATATGCCCAGAACTTTACCTGGCTTGATGTGCGTAGCCCTGGTCGGGCAGCTCGTACCACATCGGGGCCCCATCCGCCTACACGGGCCGCTGAGTCCCGTCAGCTTCCACGGGCTGTTGGGTCCCGTCCACCTCCACAGGCTGCCGCGGCCAGGCCGGCATCTCAGCAGGCCACGCCGACGACTGCGGGTTCCACACGTGTGTTGTGCCGTCTGCGCTTGTCTTATCCAGGTCTGGCGGTGCGTCGTACTGCTGTTGCTGCGTTGCCTGGAGTCGTTTGCGCTGGCGCCAGAGCAGGAACGATAGAACGCCAATAATGGCGAGACCACACGCGCCGCCGATAGTACCGCCCAGAATGGCGCCGGTGTTGTTGTTGCCCGTCCCTGCGCCGGAGGACCCTATGGGCGTGGAGCTGTCGCCGGAGGAGGTCGAGGTCCCATTGCCGTTGTTTGCCGAGGAGTTGGTGCCGCTCACGAAGAGTGTCTTGACTTCATCGTTGGCCCAGTTGACCGCGTCTAGGCCCCCCTGCGAGTACCAGGTCTTGACAACAGCAGGGCTGTCGTACACCGCGGCCTGTGGATCGTAACTACTCGACCATACCATCTCGGTCATGTCGAAAATGCCCAGCCCTCGTGCCCAAGGGTCCGGGTCCATCGCGGGATTTGCGCGTGCACCATTCAGTCCGCCAACAACGAGCATCTGTCTCTGTGAAGTCGAGCTGCTGTTGCCACCGATTGCCACGCACGCGTGGTCCTGTCGCGGCGTCCCCGAGTTTGGGGATTTGAACATGACAAAGCCTGGGAGGGAGAGCACGAAGACGTCTGAGGCAGTATCCGCGGTCGGGGTTGAGTAACCGGCGTGTATAAAGCTGTAGCGGCACAGTCAGCGCAGCGCTTCAGTAACATTGGCACGCCGAGGAAGACCTTACATCTCATATGTCCCGTTTAGACCCTGGGTTCCGACTGTACAGAACCGCTCTCTGTTGGTAGGTTTCGACCCGGAGACTGCCTGGTGATGCCACTTTTTGGTCCCCAGGTCCATTATCCAGATATTGTTCCAGTCCTGTTGCGCATACTGGCTTAGTACGCCAACAGGTGGCACCGAGCCTCCTAGCACGACGAGAAAACCTTTGGGCCCGAAGGGAACGTACTCGAGCCTCCCGTTCATCGTCGTGCCGTAGGGGCCCATGCCAGCCGAGCTCAAGTTTGCCCAGTCCATGCTGCCCATGTCGAACGTGATGATACCCTGTACCGCAGTCTCATTGCCGTCCGTGATGCTCGAGTCCACAGTACTCTTCATGGTACCGCCGATCGAGTACCCAACCCCGTCGACGCTTGTGAATGCCGAGCTCACGGTGCGGTGCGCGTCATTGAAGGCCACGACGCTATATGGGATGGCTTGGGACCAGTCACCGCTACCAAACCCGTCGGCTGTGAATTTCCATACTTCTTTCTCGGCCGCGGGGCCGCTGTCCGCCGTCATGCCTCCCCAGGCGAAGAAGGACGATGTCGATGGGTTGACCCACACTACTTGCTGGTTCTGCAAGGGCGCCGACTTCTTGATGTACCGCATGGTCACGGTCTCATTCGTCCATGCCGATTTTAGTGAGACGGAGAGTGTTCCGTTGACTGTGGCATGTCAATGCATGCTTTGGCTTGGTCATGTTCATTTTAGACTAAAGCTGCGCGTGCTATGTAACGGCTTGAGATGCGGTGAGCGAGCACATACCGGGATATGTAGGCTGGCTTTGGACGCCATTCACGAGCTGTCCCAGCTCACCGCCGTCGATGTACAAATACTCGCCCAGCACCACCGCTGATGCGTAAAACCGGCGGATGAAATTTTCGGGTGTAGGGTTGTCGACGCCCGCTCGCGCACCCGTGGCTAGCAATGCTAGCAACGCGTATGGCAACGTGCCTAACCGTGTGGACTTCATCACGACGGTACGCACCTGAAGGAGATGGAACAGAACGAAGAGGCACACCCGCTGAAGTGCACGACGGGGAGTCTCACAATTCTCCTACCTAAATGCATGATATGATATGATAAAACGCAGGGGGTGGAAGGAAGCACCCTACTGCGCCGCCAAAGGACCTCTGAGGTACAGATGCGACGAGCCCCTATCCAAACCATTCCGTCAATTTCTGGCGGCTGAAGCAGAAGACCACTGGACAGCCGCTTGAGCGGCAAATCATCACCTTCTTGGTTGCAGACCCAAAGTTGCACGCAGTATAGGTTGCTGCTGCGACTGACAGAGGGCAGTATCATGAACCCGTATCTAGAAGAGTGACATGCCAAAGCACTACAACGACAGTCCGACTGGATATCCAGCCAGTTGATATCTTCACATAGCACAACCGCCAATGAGCGGGTGGGCCACGGCTCTGAAGGAAGCTTGGAAGCCATTTTCAGACAGCAAACGGCGGCTGGCAGATTGGAGTTCGTTGCCACTTCGTAGAGCAACTGGCAGAGGTGTGGGACTTGCAGTATACCACTGGTTGAATGATACGCCAAGCAAGTTTGGTTGGTTACCAACCAGGCCGGGAAAGGAAACTGGCGGCCTCGGAAATCTTGACTCTGCTACTTCTGCCAGCATATGCAGTCAATCTGTAGAATGCGAGCGCTCTATATGTGAAGTGTGTGTGAGGTTCACGCGACTGGGTCGTAAGAAAGCACGGTACTTGGTATAATAAGGCACGCTAGGAAGTCAGACAGCAATCGAACTCCAGAGTAAAACTTGATCCTCATTTGCTGTGCTCCTTTAAAATTCTGTTCCTCGTGGGGTCCAGTTCCGCAGCCGTTTTTATTGGTGATGGTGGTGGTGGTGGAATACGCCGCGCAGGTTTCTATTCTACTATGGACCGTGAGCAACTATGCCGAGCCAATGACCATGCGGTGGTTAAGGGAACGAAGTGGCCACTTGCTCATGGACACCCTGCTTATTCATCGCGGCAATTCGGCCTTACACTCGCGGTCCGAACCAGCCGGGCGGGCTCGGTTTACAAATAGAGTTGTCTTAGTGAAGCAGAATCCGGGGTTTAGCGGCACCCGGGATTTGCGGGGCCTAGGTAGTGACATCAACCCCAGTTGCCTGATCTGCAGCATCTCCGTCGTCCCTATGACATGTGTCTTCTCTCCGCTTACTTTTGGTGCGCGCAGAGCTCGTTTGGACGCGCGCGAATGAGTCATATTTACGGCCACCAGCTCGGATGCGATCTCGTAAACCGAATGTCCTCACCTCAAGTGTGAGGCCTGGAACTTAAATACGTGGCCCCTCACGAGGGTTCATGAGAGCTCTGCCGAGTATAAAGCTCTCATCTAGTCCAGGTTGACTAAGGGCAGATGAGTCTCAGCAGAACTACGTTGCGACTACTGTGCAATCGCAGGGTTTCACTCCACACAAGAAGAGCTCTCAACACTATGGCAACTGCGTATACTGTCAACATCAAGCCGGATAACACCGGCCTCTGGCATTTCGGCCAGAGTGAATCCGCTGCCCAGAAGGCCACTGAACTGTTGAACAAGGATATCGAGGTACTCCTCCAGAAGCCCTAGGTGCCTGGTCCGGTGGTTAACATGACCAGAAACATCATGTGTTTTTCAACCAAGATGGCTTCCACAACCAGTAAGATCAAACAACTCTGACTAGGTGACTACAGATGGACTAACCAATGCCATAGTATAAGCCACCACCTTCTGGCACTCTACGGCACTGGCGCCTCTGCGGAAGATCTGGTCAAGGGCTATAGAGAGAATGAAGACTATCAACGGCCGGCGATGAAGGCGCATGAGAGCCTGTTCGAGGATCTCCGAGACTGGGACAAGGCCAAGAAACGCCTGGGCAAGGAGCAGTACTACACCGATTGGCTCCTCTTCTACCAACATGAGATCGAACGCCTTGGCTGGCAGAAGGCACTTGCCGAGTACATGTTCAAGGGCGATGAGCGAAGCGACGACATGTTCGTCCGGATGTACGCAGGTAAGTTCTCCGTTTGCCCAACTGTCTGGTCCGCAGACTCATGTACCGGTGATCACAGGCTTCGTCCACCCATTGATTCAGCTTATGTACGGCGTGGAATGGGATCAGCCAGCCATTGTCGCTATGGCTTTGGCTCAAGCCAGCGTTCACAATGACCAGCTCCGGAAGTTCCTCATGGAAGCTGAGGGCCAAGCAAAATCCGCCCCCACGCCCATGCCGCGGATTGCTTCACTACTAGATGACATGGCCAAAGATGAAAAGCTTCGAAACTCGCCGGACCTCGACGACGGGAATAAGGTCCGGGATGGTGTGCTGGGAAGGGCTTGGGACGAGGCACTCAAATACTCAGCACAAGTCAAGGTTCTCCCGGAAGAACTGGAGGAAAGAACCGCCGAGATGTTCAACACGGCGATTTACGAGGCATCTGCTGCCGCGATCTACAAGGACAAAGACCCAAAGTACGAGTTCTTCCTCATGCACCATGTCAACGTGTCCCCGATCTTCATCACCCTCAACAAGCAGGACTGGATCTCGGTAGAGAATAAGGTCCGAATGCTGGAATGGAAGATTCGCCTCGATTTGATTCAGTACTCCGCAAGGGGTTCCCCCAAGTTGAGCGTGGATAAGATTAAGAATTATGTACCCAAGGAGAGAAAGCCTGGCCCAGCAGTTGGTATGTCCATCCACCTGTCTGCCCCTTGTCACACAGATCCGCTGACAAGAACTGCAGAGCTCCTGCCACGTATGCATCAGTTCGTCGATGACGGGCATGCGATCAAACTATTCCGAGCCATCGGGGTGGGCAAGGAGGCGTGCAACCCCTACGCAGACAAGGAATGGATGCCAATCAAGGGAGATCTCTGGAACCAAGTCGCACACATGGTGGCTGACTCAGTCGAGGCCCCCGGACCTACTTGGGTTCGAAATGCAGGGTTCGATGAAGCATGGAAGGTAAGTCTCTATGTGAGTATTGAATGTATATGTCTGACATCATTACAGGAAGTTCATGATCGGCCTCAAGAGGGTAAAGGCCAGAGACTATAGTGAACTGCACAAACCTCCACCAGGTAACCTGGCCAGGACGGCACGTACACTGGTCGCCTTGCTCCGCAGAACGGCAATGGCGAACATCGGAATATATGCTTCGTACATTATGTATCAATATCACCAACTGCTGACTATGTCGCTCCCCAAATTGTCTAGTCTAATTCTGTTCGAATTGTCACACCGACCTGCAGTATCTTGGGTAAGACGGGTGGTCTAATTCAAGTTCAAATCTGTTGTCGCATCCTCCATCCTGACCGTTGGTCGCAGATGTATTTCATGCAAAGTTTGGATCATCCTTGGAATCAAGGTAGACCGTCAAGGCGGCTCCGATTGTATTTTCGAGAGACCGGCTATTTGGTACCTGCCCGTTACAAACAAGTAATCATCAACATTCGAGCAGTTCCCTGTTCAGTACATTTTTCATTGATCTTCAACTTTTCTACAATTTCACTTTGGGTCTACACCACTTGGGCCTCACTTTGTTGCAAAATCAGAGAATTTGGATCCTTTGAAGCCCATACTTATCATCACCCACTGCATGGCCCGCAAGCGTTACACCGTAACCTTGGATATGCCGCGGCGTCGGGCAGCATCTCCCACTCCGGCATCGCCCTCTAAGCGCTTGAAACTTTCCACGTAAGTGAACATGGAACCATCAAGGCCTGTCGAGGCTGTGCTATGTATTTGCTTCGCCGAAGCCGTATCCGGGATGAGAAGACGCAACATAGCGATTACTGTGGCGATCGCTCCAATGCCTCGAAACCAGAAACCACTTCCCGTTTCACGACATGGCTGACTAGGACTGCAGAAACTACGAAGAGAAAGTGAAAATCAAGGTCAAGAATGACGGACGGGAAGGTTACTTCCGCGTTCCCAAGGAGAAGATCATGGAAGCTTCGGCGTCCTTCCGACGCAAGCTTGCTGACGACACGGGAGACGAAGAGCTGGAGATGGAAGATGTGAGCCTCCAAACGTTCAACGTGTTCTTCGACTGGCTGGACGACCAAAAAATAAGCATCAAGGGTCTAGATATGGTGGAGGAAGATGACAAAGAGGTGGACGGTCAAGAACAAGACTCTCTGACAGCGACTACGCGAAACGCCATCAAAGATGCTCCAACCTGGTTGACTGATAGTCATCGCTCATACCCACGCATGCAATCAGACTATGTGCTCGCCAAGCTGCTGGACGTCTATCTTTTCAGCAGGGCGTATGGAGTGCCCTACCTCGCCTCGGAGGTGATCCTCACGTGGCAGAGGTTCCAGTGGAAAGTTCAATGTTTGACAGACCAGCACATCATCAAAAAAGGTCTAGAACAGCTCAACATCGAAGATCCGCTCGTCCGATACTGGATCTCAGATCACGCGCACCACTCAACGTTTGAAAAGGACGACAAGTACAACGCCCTCAGCCCTCAGTTTTTGGTAGCCATGTTACACGTGGCAAAGAAACGAGGCGATAAGGGAGGCTACAACCGCGACAACCCCGATCTCGAATGGTGCCGATTCCATGGGCACGAGACCGAGAGGGAGCAGAAGTCCTGTGAGGCCAGTCGCCCCGATGACTACGATATGCAAGAGAAATCGACGAGGCAGTACGAGCCACTGGCTGGACTGCGCAGATCATGTCGGCTGCCCCAGGTGCAGCAACAGCAGCTGCCAGGGCTTGACTCTGGAAGAGAGCCGCAAGACCCGCGACGGCAGTTGGAAGTGCGAACAGAAGGGATATTAGGGCTAAGACGTTCCATCCGTGTCAGAGCTATCCAGGGAAGCTATCGCGTAAGCGATGATGAAGACGACAGCGAAGAAAACAATGAGGGCGACGATCGGGGCGACGACCAGGATGACGATGGAGGCAGCCTCTTTATTTGATTTCGACATGAAATGCATAGAACGACTCTGCCTTGAGATCATGTGGCAGACATGGTCAGCGCAATGAATTTCTCTGCGGGCATCGGGATGTAATAAACAGAGCTGCGTAGCCTAGGATTTCAAAGGCGCAGAGGGCATCACGCCTAGTCTTGCAAGCATATAAGTTTCTCATGGCACACGGGGGAAATCCGATGAGTGAGCTTAGCTATAGCCCTTAATAGACACATGCATGCCGTTGTATATGACCACATTCCCTCTCTTGATGCGACGTAGTTGCGAAATCTCATCCAGACTCAGATTGCCACTGCACTACAGTACGTCCACTTCCACCTGGGACGATCTCCTAGAATGTACGTTAAAAGATATCATGTGGGATACAGCCAAGAGCTGCACGAGCGGAAAGCTCCACGTCACTCAGGTATCAAATTTTGTGGTCTTGCTGTCTTCATGTCCATCATACCGTCCTAAAGTAATACAATATCCACGGAAATCTCCCATACTGGTTGGTGATCTGTGCCTCCACCCGCGGAGATATTTTGTTGGTTTTGCACATGGTTCCAACCACACCTGGCCAAGAAAGAAAAGTAGCAATGAAGCCCGCTGCTCTTGATGCACATGTCGAGTCTTACATTTCATCCCCAGAAATCAATAAGGTTCTTCAGATCGCTATCAGCGGCTCCTCGGCGCGTTGTGGCCCTCGCTCGTCCCTTCCCTCCCCGTCTCGCCCGTGTCCCTCCGTGGCCGTCTGCTCAGCCTGAGTCCCCTCTGTGTTTCCCGAGTTCTGAGCATTCTCCGAGTTCTCCGCGTTCTCCGCAGCAGCTCTTGCGGCCTCAGCCTCAGCCTCGGCTGCCTCGCGGCGCTGACGTTCAGCTCTTGCTTCCGCTTCAAGGTGTGCGATATGTCGCTCGGCCACGCCCGGCGCGATGCTAGCCAGGAACAGAAGCCCGGCTCTTTCCAACCTTCTAGCCTGGTTCATGAGCCAGTTTGCTCTCGCGTTCTGTCTCTCATGTATCAACCGGGCAGCAGTATCAGCAGGTGTTGTCGGCTCTCTCCTCTCTCTTTGGTCCGCTGGCTGGCCGTTGGGGGCCTGATCGTTCGCAGCCGCATCAGGCCGTTGACGACCGTGGTTGTCAGCCAGAGGCATGATGTTCTCTAGATGTCGACGTATGGGCACCCAAATTTGTTCTGCCATCGGGTTAAGCAGCCCAGTGTTGATGATAAATACCGCGAACGCAATAGCCATCACAGTGAACCACCGTTGCCAACTGTCATTGCCAGTTGTGAACCACCAAACGAACAGGCCGAGACGGATGATCAACCAGATATGTGGCCAGATTTGAGCGACTGCGATCGCGCGAACTTGAACATTGCCAGGCCGAGCGATCGCGTGGTGAGGCTGATGCTGGATGTGGGGCAAAGGAGGCAATCCTTGTGCAGGAGCTGCTTGACCTTGAGGTTGAGGCTGTGGCTGGTTTTGGTTCACGAGATTGTCTCCAGGGGTAGGTGCCCAGATGCCTCCTTGAGGCGGCCTGAATTGGCCTTGAACCTGTCGATGTTGTAGGTTGGGCATATTGACACCAGGTTGCATACCATACGGCAGGAATTGCTGGAATTGAAACTGATGTCGAACTGCCGGGTTCGGGAACGATGCTTGTGGAATCTGAGGAGTGAAGTAGGTGCCCGAATTGCCATTGATCAGAAGTGCGCGGGGCCCCTCGGGAGACGACAAAATGTAAACCTCAGGGCCACCGGGGGAGGGTTGCTGTTGCTGTTGGGGCAGGTTTCTGGATTGACTGCTCGACCGGGGCACAGATCGAGATCGGTCTGGGTTTCCCATGGCACTTCCACTTCGTGAAGGAGCCAGAGGGGTGGTAACACGTACCGGTGGGATAGGCTGGTTGGCAGCGTTGTTGGCAAGATTCACCAGTGACGGTTCGCTCGTATTGCGTCGCATGGCGTCCGCCATGACCCTGGATGCTACGGACCCAGCATCGGCAGTCCGGATGAGGTTTTGGACTTCGGCGCCCGAGAGCTGTCCTCCGTTCATCCCCGCGGGTGGTACAGAGCGCGGGGGAGCGGCACCGGTAGGTGGTCTCCAAATGTTTTGAACATCCGGTGCCGCAAACGGGGAACCTGTCCGGGTGCTTCTCTGAAAGTTCTGAGGAGTCGAGACGGTCTCGTTGACTGTGATGCGCCACTGCTGACCATTGGGGCCTAGGCCTTCTCGAACGACGGTCCTCGTACCATCCGGCTGGAACGGCGAGGCCGTTCTACCCGGGGTGTTGCTACCTGGCGTTGGCCTTGGGTTTCCCTGCGCATCCTGCGCTCCATTCAGACCCATGGCCGCCCGTTCCCTCTGGGTCTGGTTGATCATCTCCTGAAGTCTGTGAGGATCCGCCATGCTTGCTGCCCATTGCCTCTGCTGTTGGGCAATCTGGTGAGGATTGAAGCCAAAATGCATATTCGGCGGCGCTCCGTTTACCGCACCCATGACTTGCGGTTGCGGGACGCCAAAAGGGAAGTTCGGGAAATGCGCGCCCGGAGGCAGTTGCGGGGGATGTGGGAAAGGCCCATGGGGGATATGATGGCGCTGGTTTGGATGTTGTTGTTGGTGCTGAGTAGGAGGAGCACTCGACGGCTGATTGTGGCTCGGTGCTGGAGCCTGCGTGGTAGTTGTAGGTACTGATGTGCTGGCTGGACGAGCATCGGCGAGATCGCGCAGGACAAGGTGTAGAGTGACAGGTTCGGAAGAACGAATCTGTGGTAGAATAAATTAGTCAAATGCCTTGTCGACCGAACAAGGTACTCGTCTGTGCAAAACACTCACCATATCCTCTCCAAATATCTCCAGCATGGTCTCCTCGTCTCTCGCCAGCAGCCGCCCTCTGTGTATCAGGCGCTGGGCACTGTCGGCGGGCTTTGCATCGAGGGTGTCCCGGATCTTCTCCTTCAGCTGGCGCACTGTGGTCTTGACGGGAAGCTCGGGGAAGCTGAGGCCGCGGGGGACGGCAACCGAGGGCGATATGAGTTGCAGGGTGAAAGTCGAGCCTTCGCTCCCGGACGGGGTCGTGTCGGACGAGGCGGAAGCCATTGTGATCCAAGAAAAGTAGTGAGAGGTCGGAGCAGTGCAAGGCGGTAAATCAAACGGGGTCAAGGGAGTGTCGACCCGATCCGGGGCTGTGTGGTGATCGTCACCGAAGCTGTTTACGAAAAGACGGGCTTCATGTCAGGCATCGAAGATCATTCAAGAAATTCGCTGCGTGACGTGAAACATCGCAGTCTACAACAAAAGGTCAAGGCCAACTGCAAGAGGTGGAAGAGGCCGCGTGGACGGAAGAGGAGGTGGCTTCAGAGGATATTGCAGGGCCGGTGAATGCAAGCAGTCGTCGAGGTGATCCGGCCACTAAACAACACGACGACGATTTGTCATGTCATTGTCGAGGGGAGCTTTGGTGATGTGGGAAGATCAGCCTTGTCCCCCAAGTTGGTAATATCCACGTTGGCCTCTCGGTATTGCGGGACCCCTGGCCGGATCATTTAGGTACCTCACCTGAGTTAGGCATGTACCTGCCTACCTGCCTACAGTGGGGCGGTACTGGCTGCCCTGGTGCTGACGTACTGCAACGAACAAACCGGTCTCACTGACTCGGCCAGAGGGGCGTGTTTCGCATTGAACACGCGACAGTAATTGCAGTCTTTTTGACGCTTACGAAATCGATGGGACTTCTGTGTATTGTGGACAAAAAGCTTGCCCATCAAGTAGTGGTAGTAATTCGGTGTGCTTGCTCAAGAGAGTTGGCCTCCCGTTCCCCAAAACTACCGGTACTGGAGTAGGTACCTGCGCCGAACAGTACCTAGACTAGTTGGGTACAGCACCTGGGTTACACGGCACGCTCAGTGCACTTCCAGAAGGTGACCCCATCCCTCACCTTGGAACCCGGCAGCTTGGAATCTGCCGCTAAACACCGCCCGTAGCTCTGGGCTTAGTGGGCTGGACAGCGTCATTGCACTAGCAAAGCTGCATTAGACCGAGGAGCTCGAACTGATCCGTAGACCTGGGGAAACCGACCCGCCTGCGTACAGACACAGCTCAGTGTCATCCCATCGTCTCACAATAAGGGCGCGGGAAGTCTGCAGCTCGGGGTTGGCATAGTATCCTCTCTCTCGCAACGCGCATACGAGACCGAGCTTCTGAAATACGTTTACCACCAAGTTGTGATGAGGACGCCTTAGCTGCATCGACTGCACCATGGCCAGCTCGCGACACATCCCCTCAACCACGGCCATGTCGGGAGCTTTGCGTGCCCCTTACAGCTCAGGCTTGATCCGACAACAATATCGTGCAGCCCCTAGGCATTGTACCCGACAATTCGCTTCCACTCCGCAACCGCAGTTCCAGCACTCGTCACAGAAATGGCAGAATAAGGAGAAGTTCCGGTCCCGCTTAGGCTCTGCCCTGAGAAACACAAAGGTCCAATGGTACCCGATACCGATCGGCCTGGGTGTTGGCTTCCTCGGCCTTGTGCAGTTCTACAAGACCCAGGCTCGAGAGAAGGAAAGGCTCGAGCAGGAGGCTTTGGATTCGGAGCCTGGCACGCGCCCAAAGAAGAGGCCAAGGATACGACCGGAAGGACCATGGTACAGAGCACCCATCCTTGATTGATGAGACTTACTAAAACATCTTCTAGGCAGGTCCGCGTCATGTCCACACTGCCCCTGAAGGCACTGTCGCGGCTTTGGGGCAAGTTCAACGAGCTTAACATACCGTATTATCTACGAGTCCCCGGATTCAAGCTTTATTCTTTCATCTTCGGCGTCAATCTGGACGAAGTCTCCGAGCCGGATCTTCACGTCTACCCGAATCTGGCTGCCTTCTTCTATCGGACTCTCAAGCCCGGATCGCGACCCTTGCACCCAGATCCGAATGCCTTGCTTTCTCCCTCGGACGGCAGGGTCCTGCAGTTTGGACAAATCGAGGGGGGTGAAATCGAGCAGGTAAAGGGAATGACCTACAGCATCGATGCCCTGCTTGGCAAGAACACCCCGACACCCAGCATTTCTAGTCAGTCCTCAAGCGCGCCGGACCAATCCACCGAGGCTGAGCGCGCCAAGAGCGAGCTTCATGGTAATGAGGAGCTTGTCAAGCAGGATGAGGAGTTTGCTCGCGTCAACGGGATCTCTTATACTCTGCCTAACCTTCTGTCAGGCCCAAACAAAGGTCGCAAAACTGGCACCGATCTGGAGGATCAATCCACTAGGCCGTCAAGCCCTAGTGCTGTCTCCGAAGTCCGCGCAGACCTGGCCCTTGGCGAGAAGCCATGGTATGATCTCTTGTCGCCTGACAAGAAGAACAGCCTGTACTATGCTGTAATTTATCTGGCACCCGGTGACTATCACCGATTTCATTCCCCGACGAACTGGGTTGTAGAACGACGTCGCCACTTTGCCGGCGAGCTCTACTCAGTATCACCCTACTTGCAGCGGACCATGCCCGGGCTTTTCACGCTCAATGAGCGCATTGTGCTACTTGGGAGGTGGAGATGGGGGTTCTTTAGCTACGTTCCCGTTGGTGCCACCAACGTCGGTTCTATCAAGATCAACTTTGACAAGGAGCTGCGGACGAACTCTTTGACCACTGACACTGCAGCCGACCATGCTGCGGAAGAGGCCGCCAAGCGAGGTGAGCCCTACAGCGGCTTCTCAGAGGCCACCTACGAGGCAGCAAGTGCAGTGCTTGGGGGCCATGCCGTGAAGCGCGGCGAGGAAATGGGAGGCTTCCAGCTCGGTAGCACGATCGTAATGGTATTCGAAGCACCAGCCCACAGCGATGCTGAGGGCTCGAAGCGTGGATTTGAATGGGCAGTACAGAAAGGACAACAAGTCAAGATGGGACAAGCTCTAGGATTCGTCGAAGAATAGAAGATGCACTTCTTTCTTGGCAGATCCTCAAGCCATACGAACCAGGCTAACTGGGAGGGAATTTATCTACGTGACATTTGCATGCTCGCGATAAAGGCGATAAAGACCTGCGACCTGCAGAGAGGCTTTTTGTAAGAAATCTGATCTACTGTAACTTAGGACCATGTGCGTCATTACGCTCACAATACCGTCTCATTCAATGCACTCCAATTCAGAACCGGGACGCAGGAGCGTCGGAGTGGATCCAGTTTCTCTTTGTCTTGCTAAACTGGAGAATTTTTTCTCTAACGTAACGGGAAACACTAGAACACTCCGATAGGAGCCGCTGACCATGCCTTAAGCTACTAACGCTGGGCAAAGGCATATGAAATGTGAAATGAAGTTGCCATTCACTAACAAGGAGAGAAAGTTATTGCAATTGTTTGAATCCTGATACCCAAAGCTCCTACTGTCCTCAGGAGCCGCGCTGCGATAATTAGGACTTGCGAATAGCGAGGCCGAACATTTAACCTCAAGCCCGACGCCTGACTCAAGTCACCCGAAGCCTGCACTTCGTGTTGCTCGGGGGCCCTGCGACACCACATTGCGCGACAACCAGTCAACACAGTGAGATAAGAGGTAGCACGTCGCTACCGGCGCAGTTTGTTCAGCATGGGATTCACTGCTGTTGTGGGAGACAACGGGGTCTACCCAGAGTCAAGGGTGCTTATAATAATCACCGGCGGCACGATATGCAGTAAGTGCTTCTTGATTGCGACCGCTCTCCAACTTGTCATATGGATCACTGACTTTCAGCGAAGTGCAACCTTTACCAGATGGCTCAGGACTTGCTCCAGTAGATGGATTTCTTGAGAATGCTATGGCCCCAAGGCCATCATTCAATGATAGGTCTGAGAAAGGTTAGTGCAGATTGCCATCTTGGTTGCAACCAGAGCAGACGTATCGGGGACGTCCTATAATTCTAGCAAACGTCCCCTACCACAACCCGCGGTGCTCCGTTTGCTTTGTATGTTGTGCTCTCTGGCCAAGTACACCGGTTTCCTGTAGACTTATTCCCTATCAAGGAGTTGCAAGGTGCCTCCACTAACGCATCTAGGCAGTCAAGCTCTCAGCCATCAAAGATGGCGAGAAGGTCCTCCTTGATAGTCTGAGAACACCACCCAGCTCTTATTCGCGGCACGTCCGCTATAGCGCACTTGAGTTCTCACCACTTCTCGACTCGTCGAGTATCAGCTCAGATGGCTGGACGCAGATCGCAACCACGATCAAGGCCAACTACCACCTCTATGACGGTTTTGTGGTGCTTCACGGAACCGATTCCCTGGCATACAGTGCCTCGGCTCTATCATTTATGATGGAGGACCTTGGAAAGCCTGTTATTCTTACGGGATCTCAGGCCTCGATCTTTGCGCTTCAGTCGGATGCTGTGGACAACCTCCTGGGCTCCCTGATCATCGCAGGGACCTTTGTGATCCCGGAAGTATGTCTCTTCTTCCACCACACCCTCTTCCGCGGAAACAGGACCACCAAGGTGTCGGCCTCACAGTTCCAAGCTTTCGACAGCCCGAATTGCGCACCTTTGGCGAAGGTTACCAGCATCGGCGTCGATGTGAACTGGGCCCTTATCGAGAGGACGACGAAGATTGCACAGTTCCAGGTCACACCGTACCTGGACACCACGCACGTAGCCTGTGTGCGGATCTTCCCTGGTATCAAGCCCGAGATGGTCGATTTCGTCCTGCGGGTGCCAGACCTCAAAGGCCTGATTCTCGAGACATTCGGCATGGGTAACGCACCTGCGGGCTTGGACGGTAGCCTGACCAAGGCCATCCGCTCCGCGGTCGAGCGAGGCATCATCGTGATCAACGTCTCCCAGTGCACCAACGGCTTTGTGTCGCCGCTCTACGCACCGGGCTATGCCCTCGGCAAGGCTGGCGTCGTGTTCGGTCAGGACCTCACGACGGAGGCCGCGCTGACAAAGCTCTCCTACCTTCTCGCCCTCAACATTGAGCCTGCGGAGGTGGCGGCACGCATGTCGAAGTCGCTGCGTGGTGAGCTGACCGAGCTGGCCACGCCCGCGTTCGCGCACCCCGCCGGCCCCGAGGACCTCAGCAGCGCGCTGTCCGGGGCCGAGGCGGCGTTCACGCTGCTGGGCTACGCGATCGCCAAGGGCAACCTGCAGGCCGTCAAGGACCTGCTCGAGGGCGACCAGGTCGGGCACCAGCTCCTGAAGCGCGCCGACTACGCCGGCAACACGGCCATGCACCTCGCCGCCGTGGGTCCGAACAAGGACATCCTGAAGGAGCTGCTGCTGCGCGGTGCCAGCGTGCACGAGCGGAACAGGGCGAACAACACCCCGCTGTTCCTCGCGGTCAAGATGGGCAAGCAGGACTTCGTGGACCTGTTGGAAGTTGCTGGCGCCATGTTGTGGGAGGAGGAGAAGAAGGAGACTGCGGCTAAGAACTAATGATAAAGACAAAGACAAAGACTTACACGATTTCCTTCCTCGACAGGGTAGGGTAGAGCTGTTTCTGGAGTGTTCAGAATTGATGTTACACCAAGAATGAGCGTTTCGCAAAATTACTAGAAAGCAAGAAAGATGATTGTTTCGCAGACTTGACGAGTTTATGCGAAGAGCTGGGGATCGATGGGGCTTATCAAATGATGTGGGTGACGAATTTGTCAGTTTATAGTGATATCAGTCTTGATGCTACATTGCGCAAAACCGAATGACTTGTCGTATGGTAACTGCAAATCCACAAAGCCTACAGGTCTACTAGCAGTAAACATCCACCACCTGCGATCCACAAGAATCTGGCAGCTTTGTACCTGAACATCTCGTATGACCCATCCGAACTCAAAGGAAGAGAGAAGTCTCCTGAGAGAAGTCTCATAATGCTAGGGCAACCGCGGCTTCTCGAAGGAGACAATGCAATTTATACAAAGCTGCTTGTCACCACCACAATAAGAGCGACCTTGATCCTGAGACAAAGGGACCACGTCGCTGTCCAATAAAGTATTTTTCCTTCACTGGTTCACATCTCGAGCCTCAGGCAGAAGCCGTTCCTATCCTACGCTCGGTAGCACTTGATATAGATGGGCAACGCAAGGCTCTTTCCTCGATATACCTCACTGTCGACAAGTGTTCCATCTGATACAGGGTAGCCCATGCACATTCCCCATCATGTGCAAGCAATATATTTACTACTCGCTCTGCCGCAACGTCGCGTGCGAGTCCCTGCTAGGGCAACGCCGCAGAAATCGTTACTGTCCCAGGGCCCTCAGTGCCCGGCGTCTCGGCCACTGTTGCGAAGGCCTTGTTGTCGCGCGCGAGTTTCGGCATCATGAAGGGCCACTCTGCGCCGAGTGCAAGGGCGCAAAATCCAGTTCCAACAACAGCAGACAGAGCACGGAAGCCGAGTTTAGCGATACCTCCCTGTCGTCGTTGGGGCAGAAACCAAGAACCTTGTTCGAATACACTTTCGAAGCAGCTCTCGAGAGCCAGACAAAGAGACCCAAGCATCCGCACAATAGTCAGAACCAACTTGAAGTCAAAGGGACAGGGGACGGTGACGGTGACGGTGACGAATGGCTGGAGGTCACAAGTCCAGGCAAGAGTGATGCCGACCTGTCTTGCTCCAGATGCAAGAACAGCCGGAGACGCTTCGCAAGTACTGCGAGCTACTATGGTCTTGACGCAAAGGTGAAAATGGATGAAAGAGGGCGCCCTGGGGGTTATTGTGGGAGTAAACGCTGCCTCAAGTGGAAAGAGGGTGTGCGGTGACAACTACAAAGTTCTACCGACAGGAAGCACGTAAGACTTATCATGACCAATTTCCTGATTTGATCGATTGCCCACCAGGTCAAGATCAACCAGAAGCTCTGACTGCACCAGCGATGTCTCAATGAACGCAATCACGAACTACTTACATGCGGCCCGGCATCATCTCTGTTAAGTGACGATGATTCAAAGAGACCTACAACAGACTATCCATTGCAAGCATGACATCTAGGGGCCATAGCCAGTCTGAATTTTGCTCGAAAGTTCTTCGTGGGCTTGTTTTGGTTCGGGATATGATGCTTCCCTCAGAGTAGGCAACTCGAACGAGGAAACCCATATAGTTGGTTGGTCCCTCATCATATACTATACCTTGGCCGATGTCGTCAACAGCTGCAGGTAGACATTCAGTAGCCGTACTAGGCATTTCGCCAACCTCCGAGAGTGGATCACCACAACCACAGCGTCGCCGATGAAAAAGTCAACCTCGGCGTGTCCGTCCTTGGGTGTGGCTCTTAGTGTTCCACGAGGTCATTGGCAGTGGCAATGAATGGCTGGCTTTGTTTTGCCCCACCCCCACTGACAGATGCGCAGGTACGGGCGCTGGAGCCTTATGTGAGCCTGTGCGCTAGTAACCTTCCAAGGTTTAGCTCCAGGGTCCAGAGGCTGATGTCAGGATCGGCGCAGAGGTGAAAGAAAAAGCTTTCTATTAAGCCCGGTCTTGAAGTTGCGTTTTTCTCGTGACACTCATTCGAATTCGAGTTCACACAGTTCGCTCAGATTTAAACTTAGCAAACGGCACCGCAACTCAGTATTCCCATCTTTCTTTTGATTATTATACTAAACTTGTCTCAATTCAGCAAGATGACCGCAATTGAGGAAACCAACGTTACCTACGAGCAACTGGCCGATCTCGAGCAGGATTTCGAGGATGCCGAGCTGGAGATTAGTACGCACCCTGCAATTTTCCAATCATGTTTATGCACATTGAGCTGACCTCCTTTGTTAGCTCGTCAGCAGGCGGTTCTCATGAAACCTCTGTACGAGAAGAGAGCCAAGACTGTGGCTGATATCCCCAACTTCTGGCCATTGGTCTTTGAACAGTCCCCCCCTGAAGTGGACTCCTACATTCAGCCTTCGGACTCGGCTGTCATCTCCACCTCTTTGAAAGCTCTCTCGGTTTCTCGATTCGAGGTCGAGGATGGCGGCAAGGGCGACCCCCGAAGCGTGGTCATCAAGTTTGAGTTCAATGAGAACGAGTACTTTGAGAACACTGTCCTAGAAAAGAAATTCTGGCAGCGTCAATCCAAGGATGGGAGATTTTCTGGACTCGTCAGCGAGCCCGTTGCCATCAAGTGGAAGCCGGGTAAGGACCTAACCGAAGGGCTTCTGGATCAGGCCGTCGCAATCTACGAGCAGGATAAGAAGAGCGGCCGCACCGGCCTTGTGAAGGTTAAGGATTTCACACCGGAGCAAAAAGCTCTGCAGAAGAAGATCCAGGCCACTGGCATGGGCGGTGTCAGCTTTTTCGCGTTCTTCGGCTACCGTGGCTATCCCGTCTCCGAGGAGGAGAGCCGCCTGGCGGTCGAGAAGGACAAGGAAGAGCGACGCCTGAGGGCGGAAGGAAAGAGCAAGAACGACGATGATGAGGCACCAGAGCTGGTCGAGGAGGGTGATGAGGATGACGAGGAGGAGATTCTCGAGATCTTCCCGGATGGAGAGGAGCTCGCCGTTGCCATTTCTGAGGATCTGTGGCCGAGTGCCCTCAAGTATTTCAGTAAGTGACTTTACCATTTGCAAGCCAAAACACATGACTGACAAACTTCCAGCACAAGCACAGGAGGTTGATGGTATTAGTGAAATGGACTTCGAGGAACTGGAAGATGATGAAGATGAGGAGGATGAGGAGCCACCCGCCAAGAAGCAGAAGGCTTGAATGTGATAAGCTTCGTGTCCCTGTTGCCTCTTCGTAGGGGTAACAATGTTGACTTGGCACGTTGTGTTGGGCGAACGAACAATTGGCGATGATACCCTTCGACCTTTGAATGGACGCACAGCCAAGTTCTACTGCGCCCGCTTGATTGCTGTTACACTTCCATAGATTTCGATTCGTGGCTCAAAGGGAGAGCCAGCCTCTTTGACATAAACAGCTAGCTCGAAAACAAACAAAACAAACAAACACACAAGATCCGTGCAATACCTGCTTACAACACTGAATGAGGTAATCTAGAATAAACACAGCTGATGATAGAAAATCATGAGAATGCCCTGCATTAACTGTAATAGTTGTGCAGATTCTCGCCTCATAGGTCCGCCTGCTAGTGTGCGTCCAGGATAGGGCAGGGGCAACGACGTATAACTGCTGCGCTCTGGCCGAGCGGTAAAGGACGGTCATTTCTTGCAATTTTTTTTTTTTTTTTTTTTTTTTTTTGCAAATCTATCAAAGTTGCCGGTCTGGTTCATGGTCTTATTCTTTTTGCTCATTCCCTTGATTATTCTCCATCTCGCATCTGAATGGTCTCTAACACGAACAGTCTTGGATTTCGTCCCATCGCCCAAACTCGTCGGGCGTTTGGCTCATAGGATCTGATAGAAGATCGGCGTAAAACAAAACTTTCAGAGCGACAGAAGATCGCGGCACAGAACTAATTCCGTCACAGCCCAAGTCTCCGACAGCCGCCACGGGCATGTTCGTGGATCCAGAGTGCCAACACAACAGTTAGCTCGCCCTCAAACAGCCGTCTGTGCTCTTAGATTTTCTGGGGATCTCCAAAAATAAGGTAGGGGCGCTTAGCCTGTTTGGGCTTAGCTTCGAACCGGGCAGCTCTGGGCCGGCAGATGGAAGGGGTCCACGGCCATGGGATCCTCTCATCGCCAGGGGTCCAGCTGGCTTTCGCAACCTACATCTCGACTTGTACTCATCCATCCGCCTTGCTCAGTCACAATGCTGCGGCCACATCGATTGACCAGATGGCGCTCCTAATGAACTAATTCCAAATGCCAAGCTACAACCCAGAGGCGAGGGTCTCTGCCTATTATCTTCTTGGCAAGTATTCCCGTGCCTGCAGGCGGCTCACCAGGGGTCGGCCATGAATGAGACGAAACTTCGCCAAGAGCGAGACGAAAACCGTTTCATGCTTGCCCCGACCTGACTACACAGCCTCACCGTCCACATGCGAGGTAACAGTCTCGACCAGGTGGTGCTGCAGAATGCTTATCGAATTAGGTCATTCTTGGCCAAACTGGCCGCGCGATTGGGGGTCCTGGTCATGATTGACCTGATGTGAAGCATTGTGGCGCCCTGTCAGCTAGCATCCGAGCTGACCCTCTCCCGTCAGAATACGACACGGGTAACGCTGGCTTTCTCTCCTTGTCACAGTGTCTCTATACTCTTCCTTCATTTCAACATCGCTTCTAGACCGAGGCCCTTTTTTCCTTTTTCCTTTCTCATTCGGCAGGCCACGCGACTATTCTTGTCGCTATCCGTTCCTTTGTTTCTCCTCGCTCCTGGTAGAGTTCTTTGTTCGGGTCTCGCTTCTATTCGTCCCGGTGACATTCTTTCGTGCCAATTGGTTGCGTGACGATTACACTGGCGGGCAGTCCATTCTAAGCAACAGCAACTAATACGAGCTGGCGCTTCGCCCACCTCGTGATACTTGGCCACTGTTGGGAGCAATTCTTCGCTCTACCCCGATGGCAACAGTTTGATTCAGCACATATATTCCAACGGCTCTTGGTCAGCCGATACATTGATCGACTTCGACGGCCATTCCTTTCTTTTCACACACTTTTCAACATGAGGTTTCAATTACGGGCGGCAGGCGTCCTCGGTCTACTAGCAGGAGCGACACGGGCTATTCAAGTCGATTTCAGCAGTGATGGTAGGGTCACTCAACACCTGTCAAAATCAAAGACTAACTCCAAGCCAGACTCCATCAAGTCAACAGCAAGCACAATCGCTTTCGGCCTACTGAAATACTACACAGGAAACAACACAGGAGATGTGCCAGGAAACTTACCGGATCCCTATTTTTGGTGGGAAGCTGGTGCGATGTTTGGGACCATGGTAGACTACTGGTTCCTAACAGGAGACGAGACCTACAATGCTGTGACGATGCAAGCATTACTGCACCAGGTCGGCGACGATAGAGACTTCATGCCACAGAACCAGACGAGGACGGAAGGAAACGACGACCAAGGTTTCTGGGCGATGGCAGCCATGTCAGCGGCTGAGAACAAATTTCCAGACCCCCCAGCCGACCAACCCCAGTGGCTGGCCTTGGCTCAAGCAGTATTTAATGAATATGTCGAGCGATGGGATACGGCAACATGTGGTGGAGGGCTGAGATGGCAAATTTTCACGTTCAACAATGGCTTCAACTACAAGAACTCGATCTCGAATGGCTGCTTCTTCAACGTCGCTGCTCGGCTGGCAAGATTCACGGGCAACCAGACATATGCTGACTGGGCGGAGAAGGTTTACGACTGGATGTCAGACACGGGTCTGATCACGTCGGATTTCAAAGTCTTCGACGGCGCAGGTGTTGAAAAGGGCTGCCAGGACATTGATCAAGCACAGTGGACCTACAACGCAGGCATTTTCCTGCACGGGTCTGCCGTCATGTACAATTTCACAGGGGGCAACGCAACTTGGAAGCAGCGAACTCAAGGCCTGCTAGACCAGACATCGTCTTTCCATTTTGAAAACGGTATCATGGTGGAGAAACCTTGCGAGGACGGAGGTTTCTGCGACATCGATCAGCAAAGCTTCAAGGCATATCTACTTCGCTGGTTAGCTGGCACGACGCAGATGGCGGACTTCACCTTCGACACAATCATGCCGCTCCTCAAGTCCACCGCCGATGCGGCCGCAAAGCAGTGCACCGGCTCACCGTCAGCCGCCGAGTTCAAGGGCAAACCCGGCACCGCATGCGGCTTCCAGTGGACCAAAAGCCCCCAGTTCGACAACCTGGTCGGCGTTGGCGAGCAGCAGAGCGCGCTGGCCGCCGTCATGTACAACCTGGTCCAGAAGACGACACAGTCCGGCAAGGCCCCCGTCACAGCCGACACGGGCGGCACCTCCCAGGGCAACGTCAACGCCGGCGCGTCCATGCAAGACAAGACGCCCAACAGGCTGGAGCCCATCACCACGACCCAGAAGGTTGCGGCTGGGTTCGTCACAACAGCTATTGCGCTGAGTGTCATGGGCGGGTGCTTCTTTATGATCAAATAAAACCATGCAGGCGATACCATGGATAAGACAGTGATGTGAAATGATTATCAGGGTACATAGCTTGGGGTCCTTGGAATATGGGCGGCTTGATTAGAATCACATAGTGCATGTGCCGGGGCGTCTGGAGTAGGACGATATGGCTTTGAAAGCCGTTCTGGATAGTAATTTGAATAGAGCTATATGCAGTTTACAGGTCGCCATTGAGAGTGTATCGACACACCATGTCCCTGCTTTTCAGGGTTTGAAGTCTGTAGTCTATATAACCTGTATATGACGTCTACTCTCATATGTTACATGATGTGCCCGATCCCTAGCACCTAGTCCGCTTGAGCGATCTCTTTTACGAGCCCCAGTTGTGAGCAGTTGGGGTCCGAATTTGTGCCGCCTCAGAGGCGTCTCGAAGTGACGCTGACGTTCTTTACTCCATCTTCGCTAGATTCTCTACGAAGCCGTGGAGTACTTGGCACCGTGCCTGAGCCTCCCTCATAGTTTCACAGCTCCTACCCCCTTTCCAACTCGGGATATATACAACTAACCCAACCAGCACAGCTATGGCCCCTCGAAGACGACCCTGACGACACCAGGGAAGCGGCCCTCGATCTTGACCTCCTTGCCGCCGGCCTCCTCGGCGGCCTCGCGCAGCTTGGCCAGCAGCTCGTCGCCCTCGTCGCGGGTGGCGGCGCGGCCGTGGCGCTTCTTGGCGAGCATGAGCTCGACGCGCTTGCCCTTGGCCAGGAAGTCGCGCAGCTGGCGCAGCTTGTAGGCCAGGTCGTTGGGCGCGATGGCCCAGTTGAGCTCCATCTCCTTGCGCTTGAGCTCCTTGGTGCGCGCCGCCTTAGCCTTGTCGGCCGCGGCCGCCGCGTGCGCCTGCTTGTCGATGATGCGGCAGATGGGCAGCCGCTCCTTGGCGCCGCGCGCCGCCACGTCGCCCTCGGTCATCGAGCCCAGCGTCAGCGCCTCGTTGCCCTCCCCGTCTTCCCCTTCGTCGGGCGACGGCCTTGCCGCGGGCACGTTGACCAGCACCAGCGAGTACTTTTGCCGGTTCAGCGAGCGCAGCAGCTCGCTGGTACGCTGGGGCGCCGAGAGGGCCGCGGAGCTATCAGGATCGAGTGGTAGGCCGACCACACCCGGCTCCGCGACCCGCACCCATTTGTACGGGATGGCATTGTCGGACGGGAGGCGGTTGAACTTGTTCTGCGGTTTGGGTTTCGTGGGCTTTGGTCCCATCACCCGCAGTTGCCGTGAGCTAGTGCTGAAGAGTAGGCGTGGCGACAGGAAGGGCGTCGCCGCTGATGCGGCGGCTCGTGCCATCGGGGTGGTTTCGAGGTGCGCGAGGAAGACCTGTCGCAGCGCGCGCGACGGCGAGAACAGGCTGCAGTGTCGAGGCGGCATGATAGAGGTTCGTGTTGGAGGGGAACTGAGAGCTGGCGAAGGTGACTTGGTCGCTTGCTTGGATCGTAAGTCTACCCGTACGTAGAGACGGCCGAATAGTTGGATAGTAGGATACTGTGTGAACCCAATTGCAGCGTTCTATTGGAGTGCGTTGGAAGCTCTAGGTCAGCAGCCAATCAGACGTCGTGCTGGATGGAGCTCTCCTCGGTCAAGCGCACGTCCGCTGTCGACGTCTATCAACCTCTCCATCAGGCCCGGCTCCCTTTACACATCCCAAGTCGAAACCAATACCGACTTTCCTGGGCCACCTAAGACCATGGTCATTCTTTCGCCAGACCGTCGGCTTTTTTGAGAAAAAGATGCCCTTCCTAGGCCACCCGTTCCGCCTGCTGCTGGCTGTGGGCAAGACGCTGGCACTGGCGCACGTGTGCTGGAAGTACGGCTACAGCGCCGGACCGGGGTCGGGCCCATCCATGATCCCGACGTTCCTGGTGGCCGGCGAGTGGATGGTGGTGGACAAGGGCTACCGCCGGGGCCGCGGCGTGCGGGTAGGCGACTGCATTGACTACAAGATCCCCGTGGAACACAACGAGGAGGGAGTCAAGCGCGTCATCGGAATGCCAGGAGACTACGTGCTGGTCAACAGCCCCGGAGCGAGGAATGACGACATGCTGCAGGTGAGGCTCTCCAGAATACTGGCTTGATCGTGAGAGGAGCGTTGGCCATGCCGCACGAGATACTAACGGGTAGGGTTAGGTACCCAAGGGACATTGTTACATCGTCGGCGATAACCTTCCGTGGTCCCGAGATAGTCGGGATTACGGTCCACTGCCTCTGGCGCTGGTAAATGGCAAGGTTGTGGCCAAGATCAACTTTCAAGGCTGGAATCCAATGCGCTGGTTCACAAGGGTGGATAATGGGCTGACCGTAGACAAGTGAAGTCGCCCTCGGCAGGAATCTGACTCTACTTTGACCAGTAGCAATCAGAGGGGAAGTTCTCCTCGGTACTTTGAGGATGTACATTGCATTGCGTGGTGGCGTCTGAGAACATATGTGGGTCGTTGGCGGGATATCTCTTCGAAAGGCAGTCTAATTACATGGTATAAGATTCAAGCGGCAGCAGGCCTCACGATGAAGCCTGCACAATTTTGTACGGAGCCGCCGATAGAGTAAAACGAAGACCGAAATGAGTCTCTTGGCCCGCTGAATGCCATCATACAGTGCCAGCACAAAGGAAATCTTGGAGCTCGTGAAAGAGCTTGTCCTTAGTAATGAACCATGAGAATTCAAACAATAGTACGCCTCCCCTAGTGTACCACCAGCCGGTCAGGGGTATGCATAGATTCCAGAGAAAAAGGGGAATCCGTAAACGATCTGCCCACCACCGAGTCTGAATATGCTTGTTTGTATAAATACGCCTCGAACTCCGAGCCAAAGTCCAGTCGATGCCCTTCGAATGCCCAGAAAACAAATAATATTACTGCTGCCGTCGCTTCATGCAGGAACGAACGAGCTCTGCCCCCTCACTCCTCACCCCTCAATGTGAGCCTTGGACATGCTCTGTCCTAGTAGCTCGAGGCAACGTTGTGCAAGGTTGACAACCTCGCCTTCGTCATCGTCTTCCCCGAATTCGTTGTCGGGCTCAATTTGGCGATTCGCAATCTGCTTGATCATATCGACTACGTCATCCGATTTGCCGATGTGGCCGATCAACGTCTTATCCTCGGATTCGAGCAGTTGCAGCAATGTCCAGATGGCGATGTGCTGGAAGGTGGCATCCCCACTGGCAAGGAATCTGCTCAGGTAGCCGTGGATGCCGCCGTTGGGCTCTAGCCAGTCCTGGATGAAAATGGAGTAATCGCCAACTACACAAATTAGCAGAAGCACATGGATGTTTGCCAGATAGTACCCACCTTTAGACGACAGGTTACCCAGAGCTGCAGCACTGTTGCCCTGGACCTCGATGCTGGGGGAGTGAGTCAGGGGTATCAAGACATCGAAGACGCCAAGGTTCAGCAGGTGAGTCTTGAGGTCATCCGACAAGGCCAGAACGGCGATGGCGGCGGTCATCTCGGACTGAACCGTGACGGGCACATCCAGGACCAGCTGCTTGCACTTCTGCACGGCGCCGGCCTCTAGCACCAACGCCTTGTTCCGGTCCGAGCTGGCGGCAAGGTTGCGCAGAGTCGAGATCGCATGGCACTGGATTTCTTCGTTGTCAGTTGATCCCAGCAGATCCACCAGCGGCTTCAGGAACCCGGCCTCGATGATAGGGGACTCGTTCATTGGGTGGATTGAGATGTTCCGTATGCAAGCAACCGCCGAAAGAATGAGTGGTAGGTACGAGGACTGCAGGAGACGCAACAATGGGTTCAACCCCTGAGCTCTAACAATATCAAGCTGGTACTTCTCGTCCGAAGCCAGATTGCGTAGCGCCAGAGCAGCCTGGCATTGGACCTTGGGAGATGACGAATCCATCAGGTTCACAAGAGATTGGACGAGCTTTGTCTCGGTCGATGAGAGCTTCCGTCGGTTATTGGAGTCCACTGCAATGTTGCTGAGAGCGGTGGTGCAGTAGTACTGGACATCGACGTCTGGGGAAGAGAGAAGTTGCACCAGCACGGGTATGGCACCGGCGTTGACCAGCTGCTGACGATTCTCATCTGTTGTGGGGTTAGTCTCTGTTTCTTGTAGACTATGAAGAGTGTCGAGAGCTGTGAAGGGGATCTGACCAGAGTGTGTCATATTCAGTAAAGCACCGGTCGCATTCCGCTGCACCCTCATGTCCCTCGACTTTGCAAGCCGTGTTAGAGGGCCGAGTGCGCCCGACCTTGCAATTTTTGCTTTGTTATCCTCGTGCGTAGCGAGGTTTGTGATACATCCGACAGCATTGCATTGAACTTCCACGTTAGGTGAGAGCATCTGGCGGATCAGTGGTGTGAGCCCTCCGAGCTGTACTATGAGAACCTTGTTCTCGGCTATACGTCATTGTCAGTCCAAGGCCTTCACGTCATGAGCACGGGTACTTACTATTGACGGCCAGATTACCCAAAGCTGCACTGGCGGCCCTTTGGACCTCGATGTCGGGGCTCTGGAGGAGGAACAGGATGGGCTCCAAGGTATCTCGATCGACCTCTCGTACATCTAGCACCCCGGCGGTCAGTCATATCCCAAATGCCTCCTTGCAGCGACTCGGTGCATACCTCGCTCGGTTATCTCTGCGAACGTCAAGCTTGCACTTCTCTGAAGATCAATATTGTCGGAAAAGACGAGTGTGCTCAAGGCTCGAAGCGGCTCGCCCGAGAAGAAGTCGGTCTCTCCGCGCTAAATGGAAACAAAAAGTCAGGACGCCGACCTCTAGTCAAGCGCGAAGTCGCAGGATGCCTACATGTTCTAGATACTGCAGCAGGTCGGAAACGGCCTCGCGCTCGGATTCCTGGAGCAGGGGCTCGTAGAGGCCATCGCGGGACTTGCCTGTGAGTGCGTGTGAGCTGGAGAACGAGGTGGACGATGGCGACGAGATGGAAGCTCCGAATGCATACCTCCGCAACACGACTGGCACACACCCATCGCTGCGACGAGCGACTGAGAGCTGAGATGATCTTGGGCTCGCCGTCGATGGGTCGGTTGATATTATCCGCCGTGGGAGCTGTGGGAGAGGGGACGATGGGTTTTTGGAGATAAGGTTGAGAAGGCCGAAGCTTGCGTGGGATCCGGCGATGCTGTTGGCTGAGGCCTCAGTTCCGGGGCTCGGTTGGCGGGAGACAGCAGCCCAAGATAGAGGGATAAACGTCGGCAGGCACTGCGGCGGCGCTTTCGCAAAACAGGAGGCGTTCACGGCTGGATGGAGCCCATTCCACGAGGGTCGGCGATGGGACGAGAAGGTGAGGGCACGGTGAGGCAGGTTGGTGGTGATGGGATCGGAAGGGACCAGAGGCGTCGGTTTTGGCCTTGTTTATTGCGGATGGGCAGTTGCGGGCCCAACGTGATGCGCTCTAATGCGATACGTACCGCCAGTGACCCAGCGACTACCTTAGCGACACGAAGGGTGACCCCTGCCCGGCCTACCTAGCGCCCCGAAATGCTGCAGGTCGCTGGCTGCTGGTCACTACCTAGGTACGGAGCAAGTTGCGGTACCGCAGTACTGCGTACCTAACTCAGCTGGTGACCTACTAACTTAGGTAGAGCCTGGGAGAAAGCCGCCCTTGGAGCTTCGGCGGCGCATGTATGCAGTTCCGTCACTTAGGGAGACACGCTTCTCTCCAAGTCAAGCGAGGTAGGGTACTCGAGTCCCTACGCCAAGTCCCCGTCTCTTTGTACCCCGCGGTTCCTATCAGGGTGCAAATGACCAGGCGAATCTCTGTTTATTGTTCCCGCCATGAGCGGCTCGTTGGTCACCTCTACGACCTCTGTCCTAGCTCCACTTATCTTTGGCACCAAAAGACGAAGGGCAACCTTGGGAGCTGGGATGCTGCACCTTTCACGAGCTTGAGCTCCAGGGCAGACCAGGGGGCCAGGGTCCTAGCTACCTGCATCGGGTACTTGACAGTAACTTGGGCAGTTTCGCTGCTGGACGGCCACTCGCTAGGTCTTCTCATCGTCTCATTGCACGCTTCAGAGATCGCAATGTCGCCAGTGTCTCCTTCCCGCATCTGCACCCTCTCAATGCGGGCGCGGCTTGTGAAAAAGCCGGGGCCAGGCTGCGTCATAGGCGCTGGAACCAAAGGTCTCTGACTGGACACCTTCACGATGTCTGAGCAGGCCAGCGCTACAGCATGGAAAAATTTAAATTTGCTCCCATATTAGACAGAGACGGTTAGTTACCTGGAGATATGCGAAATCTCACCCGCCTTGCAATTATGTACTAGCTTGGGCACGATTACCACCTGGTCGCCTACATGTTGAAAAGGTACCATCATGGCTTTTCGGGATCTACCCACTCTCGTGTAGAGGCAGCTTGAGATCAAAGTACATCTAACACGCCCTTCGACAAGTCTCAACTTCAGCGCCATGGTCTCCACGAGCATCTCGAGGTGTTATTATAGGTCGTCATCTTACAGAAGTACAAGGGCATCGTATAATATGTCCACAAGCAACACACAACCTTGACATTCTAATGCCGTATCATTACTGACCAATGTATATCCTGCGCCAACCTGTCTGAAACATGGGACACATGAAGATACACCTCCCCCACGGGCTGGAAGATTTCTATTCGTCGTTTACCTCTGGGTACGTAGGTGGGAATGCATCTTTGCTCCTTAAACTGTCGAACTTAGGACAACGAAATAGGTTAGCGGAGGTGGTATGATCGATTAGCGAGGCGTCCAAGGACTGTTGCCTTCCATGACCCTCGATTTGCCCCCTCCCACCACTATAGTGTCAGATGACGATGCAATCACACGCGTTCTCGAGGGCTTTGCTACCCTACTCATGCACGCAGGCAGCATACATCGATCAGAGTGCTGACATGCCATTTCTTTGTTGCTCTGCCGTTGGGCGCTTCTTGCCTAAGTTCCCCAAGAGCGGCCCGGTTGGTGGTCTCTCACGAGTGACACGAGCAAGTGGGCGAGGCTACGAATACCTCATATTCCTTCGTGAACGCTGGAGGTCACGCAGAAGTTCACGAGCTGGCCACTGTTCATTCATCCGAGGTGAGTCATGGATCGATGTCAACATCAGCGGCTTGTCGGATAGTAAGTGGCTACGAGGTGACTGCGCAAGCCTGCCTATGCCCACCACTTCCTGCGTTAATGACGAACGACATGAGGACGGGTTTCGTATTGCTGCAGTGACAATACACCACCATGCGGTCGGCGTAGTGTCGGGCAGGTGAACATATCAACAACCATCCGCATGTACCAGCCACCCGGGGCGGCTGCGCTGAGAGACTGTGGCTTCAAAGATAAACGAGTACCTGTCCGGCGAGCAGCCGGCCTATCGTGTTTAGTGGGTTGGGCCTGCATTAAATCCACGGCGGAATGGGCTGGGCACAGCGATGAGTGCCTCGCTACTCAGCTAGGGTTCCAGAGCAGTTCGTGGGGTGTGCATCCACCACAACTGACTCGAGCAGCATCTCTACCTGGGGTTCGAACATCGGGTCTGCACAAGGGTCCCGGTGGTGACGGATCACTTCTAATGCCAAGCCGCAAACGCAGGCTGGTTGCTTGAACAGGCCACCCCATAGTATGGTGTTATTATTAACCGTGGAGATGGGGCAAGCGCTCAACAACACACACGCGCACACGCACTGGACTGGACGTGGACCCCTCTGCCACCCCGTCTGTTTCCCCCGGTCCCGGTCCTCCGCCCTCTCCCTCAATGGTGGGCAAGCTCCTTATCTTGAACTACCCCTCCAAAAACGGCCCCAGATTAGGTTGAGCCTCCAGACCAGAGCAAGCCAGGTTGGAAAGCGGCGTGACCTTGACCACGACACCCGACCGTGTGGAAACCTGCTGAGACAAACAGCTGCCTTCTGAGCAATCCTCCTGCTCGACGGCCAACAAGCTCCAGCACCAGCATCCTGCGCACCTGACAGCCGACGCGCGCCAGACGGGTACGGCCCCAAACCTTCGCAGCCCACCCGACGCCTCGAGGTCCAGCCGCTTCCGGGGCCGCCTGTGGCCTCTGCTCATGCTCGTGCTGTCACTGTTACGGTATTGGCCTAGCCCAGCCCATCCCCATCTCAGCTCAGCTCCGCGCAGCCCACGGGCAAACAACCGCAGAGCGCACACCAGGTCCCTCGGCGTCCAGAGCCAGAGCCAAAGTGCCAGCGCCAGTGCCAGTGCCGGTGCCAGTGCCCGCCATGGACGAGGTTGAACCTAAAGACGGAGCAGACTCGAGGCTCCCCGCCTCCAACGCCGCCGCCAACATCCGACCTGGCCATGCGCTTCCCTTCGTGGCTCCCAGTTCGTACCTCAGGCCCAAAACGAAGCCGCGCACGATCTCCATGTCGGAACCGACTCCCATGAGCCCCATAGACGAGGAGCAAATCCAAGGGCTGGTAAGTCTACCGTCTCTGTTGCACTCCTGGGTTGCTTTTGCCGTGCCTGCTGCTGGCTGCGGGCGTTGCCTGCGCTGCAGGAAATGTGACACCAGAAATTAAGTCGGGGATTTCGGAGTAGAACGCTGATCTTCCTGCAGAAAGGTCTCCGCGACTTCCTCAAGAAACGAACCAGCTACGATGTTCTCCCATTGTCATTCCGATTGATCGTCCTTGACAATGACCTTCTCATCAAGAAGAGCTTGAACATCCTCATCCAGAACGGTAAGTCTTGTCGCCCTTTTGTGCCGGCCTAGCTAGCTTTTTATACTGATCCCACGGTCGTCCTACAGGCATCGTCTCTGCGCCATTATGGGACTCGCAGAACTCCCGGTTCGCTGGCCTCCTGACCAGTACAGACTACATCAACGTCATCCAGTACTACTGCCAATTCCCCAACGAGCTCGATAACGTCGAGAAGTTCAGGCTGAGCAACCTCCGAGGTAAACCTTGCGTCGCAAGCCCTTGCACAAGACTTGACCCGGCTTTGCTAACCGCGCGTTATTTTTCCAGAGATTGAGAAGGCAATCGGCGTCCACACCATCGAAACGGTCTCCGTCCACCCCTCACGGCCGCTGTTCGAAGCTTGCAGTCGCATGCTTAAGAGTCGTGCCCGACGTATACCCCTTGTGGACATCGACGATGAGACGGGTAGAGAGACGGTGGTGAGCGTCATTACCCAGTACCGTATCCTCAAGTTCATCGCCGTCAACACGGAGCAACATACGTCGCTCCTCAAGAAGACGATCCAAGAGATTCGTCTGGGAACTTACAAGAACCTGGCAACCTGCAAGATGACGGATTCGGTCCTGGACGTTATCAACCTCATGGTCGTACACAACATATCGGCAGTGCCAGTCATTGACAAGAACAACACGGTTCTGAACGTCTTCGAGGCTGTGGATGTTATTCCATGCATTAAAGGAGGCGCATATGACGAGTTAAAGTCGACTGTTGGCGAAGCTCTCACCAAACGGCCCGAGGATTTCCAAGGCATATATACGTGTACGGAAGGCGACAGGCTTGAATCCATTTTCCAAACGATCCGCCAATCTCGCGTGCATCGACTCGTCGTCGTCGACGACGATCATAAGCTAAGAGGCATGCTCTCCCTTTCGGACATTCTCAAATACGTCCTATTCCATGGTGAAGAGGGTGACTATTTTCCTCCCTCATGACACCTGACGAACTGGCAGTTCTTCATGTTCGTGAATAAAGGAAACGGGCAGCATGGCAAAGGCGTAAGGCGCATTGAGCAGGTCAGGAAGGAAACGATCGGGGTTCCCGGATACGGGTATTGTTCCCGGAATGGCTTTTTAGAATTTTCCCCCAGTCCCTCTCCTTGACGATTGAATGAAATGGTTGAAAGTATACAACGGTTCCTTCTGGCGTTCTAGATGAAAAGTTACGGTATGCAAAGGGTTTGCATTCCCGGTTTAATGAAGCGGGTGGTCGGTTGCCAATGAGGCGATCAGAATAGTATAGTATGGCCAGGATGCTCGGTAACCCGTTCATTCGGCAACACTCACATAGGCAAGTAGAGCGCCTAGTTTATTGATTGGAGACGAAACGTGCGCAGAGTTCACATTCATGACAATGTAATCCAATTGACCTACAGTGTTGAATTGCCGCCAACTGCGTTTACCGTGTGAGATCCGATGAGTAACGACATGAATTGTTGATATGTGTATATTTACCCGTATTAGCAAGTGGCATAGGGGAGTCTAATACTACTACCCGCCCGACTCGATGCCCATAATGTCCTGTGCCCCATCCCGTAACTAAGCAATAGCCCTATGCCTCAAAGTGACTCTAATCTGCCCATCTCAAGGCTCAACCTCTCATGAAACACGCTCCGGAGGCTGGTTCAATACACCCCTTCCCTTGTAGTTGACCTGTCCTATTCAGAGTCACGTCTCATTTAGCTATACAGCTGCAGAGGGACGACAGGCTGAGAACGACCTTGCTTGGGCTGACGAAACCATGTTTTGCCTCAATATTGTCCTCTCCGGTACGTTGCCTTGCCGAGATTGATGCTCTGCTATGGGACTGAGACCAAGGCCGGCAGGACTACCAACGAGTGTGGAGGTTTCCGAATCCAAGAATAATGCAAATAAAACACCGGTTAACGCTCATTCAAGGATACGATAGCTCTGGCATCGTGTGATTGCAAGAACTAAAAAAAAGAGACAGGCTCATAGGGCAAGTTTAGAGTCATGTGGTGCTGGAGTCTGGCATAGGCGGTGATCGTTCGAACCCTTACGCCCGTTCAGAGACGTTGGACCAGGCGTGTGATCCTCTTTAACTGATATCGTACGTGCTGCTTGAAGTAGTTGAACTCGATCGCGGCTCGCCCGGCTCGCTGGAGCTTGGGCAGATCATTGACGCGGATGTCGCACGGGCGCTTGTGTTGGATGTCCTGCTGGGCGGCCATTGCGAGTGTCATTTGTGGCTCGAATGCTATTTCTGGATTGAGCTGTGCGTTTTGTCAGTCAGAGATACCTGTCTTTGATGGACCGGAGTGAGCCGTACAGGATGGTTGTCAAAATCCTCAGCGTTGGATGCCTCATAAGAGCCAAAAACCTGGCGATGTGCGTTGACACTGTGTATTTCTGGGGAGTCAAGGTCATTGGAGGCGTCAAAAGCAGGATAATATTATGTTGAGGAGATCTAGGAAAGATCTATCCGCGGCGTAAGTCGTAAACTGCGACTGCCTCGAGAATGAAGCACTTATAAGGCAGAAGAGAAACACCGATGGTACCGAACTACGTCGGGAACAGTTCTTGCAAAATTATATTCCAGAAGAAAGTATGCAGGCGGATGGTGGGATTGCACGCTCCCAGACAGCGGTACAAGTCGCAGGTCGCAAAGTATGATGTAGGGTTGCAAAAGATATCTTCTACAGGAAAAGTTTGATACGGCTCGACAGCACGCGCAGAAAAGTTTGAAACTCAGACCGTATTGATAAGTAACATGCTCACTTGTGTTATCACGGGCAGCAGCCTCTGGTCCCTATCTAGGGATTGAAGGATGGTGAACATCATGAAAATCTTGTACGCGCTTCTGTGAGCTCTCAACCACTCTAGGATAGATCATCATGCAGTTGATTATGATGATTATGAAGATGATGTTGCTCGGAAGGAACTACGTTCATCTGTTGGGAAGACTTGTTCGGATGGCCTGCTCCTTTATTGCGGGTGTCGTAAGGTATCCTACGGATGGGCCTGTGGTAGTGGCTTGAGGTTCTGCAGGAAGGGGTAAGTCGGTAATCGACTAGAATGATTCTAAGCCTTGACATATGGAAGTGGCGACCGATACCTTTTGATAAGTGGACGATGCTGGCAACAGATTCCGAGACACTATCAAAGCCAACAACAAAGCCACTCGTTGCAGAGCTTGCCTCAAAGATGCTGTGATTGCAAGATCCACGACTCTTATAATCTGACATTTCTCTGTCGCGTGATCTACGCCGGCCAACTATCCGTGCTGCTCCCCTCTATGCAGTCTTACAAACATAATACAGACCCTTCCAAGGGCAAGAAGCCAGAAAACCGGATGCCTACATCGGCAACCCAACCGCTCCCTTTTCCGCGTAAAACCAAACCGCCGAGACCCCGGCTTTCCCGTACAATTTTTGAAGAGCCTCAGACCAAGCTGAGTGCGTCCCAAACTGCGGCCGGTGCAGGCACATCCGAGAGAAAGAGATGGGATCAACACCGCAGCAGCAATACATGGTCCTCCTCCAGCGCAGACTTGGACATATTCTCAGAGACAGAGGACGTTGATGACCGTTCGCGCTTCGTTACCGAATATAATCGACTAGCTAATAAGGTCTGAGCCATAATTAAGTGTGACATCGGCAAAGCTGATGTTTAGCAATAGTATGGCATACGTTCAATCGTCATCGGGGACTTTTCAGTTCCAACAGTAAGTCGGGCAAATGTAGCATGACGAGGTGACGCTAATTCATTGCCAGGAGAAAACCTCACAGTCACTCCCCAACCGGAAAGGAAGTTGGATTTCGAGACTGTTGAGACAAGGGTCATCCGGAAAAGCAACGCAGACAGCTACCGTTAAACCTGGCCAACATGTCCGCCACCATAGGAGCATCAGTGATCTTGCTCTCAACTTTGTGCACTACCAAAGACGAGAGGGGTTGAAGAATGAAGATCTGCATGGCCTGGTTCGCCTTTGCGGGAAAAGCGTATTCTACCTGCCTTCGGAATATGCTCCTGGCTCCTTGGTGTTACCGACATGTCTACGTGCTACAGCACAGCATCTAGTTCAGCATGGTAAAGCCGGCGCCTTCTCAGTCAAATTACCAGTGGCTAACCGATGAATAGCTGGTACCAGCGGCATCTTTCGAATCTCAGGCTCAGTCCGTGTTACAAATGCGCTTTACAACTATTACTGTGCAGACGCGGACGGGGACGACGTCGCTACGACTACAAGGTGTCCAAATCTTCCAGTACACTTGAACGTGGGTGTGCACGATGTAGCATCTACTTTCAAACGGTTTTTGGCCGGGTTGCCAGGAGGTATTCTCGGCTCTCTGGGACTCTTTGACGCACTGGTTGGCATTCACAGTCAGCTTCATGGTCACGCCGAGTCTACCAGAACCAAAGAAACCCAGTTGCGAGCAAGACTTATAGCCTTGGCAATCTCAACAGTCAAGTCACATTATCAACGCGAGCTGATTTGTGCAGTTTTCGGCCTTTTGTGCCTTGTTGGTCGAACGGCAGAGAAGGCACCGAGGGAAGATAAATCAGGCAGACCATTGCCGACTTCTGACTTGATGGGCTACAGCGCCTTGGCCATTATCTTTGGGCCATTGCTTCTGGGCGATCTACTCAACTCATACAGTATGAGACTAGCAGACCCTGCAGCTGGTCTCATCATACTTCCCCTGAGCCCCGTCAAACCCAAGAAACGTCGACGTTCCAAAGAACCGAACCAGGGAACCCCAGCCATGCTGACCGTAGACCGTGTACTCGTTGCGAATGATGTTACAGAAATGTTGCTGGTCCATTGGAGGGACATCGTACGGCACTTGAAAGATTTTGATGTGGCGACAGCCAAACAAGATACTAGAAGCAGGAGGCTGCGATCATCTGTATCAGAGAACTTCCGCTTGAAAGGCCCGCCCGAATGGAGTTCCGAAGGCCTCCGAGATACAGCAAGGATGGGAACAAGGTGCAATCGTGCAGTCAGTCCTACACCATTTCCAAGTAAGTGTTTCGGCTCCGACTTGTTCGAACACGTAAGTGACCTGTTTTGTCAGGGTTAGGAGCCTCGGGGTCTCGTCACGGGCCTGATTCCCGGTCAGATCAGCTTCCTGTTCAGCGCAACCGCTCGAGACCACTAGAGCCTGCCCCATCAACCTGGATGACACGAGGGCATTCCATGGTTGCGCTGTCTCCTACTGCTGAGGAAAGTCCGGCGAACCAGCGCTCAGAGGACCGCAGAAACACCATCCAAGCGATTACATTCCCAACTGCTTCGACCTCACCAGACAAAATTGAGTGCCAGAGTCATTTACCACCGGGGAGTACGTCGTTACCTGTGACTTCTATCGGGGAAAGTGAGTCGCCTGTGCCGGGATCCGATCGGCAATACCGGAGGCAAAGGCACGTTCGAGAAAACCACGCTGAGCCACGCAACACCACCTCAGACTATCTTGCTCTTTCGGATGGGGAGACACCACCCCAAGCTGCTGCTGAAATCACACCTGCAGAGACTCCCTCATCAGCGGGAACCACCAGAAGATACAGTTACAATGATTCAGGTTCTGTTTTGACTCTAGACCAAGGTTTCAACTCGTCTACGAAAATTCCAACTGCCGGACACACACCCTTCCATTCTGACAAGAGCGATCCGCCTGATCAATCGCATCTTGACCGTCGAGTTCCTGCTAGTAATGAAAAAGTTCAAATATTGAGCGCTAGTTCATGTGTCATGAGGCAGACTCCGCAAGAAAGAAACAGTAATGGTCCTGAAGGGATATATCTCAATGAGAACATCATGCTAGGAAAGGAACATTCCGGACCGAAACCAGTCTTGTCTGAGGAACAAGCTCCATCCTCGATCATTGAGACCATTCCTGGAATCCGGCATTCCCTGTTCCATCAGGCCGAAAAATTGCCAGACCATATTGCAAGGCGCACCACACAAGAAAAGCTTGGGGATTTAAGTGATAAGGAGGCCACTGAGAAGTCCAATATATGGTCCTTGCGACATCTCATCAGCAGAACCTCACCACGATCCTCTTTGAAGGAGAAATATTCTTGCCAAAATCAGGGACAGAGCCCAGCTGGGTTAAATAACGGGAAACGTAACATATCAACGCGATGTGGAGTTCCTAGTGCGAGTGACCCTGGCGTACCTTCAGCAGACGACCAGGGAACGTTGAGGGCCTGGGGCCCTGCGAGTAGCACACTTTGTCGAAGACCAGACTCCGGCTTGCAACTGCAGGAGAGGTTACCGACACCCGACTGGAAACGGAAATTATTAAAAAGAAGAAGTGAAGACAAGAGAAAGTCAACATCCTTGTCACCAGAGAAGATGAGCATGTTCGAGCGAACACCTCCATCAGCAGTTTCACAAGGTGATATTTCTATACCCAAGGGCAAGGCTTTGCCTCCAATCAATAGTAGAGCCGATGCAACCGGTGGGTTGCCATCACTGCGATCTGCGTCTAAGCCCGCAAGCGGTTCCGTCAAAGCAATGGCTGCGAAGTTCAATAGTGTTTCTGAGGAACCACCCACCGCTCAAGGATCGGGCCTGGAAGTCGTACCAAAGAGCGATCTTCGAGGCTCACAAAGCTTCATGATCCACAGTACCAAAACTCAGTCGCCTGTTAGGACAGCCAAGTCTTTCACGCATACCTACCCAAAGACCCCCGAAAATCCCACCAATTCTAAGGCTGTGGGAGTTTCTCCGACGTCAAGCATAATATCCGGTCGCTTGCATCGAGCATCGGCCATGCGCTCAAGACAGAACCTGAAGCCAACTCCATCACAAGCAGGGTCAGAAACTACCCCATTCAAGGAGCCTAAACTTACGACACAGAGATCGCCTGTAGGTTTCGTAGCTGCACGAGAGGACCCCAACGCGTTGGCTACTAGGTCAACTCGGCAAGACTACGAGGTTGATGGCCCGCTGTACCTTGGTACCATGGTACAGCCACAAGAGGAACCTCCTATCCCACAGCATTTGAGGTTGGCTCGACATCCATCTGGTGGCTCATCTCGGAGCCGGGTGACTCAGTATACCAGCAACAATAGCACTCCGCATTCTGAACGGAAAATCCCGCTACTAGGACGGAGCAATAGTGTATTGTATCGCCAAGTCCGTAGCCTTCAGAAGCAGCTTGACCACAGACACGAAGAACTTCAGCAACTGAGACAGCAAGTCGACACGATGTATAGTACTGACGTAGGCACCTTGAGCGAGCAACTGCGACAAGCAAAGAGGGAGTGTAAGATGTGGAGGGAACGAGCAGAAGCTGCGGAGAAGAGGTTAGCCGTGTTTGATAGGTTTGCCGCAAGATTTCGGGGAATGAGAACAGGCAAGGACGACATAAGTAGGTCGAACCAAGTGGATCAAAGTCTTGTAACACCCAATATTGGAGCTGACGCGGATGTTGAGCCACATGGTACATCAATCTATTCTCAAACCACCGAGAGCGACTGCGCTTTCAGGAATCGGATATGCCATTCACTCAAGCAGAGGGGGCTCACCGGCGCTAACGGCGTAGAGAGCCCAGAGTCTAAGCAAGATCAACTTGTATGGGGTATTCACAAAAGGCAAGAGGGGGCCAATGCGAAGGACGAATCCAGTTACATGGTGCAGCTATGGGCTGCTGCAGAAGAGTTGATAGAAGAAGTCTAGGACGATTATATTATACATTCGAAATGAGAAATGACATGGATGAAGAAGCATTCACAACGGAGTGGCTGCCCAATGAGCACAATAAGCACAATGACGAAGGCCCTTCCATAGCCTTGAAGCTTGTCATTCGGATATGCCTTGACTATGCGCAGTTTCGTTGCCTACTGCATTGTACTCATACCTCCGTAATTGCTGAGCAGGAAGGCAATGAGATAACCCACATCGTTAAATTCTGGCTGAGGTATACCTGCAGTCCACTCCAGGCTTCAATTTGATCTCTCGATAGCAAGAGCATGGATTGTCTTCAGGTCATTGTTTTAAAACGTTTGAGCTAAGTAAAGCTTGTTGGCAGCGACGCTGGTAGCTCTTGGTCAAAGTCACTGTTGTAGGCTCTGGTACAGCCAGATCTATTCCCTGGCCATAGTTACGTAACACACAAAACGTGATGACGGATTGACGTTACATAGCAATCTGGTGTATCAGGACTTCTGGCCCGAGATATGGTTGACCCAAGCATCGGCCATCCTCCAGATCCAGTATTCGGTCTATTTCGCATTTTAGTGCCAACTAAAACTCGCAGAGGAGTCACCAGACCGTTAAGCTTAGCAAAGCAGAAGGCATTACGTGGATCGTGAAGGATTCATGGAATAGCACTTGCCACAATACATGTAAGATTTTCTGTAATGGGAATTGTGACATTACGTCCGCTCTTCTCACCGATGCAAGACAGGAGATATAATGCTCCCCCCGCACCCTCGTATCCCATCATACCAATGGCGCGGTGAGTTTTGCTCTCTGTACTCACTTCATGTTCCCACACTCCACAACTCCAATGTAACAGCAACCCATGAAAAAGACCGTGGCCACAATTCTCTCTACCTGCCTATTGGACTGAGTTCTCCCAAAGCTGCTTTGTTGGTGGAGCTCGACACCCTCTTCACTCATGCCCATAATCGCGTCGCTAACAAAATCATACCGGACTGCGTTCAAGCAATATTCCAAGGTGCTGTGGCTCCAATCCTGTTGACACATCGGGGACAAAGCTGCTGTAAGTTACCACCTGGTTTCTGGTGGTTGTGGACTTGTCACATCGCACGGTGTTCCTGCCGAAAGCGGGACACGTTAAATACTATATAACACTGGCATCCGCGGCTTGTTCATGTCAATGTTGTAGACCCGGATAACATCCATTCAAAGTTTCTAAGTACGGCCATAGGTACCCAAAAATCTCCATTCAAAATCTTACAGAATAAGGGCACGCCTGGATCCTGATAATATGGCACATCTCTTGAGCGGAACCGCGTTTATAACTGGTGCTGCACAAGGTAAAACGGTGGCCTATCACCCCCAGATGTGTATTGCTAATAAGAAACCAACAAGGTATCGGACTTCATACCGCCCTCGCTTTCGCTAATCACGGGATCCAAGGCCTTGCCTTGAGCGACACCAACGACGAAGTCTTGACAAAATCCATCAGGGACATCAAAGAGAAGTACCCTGATATCGAGGTACTTCAACTACATGTAGATGTCCGTGATGAGAAGCAAGTACAGTCTGGAATAGCGGAGACTGTCAAGAAGTTCGGCCGCCTAGACATCGCCGTGAACAATGCTGGTATCCGCGGGCCTACCACCAATACTGACGGGGTGAGCGAGGAGGATTTCTCTAACCTGGTCGATATAAACCTCTCAGGAGTGTGGCGATGCCAGAGAGAGGAGCTCCGCGTAATGAAGAACCAGGACGACAAGGGGCCCCGCCAGGGGCGCGGGCGAATCATCAACATTGCATCGATCTTCGGGCTCTTTGGGGCTCCCAATGGCCTGCCTCACACAGCGTATATAGCTGCGAAGCATGGTAAGCAGGCCTGCCAGCCCTCAATGAGAGTGCCTGGCTCATAGAAACTCAGGCGTCGTGGGCCTTACGAAGGCAGACGCGGTCATCTACGGCCGCCAGGGGATCCGCATCAACGCCATCTGTCCATCGTAAGTTCTACCCACATGTCACACCAAAGCTCTACATCTCTAAGCGCGACCGAAGATTCACGAGAACTGCGCTGCTCGACAGCATCCTGGCCCAGGGCGATGAGACGCCCCTGGCTTCCGAGCTCAAGAGGTCCGCTCTAGGTCGGGCCGCAGAGGTGGAGGAAATTGCTGACTGCATTGCCTTCCTGGCGTCGCCAATGAGCAGCTACATGCAAGGTGCCTCTCTAGTTGCCGATGGCGGGTTTACACTCACCTGAGGGAAGCCGAGATGCGAGTGGTTGGCAATCGACATGAGAAGGGAGTTCAGGGTGTCAAACACCTATATGCATAGAAAATTGCGGACGCTGACCGGCATTGCGTGCTAAGAGAAGTGAAAGTGACGTTCCCTGACAATGTGGTGGCTCCCCTGCGCCTTCCTTTAATCATGGAGCCGTAGGAAATTACAACTGTTATATGCGATTTGGAGCAGTATGCGATGATCCTAAGTTAGATTCAAAACTTCCAAAGCTCCCCTTTCTATCATAACACATTTCCCGTTCCATAGCCTTTTGTAATTTGCCCGACCGAGTGTGGATCCAAGCAAACTACCAAGAGTCATGTTGCTCAATATTGCGTTTCTGTTTCCTCTGGTCATGTGTTGCGTCTTCGAAGTGTCTCAGCTGCTCGAGCTACATTCCGTCGAGGGACAGTCAGAACCAGCAGGGTCTGAGTCTGGCGCTCCAATGTCCCGCTGTAGTCCGGCTGCGGCAAGCTACTGAAGAATACCTGACCAGGGGCGTGCAAACATCTTCTGCGTCTAAACGGGCCGTGTGCTGCGTTTCACTGTTTTGAGTGAGTGCCACAGTCAATTTGTATATCCGCCTAACCCCTTCACTGATCCGAACAGCCCCCATCCAGTCGCCGGGTTTCCAGTATGTCGATTTCGGGTTACACTGCGCCAACACACGCCGTTGTATACAATCTCTTGCACATACGATGCGGTATGGCAACCCCTGGCGTACTGCAAAGGAAAACTCATTTGAGTTACAAGACCAAAACTCAAGTTAGGGCAATGCTCTTTGGCAGCGAGCACCCGATCTATCTGCCTCTGGAGGTGATCCCTGTATGAGGCTCAGGGTCAAAGGGTCTACATAGTACAGGGGGACGGCGCTGACTAGAGCCCAGAAAGGCAAAACGTCATCTTGGCGGGGGGCGCGATACCCCAGATCAGCAGCGACTTTTGACAGCAGTTCAGCCGGACGCCAAGGATAATCTGATAGGTGGTTATCGTCTGGCGACCGACCTTTTCCTCCCCCCATTGCCTCTGCGACCACGGCTTGCTTCTTGTCGGATGGATCGAAGCCACACGCGATAACCCAAGGCTACTGTGTTCGTTCGTTGTCGATCCACACATGGGCGAAGATGCCGAATAGCGTTCCGCATCGGAATCCACCCCCAATACTTCTGTGCTGCTTCGCTTGAAACCCGAGCCTCCTCTCCTCTAAAGGGGGTGGTTGAGCTGGTCTATCTGATCGGCCACGTAGGGCTTCTCCCACCATGACGCGACGCATTGTATGTGATGAGCGAGCCACCTGTTGGGCTTGCAACGGGCTTCGCCTTGTCTTTGTCTTGTCGGCCCCGGTCGTGCTAACGCGACATGTTCGTCCTAGGTCCGTACCCTGAGCCAGCTCAGCGCTGCCGCCCTCTTCACATTCCTCGTCGTTTTCTTCCTCGATCGCAACTTTCGAGTCCTCCCGAATGCGCTCCACGAGTACATGCCCCAGCACCACCCCGGCCTTGTCATCACCGACGTCGTCATCACGAAGTGCTCTACCGTGAACGTCTTCTCCTCCTGCAAGCTGGACCCGGAGAAATGGCACCGCATCGAGAAGGATCTGTACCTGGGCAAGGGATGGGTCTCGAGCGCATACGTCCACCTGAGGAGGCAGAAGGAGGAGGAGCTCACAACCGACGACAAGGTCGTCATGAACATCTTCGTTGGACGGAACGATCCCACCGACACGGAGAAAGGAAAGGCCAACCAGAAGTGGGAGTCGCGTGAGTCGGGCCTATGGATCCAGCGCTCTTCCAAGCTCCACGCCAGCGATTCGAGCCAAGCTGTGACGTCCATCGACGTGCTCTTTGGTGACGATGCCGTGGAAGCTCGAGACGGTTGGCGAGTCGTCGGTACGCCTTTGCTGCTGGACACGAATCCAACCATCCCAGCGGCGCACATTACCATTCACAGAGGGTCCATAGCCGAACCCCACAAGCCCCAGCCACGAGTACGAGACAACGGGAAGTTCAAGATTATGCAGTTGGCCGATCTCCATCTAAGCACAGGAGTTGGTCACTGCCGCGAAGCTGTGCCCGACGAGTACAACGGAGGCAAATGCGAGGCTGATCCTAGGACTCTGGATTTTGTCACAAAGCTCCTGGATGAAGAGAAACCGGACCTGGTTGTTCTCAGTGGTGACCAGGTCAACGGTGATACTGCCCCAGATGCCCAATCGGTAAGCTCCGAACATGCGCGGCATCCAAGTCCAACTCTGTCGTACTAATCCAAGCAGGCAATCTATAAATACGCACATTTGCTTATCGAACATAAAATCCCCTACGTATCGATCTTTGGCAATCACGACGACGAAGGTGCTGCTCTGTCCAGGGCCGCACAAATGGCCATCATCGAAGCGCTTCCTTACTCCCTATCCAGAGCAGGGCCGGACGACATCGACGGCGTTGGCAATTACTACGTCGAAGTGCTAGCACCGGGGAAGTCATCGCATTCTGCCCTCACCATCTACCTACTGGATTCGCACTCTTACTCGCCAGACGAGCGCCAGTGGCAGGGCTACGATTGGATCAAGCCAAACCAAATAGAGTGGTTCAAACAGACCTCGTCGGGGCTGAGAAAGAAGCACAAGCAATACACCCATATCCATATGGATGTCTCCTTCATACACATTCCATTGCCTGAATATACTGACGTCGAAGCCTTCCGCGTTGGCGAATGGAGAGAGGGCGTAACAGCACCTGTGTATAACTCGGGATTCCGAGATGCCTTGGTAGAACAGGGTATCGTCATGCTCAGCTGCGGACAGTAAGTTTCCTTCCGTCATTTCGATCGACCCTCCTGCTAACTTGTGAATGTAGCGATCATGCCAACGAATACTGCACGCTATCTACGGACGAGGGAGAGACCCCCGAGGAGAAGAAGCCAAGGCTGTGGATGTGCTATGGCGGTGGGGCTGGCTTTGGCGGCTATGGTGGTTATGGCGACTTCATCCGGCGCGTGCGCTTCTTCGACTTCGACATGAACGTGGGACGAATCACGACGTATAAGCGGATGGAGTACAACTTGACCGATATCCGGATTGACGAACAGGTCATTGTAGATGGAGGAGTTGTCCTGGCCCCGACCATCGAGGAACAACAGGCTGCTATGTCAGACGACGAACCGCCGCCACAATAAGCAAGGAGCAGGACATGGGGAAGCAATGCCATAGTCGCCGCTGAGACGGGGGACACGGGCACAAAGAGGCTCGTGAGCTCGGCTGGGCTGACTGCGGGGAGCAAACAGCCTTCACCAAGTGGGAGGGGTCAAAGACGGTCTATGGGTATCAAACTCTTCACCGCGCGTATTTATCGACGCAACTCTGGGCGTTTTGGAAAGACAATTCATCGAGCGTGCATTGCATCTTGGGTAAGGCAGGTGCGGAGTTTACGTTCCGGTTGTGTAAGAATAAAATCGGGATTGAGCTGTATATATACAAAGAAGAATCGAAGAACCTCACTGCATCGTTCAACTTGTCTTGGATATATCCAAATCTGGACCCGAAGTGCACGGAGAGGAGCAGCAATTGCACTACTGTGGTAAGCTGCCGGTGGTTCGGCGCCGATATGCAGTCGTTAGTGCTTGTCAACGGCCGCCTTTTGAGCCACATTAGGACGAGATCGGCCTGAGTTCTCAGGGCTGATTGGTCTGACTTTTCAGTCAGCACTGGACGACTCTCCAATGCCAGAACAGCCTCACACTTATACAACACGTTGACTTGGTGCAGTGCTCTTCTTTTTATGATGATCAGACTTTTTGATGATATTTATTTCTAGACCAAAAACAGATCTATCTCATGATCGATCGCTAGAAAACTCCGAACCATGCATTGTATATCATCTCGGAGGGGTTGTCTTCTCTATGTCCCTCCTCGTCTTGTCTTCTCTAACTTGTAGTCAGGACATGTCATTTGCTCGCTCGCTCGCTTTCTTTCTTAAGCACCGAAGACCTTGACGCGGTCGTCGACGGGGATAAAGCTCTTCTCGCCGGCCTCGCCGGTCTTGCCGCCAAAGACGAGCTGGGCGTTGAGCTTCCAGCTGGCGGGCAGGCCCCACTGGGCGGCGACCTTCTGGTCGATCAGGGGGTTGTAGTGCTGCAGGTTGGCGCCCAGGCCCTCGGCCTCCAGGGCCACCCAGACGGTGTGCTGCAGCATGCCGTTGGCCTGGGTGGCCCAGGGCTGGAAGCGGTCGCTGTAGAGGGGGAAGGCAGTCTGCTGGCCCTTGACGGTCTCCTCGTCGTCGAAGAACAGGACCTGTGTTGGTTTCACGGTTAGCCGGGCGTGCTTCTTCCAAGCTGGGCCGCCGGTAAGGAGCGCCAGAATGCAGATAACAGAAGAGAATCTAGGAACTTACGGAGCCGCCGGAGGCCTTGAACATGTTCAGCTTATCGCCGGTGGCCTTCCAGCTGTCCTCGGGGACGATGCCCTTCAGGACCTCGATGGTGATGTCCCAGAGCTTCTCGTGCTCGGCGCCGAACAGCACGACGACGCGGGTGGGCTGGGCGTTGAAGGAGCTGGGCACGTGCAGGGTGGCCTCCTTGACGATCTCGGAGATGCGCTCCTTGGAGATGGGCAGGTCCTTGGACAGCGGGTAGTAGCTGCGGCGGGCCTTGATGAGCTCGAGGAGGGGAGTGGCAGACATGGTTGCGATGGGGCGGGCTGTAGTCTTCTGGGCTGGGGACTGGTTTACGAGCTTGGGGCGCGGGGCAGATGTGCGGGAGAGGCACTGGAGAGTCGTCTGAGGTTTGGGGAGGAAAGCAGCGGATTGTCTAGTCAAGAGGGAAGAGACAGCGCTGGCGGCGGGTGTGCGCAGCATCGTGAGCTATATATATAGACGTCTGGTCTGGGTCCCAGTGTCGGTGTACTGAATATCTAGCCCAGGGTGGGACTTTCGGGATGAGGGGTCAAAATGGCACAACAAGACACGACACGACGATAGCCTTGCAGCAGCAGGGTGCCCGGTTGCGTGATGGACGAGAATGGAACTGTTCGGTTTCTTCCTCCGCGGCAGTGGCATCCACTTTCACGTCGCCTAGAGCGCCCGGGATCTCCCAATATGTAGGCGATTCCGCCCTGGCGGAACTCCACCATGGCAGGATGGGCGTTGCAAGCGCATGAGGTCCATATTTCCACCTTGATTACAGCACGCTTATGGAAGCAATTGCTCAGGTGCCATGGCCCCTCGTCCCCTGTTTGACTCGTGTGCCGCCCCAGACTGCCATTCCGTCGGCGCGTCGGCCTTTTACTAAGGAGGGAGAAGATGAAATGATAAATAAAAATGGGACTGCCTCCTGTGTCCGGCACGTCGCCTCGACTATGCCTTCTGCTGAGCTAATCCTCGGTAATCAAGACCTGACGTTGGAACCCCTGTCCACCAACGGCGATTTTTAGCGTCGCTGGGTTTTTGGGAAGATGGCGCGAGACGGGCAGACGGGTCACTTCTTGACCACCGTCCACCGTCCCCGGCGTATGTAAGCGGCGATCGAACGGAGGAGCGCAAGCACCCACGTTGCGTTCCACGACTTTCCCGTGCTCTCTCGACACTCGTGGACCCGTGTGTGTATCGAGGGGCCATCCTAGCGTCTCCAGCCCCGACTCTGCCCTAGCTGCTTCATCGACCTCGCCCGACCATGCGTCGGGAGGCTACGCATATCGCTCTGCTGGTACACCCGCGCGCTGCTTCAGGCTACCGCTGCCCATCTGGGAGCACGGCCTTGGCAATGTATACCCCCGGGGTTGTGTCTACTCTCTGCCAATGAGAAGGCTTACCGCCGGGGGAACGTCACAACCTTAAAATGTTCCCCAGTGAGGCCAGATCGGCGCCGCTATACCCCGCAGTAGAGGGGCGGCACTTCTATAAGATTCTGTGACTATGCTGTCTCTGATGCTATACGCAGGAACTGGTAATTAGATGGAATATGCTGTGGGCATTGGTGAGCCTCTCAAGGAGTCAGTCAGGCCCCCAGCCTCAACCACGTGTCGGAGTATCGCCGAGTGTTTGTAGACTGATCATGCTACGGGTTTTGTTCACGCTTCTGGTATACTATGTAGGTGGACTGGGGGGTGGTTGCGCCGCATACTCCCAACACACAAGCAACGCATTCATAGCTTGATAAGTGATAATCATAGTGTAGCGATCCGTAATTGGGAGATGGCTAGGTGTCTCTGCCGTTCGGTATCACACAGACAGAGACACACACACACACACACACACACACGCATCTCTCCCTCTCCCTCTCATGGCCGCGAGTCCGGCAATGCATGTGCACTAATCTCAAGTTGGAGTTTCATGGGACATAATGGCCTGATTCTTGGCAGCAACATCCGATGAAAGCTGTTGATGAACGTGGTGAGTGTTCGGCATTTTGTACTATCCCTCTTCAGGGATTGATATGATCATTATCGTTCAAGGGAGCTTCCTGAGGGTTCAGCAACAATCAATGCGCCACAGCCATAGCTTACGTCTAGATAGCATTAATATGTTGCACTGGAACTCGGAAGATTCTAGACCAATGGATTGCGTGGGGGCAAGAGACACATACTGAAAACATCAGGCCATGTTGCCAAAGTAGTCGATGTGAGCTTCCTGATTCAGCTGTGAGGTCCATGTGGCATTGGGAACCTGTGCCACACATCTGCAGTCCTGGGCCACTCGAACGCATACAAGTGACCTGTAGGTCCGTTGTGGGCAGGCGAGGGAGCGAATGAGAGGGTTCCAGTTCAGCCCCGAGTCCGGAATTTTTATGTCCGAGACGAGTGGCCGAAACGACGTGTCCGTTGAGAACGATCTCATATAACGGCGAGCTGCCGCCTAAAGACTCCGTACGGGAGCACACACACCACTCACTATGTGCAGAAGTCCAGAGCGTTGCTGAAATATGTTTTTGGGACATATATATACAATCGAAGGAGCGCCGCTGCCAACACTTCCCCCAAACGAAAACCCAGCCCGACCGGACTTTTCGTAATTCACTCCGGAGCAATGCGCGATGCAACTATGGCACTAGAAAGAAACCCGGTCTCCAGCTTGCGCAAAACGCCTGTATCTATTGCGTATCTTTTTTCCCCCCTGGATAAATCAAAACAGCGAAATCGTAAGGGCGCCGTGATCGCCCCGCCTTGGTCGAGAGCGGTAGGGGTCGAAGCGAGGGCTGCCGGCTCAGTCGCTTGATACCAAGACTCGAATATGGCCCTCCCCAACCCGAAACGGGAAACATCAGAGCAATGCAATGCGAGACCTACCAAGTCTCAGCAATGTACTGGCCGACTTCCTTCTTGAGATCCCAGAACCTCTGGGCTTCTTCTCGCTCCAGGTTGCCCTTCTTCATGGCAACTTCCACCAGGGCTTCTTCGACACCCTCGCCCATACCCTTGGAGCTACCGCAGACAAAGACACGGCCATCAACCGAGTTGATAACGTACCAAACGAGGTCTGCCTGGTTTGCGACTTCTTCTTGGACGTATCTGCCTTCACCGCGGCGACTCTCAACAATGCGCTTTACGTCTTGCTCGTGCACACCCCATTCGCCACTATAGATCTCGTCGACGAGGGAGTCGCGGATGCCCTGAAGAACCCATACCTTGTTTGCACAGTTGGCGTTCTTCAATCTACGCTGCACAAAGCCTCGGAACGGAGCGATGCCGACGCCAGCTCCAATAAGGAGCATCGGGCCATCGGACACGAACTGCTTTGCGAGAGGGTTGGCCATCAAGCCCTTGAACATAGGAATGTACATCTGCGGCGCCGGCTGACCTGCACGCTGCAGTTCGGTGTATTTACGAGACTGGCGCTCGAAGAAGCCAGAGCCCACTCCTGTCCTCGCCCCCTTCTTCCAGTCGGAGGTCTCGTGGACCGTCACGGCAATCTCGATCAGCCGGTGCTGTTTCCCGTCACGGACCTCGAAGTTCTCGTGCGGATCGCTAGACAGAGAGTAGAAGCGGGGCATCAGCGGCTGAAGGAGGGATAGTACCAGGTCCAAGGGTGGCTTCGATGAAGGAAACGCGTGGAGCAACTGGGCGAGAGATACGTGAGGGCCAGTGCGGAAGTCGCAGAAGACTCCCTGTCCCTCACCGGCGCACAGGTACAAGAGCACCTTCTTCTCGTTCGGATCGTTGGCATACTCTGCCATGGCCCGCAAGAGCCCCTTGGTAGGTGGGTAAGACTGGATGTCCGAGCACCAGGTGAGTAGGTCTCTGCGGGTCGTGACGAGCTCCCGTCCTTGATCTTCGCCCCAGACGGTGGGCCACCGTCCACTCATGGTCTGCAGGAGGACGGGCTTGTCACGCAAGAAGCGCGGAACACCAAGGAGGTCGAGAATTTCTTCAACCATCTCGGTGTCATTGGGAGCTGACACTCCAATGGCGCCTCCGACCTTGAAGTCAAGGCCGTTTTCCTCGGGGTAGCCTGTGATATCCAGGTCGAAGTGGTAGGTACGCTTCTCAGCACCAGGCCGCGTCAGCTCCCGCGTGTTGTGGATTCTGGCGGGGAAGACGTTGTAAGGCGGGTGTGGCTGGACGAAAGAAGGCGGCTGTATTGTGGTGTCGAGGTCCTCCAAGGTAAGCTTCCCGAGGTCCTTCACCAGCGCAGATGCAGAGTTGTTTGATTTGCCGGATTCGCTGCCCACGGAGATGGCCGAGTCGGTGGGAGATGGTAGCCGCTCCGAAGTGCGTCGAATGGGCTTCAGGAAGGCCGTCTGCGGTGGCATGTCGGCAACATTGGACAGCATGGTGGGTATCTCTTCAATCTTAAGGCACAGAGACCGGAATGCGTCGTTGTCAGGCAGCGGCACGCGTTCATATTCGAGTCCCTCCTTCTTCTTGCCTAGCTTCATGCAGCAGCCGCCGCCGCAGCATCTGTTGATCAGCTCGGTCGTAGACTCGCCGGTGATGCGCTGGACGTCGGCGGCACTCTGGGAAATCAGCCGCGTCGAAGCACGGCGCCGCCTGTGAGGCTCCGGCGGCTGCGGCAACTCATCTTGGTCCTCCGAATCTTCGGAATATGTGAGGGACGGGGCGATGGAAGGGGTGCCTGGCGCACAAGGCGTGCAGTCACGGGCCGTATCGACCAGGATCTGGTCGATGCGTGCAGCCATTGTTGCGCGCTGTAAGAATGCCTGGTTGTGTAGGCGGTAGGTCAAAGGACAAAAGCAGGTTCAGAGGTTTGGCCTACTACGAAGAATAAGGGCCTCGGGACAAGCGAATTGGTAAGATCAACAAGGTAGAGGAGGTGTGCAATCTTGTCACCGGCAAGGCCTCATGACCAAGGGACTGGTAAAAAGTCAAAAGTGGCGTGTAGTCGGTACGAGAAGTGGAAGAATGAGCCCACACCCAACGGATCGGACCCGTGGTTCTCGGGAGGCAGTGGCTGCTGACTCGACTCGCGTCGCCTCGTCGTCGCCAGAAGCAGTCAATGGACAACAAAGAGTAGTATGCCGATTACAGGTGTGTCGAGTGTGTAGAAGTTGAGCAAACGCGTCGGCGTTCTTTGTGGGCATGCGGTGCGAGTTATGAAGTCTGTCAAGAACCGGCAAAGTGGTCGGCTTGTAGAGGGTGGGATCAGGATCAGATAAGTGAAAATGGGCGTGTACGGGTGTCGGCGCCCGCTGGGCCATGGGGCAGTCCCTGTGGGCTTCCCCCTAATCAGATGGAATTACAGCAGGGATGGGGGCCGATGACCGTCGATTACCTCACTGGGGGCTTGCGCTTACGGCAGCGCGCCCCCCGACGGCAGGGCCCTCGGGGCGGTCCCTACGCAGCAAACACTTACAAGCCTCCCAACTCCGATCCTCGCCGCACCACTGGGATTGCGTGCTTCCAGGTCTCGCGTTGATGATGATGATACGAATACGCCTCCAGCTCTCCAGAAGGGCAACGTCTACCCCTGTCCCAATTCCGTATCTCGTTTGAGCTGTGTCCATGTACAAGCACGTTGCGAATGACAAACTACCGTTCAGTGTCGCCTGCACAATTGCATAGCTGAGGGTACCACACCGATTGACCTCAGCAGAATTAGTAACGGGGTGTTCGGGGCAGTGGGACAGCTTGAGGTCATTACTCGGCGCTGTGACACAATTTTGCATTGCTGATCTCCAGCCAACAGCCACTGCCTAGAATCCCTGGCTGCCCTGATAGTAGTTACCACCGGGGCATAGCACCAACAAATCTCTGCCGGATGTGCTCCTCGGTTGGGTACTCGGTTCATGGGGCAATTCCGCGTGCGAACCGAAAACGCGGCTACGTTGGCGCTAGGGTCTACGTACGGCCTGTCGTTCTGGCCAGCACTGATTGTTGGCGCATGACAGATACATAGTTAGCATGGAATGCTCGCAACATGGCGAGACTTAACGTCCAATTGGCCAGCAAGTCGCGATTCAGCCCGAGCTGCGGTGACGCTTGCTGGGCTCTCGCCTGCCACCATCTTCCAGGTTGGCTGATGAGACGTTCTGAAGTTCTTGAGAAGCCAACACGGTCGACCCGCGAGCCGGCGTGTCTCCACCGAGATCAGCACATGATCATTCTACTTGCATGGTCGGAACTGCTCCCCGCCGTCAAGTGTTAGTCCGCGGGGACGCCGCTGAGCTTCTCCTATCTAATTCAACTCAAGCAATTCGTTCCTTGTCGGTTTGGAAGGTCCCTCAGGCTCCATTCTTCTGCAGCTGTGCCCGACTAGGTTGACTATGTCCTGCAGCAGTGGGCAAAGTTGCAGCGTCCCTGGGGTAGAATCTCTTCGAATCACACAAGCTGCATTTGAGGCATACCGTGATGCCATTGATACGGACACACCTTTTCGCCTGTTGCTTTTCTTGTGCTTCGACCATTTCCACGGGCAGGCTGGCAGCGCGTCAGCCAAGGATGGATCCCTCCTCTAATTAATTGCTCAGGTAATCCCGACTTCCATAGGAGGCGCTCAGATCATCCTTCAATCTAATCAATCTCCTCGGCTCAGTCAACGTTTTATCAATCTGATCTAATCTCCCACCAAAGTCTCAGCTCCGAGACCGGTCGCAGGAAAACTCAGATCTGTGCGACATTGCTTTTTGGGTGACGCCAAAACACCTTTTGTCAGGGTGAACCCACTTGGCGTAACCTTGTCGGAGAAAAAAAGATCTGATAACGCAAACTCTTTGGCTACAGCACGCCATTGGGCAGGCACGCACCGGCATATCAGGGAGACGCATCGTGTTTTCCATTGCCTAAATAGATCTCATTTCAGTACACGCGATGGGACGCGATCATCGTCACCACTCTCCTCCGAAGCCTCCGGCGGTCTAGGGAGTCTCTACCGAGGGAGGAAGTGCACGTGTAAACCTCTTTTCACCACAGAGACCGGAGTCCAAAATGCCACTTCCTCTATGTTGTCCTCCTACCTGGCCGAGTGTACAGTATAGTACATACAGGACGTAGAGGACAAAGGATCTGATAAGATTGATTAGATTATGAGGTTTCAGGGACCACGCCAGAAATGGAAATGGAGTGTCTATCCTCAGCTCGCGTAACAATGGCTCAAGTCACGGTGGAGCCCGGCAATTTAGGAGACCCCCGATAGAAGACTGATGGAAGCATACAGGGAAGTAAGCAGCTAGGGCTGAGCTTCGTGTTCTGCCTGCTCATCCAAACACATCCATGGACATGGTTACTTGAGGATTTGTCTCGGCGGATCTGCAGTGTCAGCAACTCACAGGTGTGCCAGCCACCACTCCTTGTATTGATTGCACCGGGCTTGCGGCATCCATAGCGATGCAAAGCCCAGACACTGATGAAAACTTTGTTGCTCGGCAGATTGTGACATCCACTCCCTATGTAGAGTTAAGGACAGCCTGCCGGTACATTGCAACTTCTACGTGTTATGGTGCTCTCCGATGCTGCCGGAGTGTCGCGGTGCGTCTACTTCGTGGCAATGTTAATCTATGATCAGGGCGAACAAGGGCTAGTATCAGGCATATCAGCATGGCGAGCATTGGGCATGTTTCTAGTTCATTGGGTGATATCATGTCATACTGTTAAAGTCCCTCAATGTTTGGGGGTCCCTGGATATATTGCTCTCCAGGTCATTTGTAGGGAGGACGGATTTGTTGGCTTTTAGAGCCTGGCAACAGCAATAATACTGAACCTCGGTAATTACACCCGTATCTCATCAAAATAGGTACAGCAAGTGGCCTGCAAGCTTGATAGGCTCAAAGCAGAAACCAACAGCAGCCACAATTTGAGGCTACATTGCCTGCGGTAATTACTGTAACTGAGCCAGATCTACTCCGGAATGTCTCTCTACTTGGCCCCGTGTACTGAACGCCCATCCTTGAGTCGTGACTCTAGAAGAACCCTTCTACGTGGCCTAATTCGGATACGGCTCAAAGATGCCGATGCGCTCTCGGACGCCATTCCATACCCAAGCCAGCAATGCGACATGGTTGAGGGGAATATTCAGGAGGGATCAACCAGTGAGAAGACCTAATACAAGGTTATATTCTTGTTTGTCGTCAGACATCCGACCGGGACTTTGCATATCCCAGTTGAGGACAAGTGGCAACCCTATATCTCCCCTCAGAGGCCCGATCGTCAAAGACGCAGTGATGGTTCTTCTTCCAGGTGAATACGACACGTTGACCTCACGCGTCACAAAGTACACGAGTATAGCGCTGAAGAAGAAGACCATTTGAGAGCTTTGGGACGCCCGAGGCCACGAAGCGGTCCCAGTCCTCTGCCAAAACCGAGTCGTACCATGGCCTTGACACCATACGTGCTGTCAGTCAATGTCCAATCTTGATCTGCAAATCAAAGTGGTCGAATAACCCTCCCACTGAAGTCCGACTAAGATTAGGTCGGGAATTGTTCTTCCAACATCCATTTCACGCCCCTTCGAGGTACCAGTTGGACACCAACGAAGGTTGCCAATATGAAATTTTCTTTCGCGGTAGTATTGCAAGGTGAAGTCACCCTGACTGACACCCCAAGACAGTGAGTGAGGTTAAATTGAGCCATCGTCTGCATGCGAGTACAGCGCATATCGCGTGCCTATCATCCTCCTTCCTTGTGAGCTATTTGGTCGAATAGGTCTCGATCACACCAGTGATACCGTGTGTCGACTGGACTTTAGTAATCTGAGGAAAGGCTGACTCCTTGAAGGGAAGTCCCTTTATTACACTTCCGTCAGGATATGTGATTCTTCAAGAGGCCGCTGCAGAACCTCGTGGCAGTGCATAACCTGGCATTGATAATAGACCTGGTCATCTGAGAATATAGTCGGCAGCACGATAACAATGCCTCTTGGCAGCACCAGACTCCTTGCCGCCAGTTCGATGCCTAGCTGCGTGAAGCGCGGTCTTGCATGGATGCCACAATAAGTAAGTCGTCAATTGTGTGTGTAGCTGGCATAGACGTGGAAGGTTCCCACTTAGGGAGGTTCGTATGCTAGATTTTCTCCTCCCACAGCGATGATAGTAAGTTCGGCTCCATAATAGATGATACTCATTTCGCAGTTTCTAAATGTCCATCTGCATCCAATGGTTGGATGTAACACCGGTGAATATAGGCGCACCTTCGCCCTCATTTCAGTGTCACTTTGCTGGTGCGAGTAACCTCATCAGGGATTCTGGCGAGGGTCGAACTTGCGCAGTCAAAGTAACACAAAGCGTCACGGGGCCATACTTTTTCAGCAGCAGCAAGTCGACGAGGTACTATGTTGCCATCTGTATACCATATTCCAGGAAGATAGTATTCGCCGGGTTGCCGCCTACAGTCAGAGCGATGGTACTTTCGGGAAACCCCGACCCACCACTTGCAATGGCCGTAGTCCGTGGTGTTTCGTTTTATTTAGCTCAAGATGAAGGAGAGAGTGACAGCCAGCTGAAATGCCGCTGGAGCGTCGATTGACTAGTTTCTCAATGCATCCCATTTCAAGCGCGCGATCACCAGTGGATCTTATTCAGCTTCTCTCATAATGGCCCACAGATGCTGGCTCCGACCGCTGATAGTGTGGAAAATATCCTTGGACTGAGTTGAAACGTTCAGGCCGCTTCCAGATGGCCTAGAAGTTGTGTGGCCTGGCGTTGTCAAGAATATTGCGGATATCAACCGACAGAACGTGCTTATTGCGTCAAGCCTTTCTATGTTACTCTGTACCTTGTCAAAGACCTAATTTAATCCGTATTGAAATTTTGCAAGAGGGGATACTCCCGCAACGGAGGCGGAGTCCTTACTTTCATACTTATGACATTGTCATGGGATGAGAGGACTTTCCAAGTGGACTTCAGAATTCACCATCGTCCGACATTGGCTACCACCTTCCGGACACGTTCCGCGACTGCTCAAAAGTGGAATGGTAAGCTTGGTCTGTGTCACTAGAAAGCGGCGAAGAGTTAAACGGTCGAAGGGCATGGAATGGCTTAAAGTATAGGATGGCATCAATGAAGTGCATGTGGATAATATTAGCCCCTAGAGACGGGCAAGTTACCTTTGCTCGAAAACCTAAAGCATACACAGGGATGTTTCTCACGTGCTTTGAGTGAGAGATTCGTGCCTTGTTGAGAAAAGAAAATACATCCGTCATGTCCTGTAAAGTCAGACTAAGTTGCCAGTAATCGGACCATCTGTACGGAATCCCTTAGTACTTGTACGTAGTCCGCTTCGTTTATTTGCTTTCATAAGTGCTCCAGTTAAGTATTGACGTGGCTTAGGAAACCTAGCGAGAACTCGTGAACTACAACATCGATGTAACATGAGTAAATACTATGGTAAATACTGTAGCATATACGTATACTTTGAGCCTCCGCATTACAAGTTTGTGACTGTTTGCCAAGCTCGACTTAAAACCAGGTAACACGGTACGAAGGCTGAATAGAGGCAACATATATGAACGTGGATTTGTTTCCAGTTAGGCATGGTTCTCTCCCACGCGGAAAACTACCCAGGTGCGATGCATGCTTATAATCAATTCGGCACGATCACTTGAATGATATTCGGTTCGTTGAACTTGTACGCAAGGCTGGGCTGCAACTGCTCTCATTGGCAAGTATTTCTCACTCAAACCCTCCGCAAAATCAACACTGGGTTAGGGATCCATTAGACCACCACGAGCTCCAACTGGCGTGATGCCTTTCATGGGAAGTCCATCGGGGTGGTTATGGGACATCAAGTAGATGGAATCATGCCCACTAGACCGTACGAACATACTGCTACAACTACGACCCCAGGCTATTAACTGAGCGGTGGGAAATTCTGACGTGCAAGTATCACTGGGAGGAGCAGCTGCGGTAACAGCACTTCTCATTGTGCGTCATGTCAACTTTGACCCATTGTACTGACATAACTTCTGACTTCGGAGTCTCCTTTCTCTGGTCGTTCCTAACAGATGCGGTTGCAAGACATCAGATGAGTCTCGGTTCCAACCTTGTGGTACCGTTTGGGGGCCAAGATCCGATTCGCGGAATCTTGCGCCACGCAAGCCCTTATGCAGAGATTGGACGGGTGAGAGGAGTGACATCCAAAAGCTTCTCTGTAGCCCGAGAAACGCAGAGATCTAATACCACACAGTCGCCTTGGTATCGTCAGGAAACGCCAACTGCTGCCAAGTTCGCTAGGTGCCGTCACATGTGCTATGTATAGAGACAGAATAAACTTAGAGCCTGGAGAGGTCAAGAGAAGCCGAGTGGAAGCTTTTGAGGCAGTAGCAGCAGGCGGCAGAACTTGCCCATCTGATATTTAGCCTGCTTCTGAAGCTTGGCTAGATGCTTATCGAGGAAGATGGCAGGCAAGCGGAAACTTGCTCGCAGTTTCGGGGTTTGACCCGTGCTGCTTGCTGCAAAATGCAGGCCATGTCAAGCTCCTTGACGGGCCGTTTAGTGGATCGGTTGGGGATCCGCGCCTGGGGCCCCATGACTGGAGACGTAGCCAAGAGATTCAGAACAGTGCGGTCCGGCAACTGAAGAGTCAAACAAAACAGGGCAAAACCGCTGCTGTGGGTGAGGCTGGTCGCGCCTCACCTGTTCAAGGGAGACGCTGCTTTGCGCGCATCGAGAGCCTCCCAGAACCGGAAAGCCTCGAGCCGTGGAATCTCCTGCGAACGGACGATTGGGATCAGCGCTGCGGTTTCTCGTTTGCGCGGCTGCCCCGAAGCCAGCCCACCTGGCATTGGGGCATTCCAGAGCAGCTCCTCAATTGCCGCTCTCGTGAGAGATTGACAGCGCCTGTGCCCTCTTTTAGTGGCACACACGAGTGACGTTATCGACGACTATCAAAGGGATCTCTCGTTGCCGTGCTTAGGGCGCCGCTAACAACTGCGTCCAAGTGGGCTCTTGCGGGCTTGGGGTCAATCGGGGCAATGTGACGCGCTTGGAGCCGCGGGACTAGGGTCCGGACGTGGCAGGACCCGACTCCTTAGCACGGCGCCTTTGCAGGCCCTGTTTCAGAAGGCCCGCAACTGTCTGAAAACCGAAGAGGATACCGCACATCAGTAACAACCTTTTCCAGAGTGTGTCCATGGGTCCTCGCAGCTCCGAGGCCATGGTCACGTTCAGGCTTCGGCGGCGGCGGCTTCCCGTGACGGCTCGGGATTTGGTGTTTGAAGCCTCACTCATTTGTAGAATGGATTCCGAGCTCATTTCAGGTCTTCTTTCATCTCTTTCTCTCCTCTCTCGCCGCTTCTATTCGCCTACCCGTGACTATATTTCAGCTGTTCCCCAATCCGGAAGTCGTCGCTTCCGAAGTGGGGCCAATTTGGGATATAGTAGCGTCTGGTGGTTGTCACTCTTGTCACCGAGCTTGTTGGTCTCCACCTGTCAAGCTTAGCACTCTCAGATCTGGTAATCATTTTCTTGGAATCTGGATGGCGCCTTGTCCTAGCCACGAATCACCTTTCGGCCTTTACTATTTTCAGGCTTCGTCGAAGCCCGCCTCCGTTGGTCTTTTCACTAGTCGGCCTCGAGGAGTATCTGCTTCTGCCACTTAATACTAACCACCCAGACGTCACTCTCAACTGGCTTACTCCATGATACATAACGGTCAGGGCCTCGGTAGCGGACGCGGTACCCTCTCCCCCCTCACTCCCTATCCTACCTCGCCATTCTCTGGGCTCTCGCAGTCATGGAGGCCGTTCAACCCACCTCAAACTTGACATCGACAATCGAGGAACTGCCTATGGGCAAAGCCCTTGTCAGTGACAGTCTCAGTTACTACGTCGTGATATCGGTCGCTTTACTACTGGCGTTCTTCCTGAAGCCAAGCAAAGACAGCCATGCCTCAGTCCCGTTCTACAAGGCGTCGAGGATGAAGTGGATGTTCAATGCCGACTCGTTGGTCCGCGACAGCTACAACAAGGTAGGCTCACCACTTAACTCCCTCGACTTGGTGAACACCCGAAAGCTTATGTTCATCTCAGTTCCGGGACCAAGTGTACCAAATCAAGGCCACAGAGGGTGTTCGGACTTTGGTGCCGTCCAAGCTCGTGGGCGAACTGAAGAGCCTCCCTGAGGAAGTCTTGAGCGCATCCCAGGCTATCAACGAGGTTTGTTTGACCGTTCTCAGCTGGCAGGGCTTAGTACTCACCATATCTCACAGGCGATGTTGGTCGAATACACGAGGTTTACGTTTGGCCTGCACCACGACGCGGTTACGTTGCTCATGAAAACCAAGTTAACACAGCAACTTAGCCGATTGGTACCTCGGATGAAGGAAGAGCTGGAGTTTCTCGTCAGGGAAGAATTCCCGGATTGTGAGGAGTGGACCCCCGTCAAAATACAACCCTTCCTGATCCGCGCCATCTCGAGACTGAGCGGAAGCGTCTTCGTTGGCGCTGACCTGGGCCGAAGCGAGCAGTGGATGGATACGAGTGTCAACTTCGCAATTCATGTTTTCATGGCAGTGATCAAGCTGCAGTTCTTTCCGACATGGCTGAGACCGGTTGCGCAGTATATCGTAACCGATCTGGGGCAAATCAACCGAGATATTTCAAAAGCGCAGGAGATGCTGAAGCCCATCATCGACCAGAGGTTGCAGGACGCGGAGTTGGACCCTAGTGGCGAGAGACCTGACGACTTTATGCAGTGGTTATTGGACGCCCTTCCGGAAAAGCAGAAAAGAGATTACCAACTGCAGGCAAAGCTGCATCTAATTTTATGTGCTGCGGCGATACACACCACAAGTAATCTGGCGACGGATTGTATATACGACCTGGCCACCCATCAAGAGGAGCAAGATATCATACGCGAGGAGGCAAAGGAGATACTGGAAGATGAGCAAGGTTGGGCCAAGAAGGAGGGCATGGGCAAGCTCAAGAAGATGGACAGCTTCATCAAGGAATCCCAGCGCCTTGCTGGAAACGTCAGTAAGTTTTACTATGAAGATATACCCTGTACCGCTCGACGCTAATCGCTCGCAGCATCTTTCATTCGCAAAGTCGTCAAGCCGATCAACCTCTCAGACGGCACGTACCTCCCGGCTGGCACTAACCTCTTGGCTCCCCAGTGTGGAATCAGTCACGATGAGCGCTACTTTCCGGATCCCGAAGTGTTCGACGGGTTGCGGTTTTGGAAAATGCGACAGGAGTCGGCGGAGGGGGGGAATCGGTGGCAATTGACCAGCATCGGCGACTGGAATATCAACTTCGGCCTTGGTAAACACGCCTGTCCGGGACGCTTCTTCGCCGCCAATGAGATCAAGCTGGTGCTGGCTCACTTCCTCCTGAACTACGACATCAAGCTCAAGGACGGCGAGCAAAGGCCCGAGCCGATGATGTTCATGATGAGCAAGACCGCCAATCCTAACGCCGAGATTTTGTTTAAACGGCGATCTATCGTATGAAGGACACAACTGCAGCAATATTTATATATCGGTGACAACTCACGCAGAGAGACGGTTACCGAACAAAACGTGTCACGGCCCGGTGTCGTGATGCACAAACATGAGAATAGAATTTCTGGAAGACATGGTGGAACATGTATATAACCCAATCATCGTAAGATCATTTGGCGCCAACGACATTCGAGTCGGTGGCAGCCGGAGTTGGAGGTTGGAATCTGTACATACGGGCCAGCATCATTTGCATTATTGGAGACTTCGATCTCCGGGTTGAATTACAAGCATGCTTTACGCCTTTCATGGCGGAAGTCGAAATCAATTGATAAAACAATCACTATCCAAGATACCCAAAAGAACCTGCTGCTCCGTGAATCCTTCATTTCTCAGTCTTCAGCAGACAGTAGGCCGTCTTGCGGCTTGCCGGTAGTGCCTGATTCCGCCTCAGAGTTCTCTGGGTGCGACTTCGATTCCTATGTTGAAGTCAGCTCCGACCCACCTATTGCTCCTGCGCCTGCTTCCCATAAACTTACCAGGATACTCGAAACAGCCGACAATCCCGTCGTTGTTCGTGATCAGTGTATCTACTCAACAGCATCAGCTCTTGTTCGATAACCGGAACCTTCAGATGCGATGGAAGGACATACTCAAGTCGAATTGAGTAGATTGGTAGCGATTGTTCGACATCCGGCATTGACAGTTTATGTTAGCATCCGTCGTCGACGCCGAGCAGGAGTTGCAGGAATTGAAGGCATATCCGCTAACGTGTCAGCCGTCAGCGTTTTCTCATTTCTTACAAGCTGGTAGGCTGGAAAGTCCGACGGGCACCTAATTCTTTGACTGACTTTCTCTGTGCTTTCAATACCCCCTCCCTGTTTGTGAGGCAGTCGTTCAAGTCGATAGCCCCAGTATAGTTTGCGCCATCAGGCCCCGGACACTTCGATACCAAGAAGTTGTTATTGCCATGGTAGCCAAGGGACCAGGATTTGGAACATTCATCATAGAAGCCTTGCGCTACGGCCAGTGACAGGCCGAGAGTAAAGGGGAATAGTATTGATTTCATGTTCTTCGTTCGGAGTCTGGATGTCCCAGATCTGGGTCAAGTATAGAGAGGACGAATAAGGTACAATTGGCCTTGACTTTCGGTCAATCGGTATTTGCGTCGATTACTAATAGTCGTATCTCAATGCAATGAGGCAAGGTGGTCGATGATGCAGAGATACCGTACAGAAGCGAAGACCCGATCAACATTCGTGCTTGCAACTTCAAGCCACCCAGAATATATATACTCCACCTCGTGAGTGGCTGTACCCCTAGTCTAGATTGTAGGACTCATGGGAGGTCGATTAATATCCCAATTCCTCTGTCTGCACAACGCCACAGTCGCAGTCGGTAGCTTCTCCAATCCCGCGGGGGAAGCAGGGGAAGCACATTACCTGAACGAGACAATGACGATGCGGCGTTATAGGGTTCCCCGCACTATTGCAACAGCTATGCTTCCCTTGACCAACATATATCCAGGAGGGGGATTGCGGAGAAGGTCAGCGCGACATTCAGTCGAGCATGTTAGTACTGCGCATGCTGCTGTCAAAGCTCTGGGAAAGGCCAGGTGATCAGAAAGGCGGCCGACTCAGCGGCACGATATCGGTGTTCTGAGACTGGGTAGCGCTGGCTGACAACCAATCTATCTATATTGGTTGCAACGCTGACCTGAGACTGAATAATCGTGTGGGGTAAGGTGAAGCATTCCAACTCAGGCCGTGCTGAGCGTTCCGCCTTCTGTTTTGGTAACATCAAGGTACATGTGGCTGCGGCGGCTAGCCGTGCTTACGGTCTAAACCCTTCTATATCTTACTTGTTCAATAGCTGGGCCGTTTGGCTGTTGATGTGATGCAGGGAGAAGTTCGACATATCGCATTAGCTGGGACTTACTACTTACTACAGAACTTGGAAAAGATTATGGTGTATCAAGCCCTTAGGCCAGGCCTCACAATTAAGATGAGCAAAGAAAATGATTCTGATTATGTTCATATCATTATGCAGAAACGACTGGGTATCTAAAAGGTGTCGACGCGCTCATAAAGCAACAAGGCAATCCAACTAACTGAAGCAGTCGCTATCACAAACCAATATATGGGTTATGAGATGCCATCGTTATCGATCATGAAGCGTCGTTATTTCATCCGTGGCAAAGCACCAATAGTCTTTGAACCATACTGACTTTCGGTACAATAGCCAGCCATTGCCAAAACCCGTAAATTAAACCTGAGCCTCCCATTAAACCTTGTTGGCACAAGAAGGTGCTCTTCCGCCAATGACACCCTGCAGCCCTGGAGACTCGTCCCGCGGCTTAGTCCAGTAGAAATAATAATAGAAGTGCGCGAGCGCTGATAGAAGAATCGAAGGTTAGTGTGAAGAGAAGTGGTCTTCAGCACCATGAAGCCCTGGCAAAGGGATACAGTGAGTGAATATCAAAGACGCCGTACTGTCTTAGCCGGCATTCCGGAATGCTTGTGCGGGCTATACAGTCCACATCCCCGGTGAAGGGAATTGGTACCAGCCCATTTCTATGGAGGCCTGTCTCCCTAGGTGTGATGCTGATTGGGCTTGCGCCCTCTTCAATCTTGAGTGAACCATCCAAATGCAATGTAAAATGTCTCCCTGTGGTCCAGTTTCGGTGTTGTGTCGGCCAGAATAGAAATGCCGAATCTTGAATTAGAGCGGTACAATGTTTCGGAAGATCGCAAATCGAATTCTTCGAGACGGAATAAATGAATGCAATGAAATCGAACCCGACACGGATATCTTCCTCCATGAACGCAGGCCGGATAGTATTGGTGATGGTTAGGCTTGAAGGTGATGTCCAGGTTAGATACTAGAGACTCTGCCTCGAGTCTCGGGGACCTTCGCGTAGCAGACCATCAGCTTCAAACTAGTGTTCCACTCTTCGCACTCGGCCAACAGAAGACGGTCGTCCCAGATGCTTTTGGCGATGCCAGTTGGCGTCTCATAGAGTCGGCTATACCACCAACGACCGACTTTCGCTACCATTTTGGTGATATTCTCATCGCCCATTTCCGTCTTGTCGTTCATCATCTCTGCCAAGCTCCGCTCATCCTTCTTCTTCTTCATCATCTTTGTGTCTCCGTCAACAGCAGGCTTGGTGACTGAACTCGCTACAGGAACACCAACTCGACAAGTCTTCACGTCAATGAAGCCTCTCCTGCCTAGGAGGCGCAGAATGAGGTCAGCTGTGCTACTCAAATTGATCTTGTCGGGTTGAACGCTGACGCGTTCTTTTAAGCGCCGAACAGAACGCCTCGTGCGATTACCCATGTTGTTGAGATCGACGTCTAGAACGGAGAGTTCAATATAGCCGCCGGGTTTCAAAACCCTCTGCGCCTCTGAAATGATGTTGCGATAGTGAGCTTCAGGGGCAGCGGCAGGAAATCGGAAAACGACGGTGGTGAAGCTGTCCGGTCCGAAAGGAAACTTTTCCAGATGTGAGTTGTACTGTATTTGATGGTGATTGGAAGGTGACGATGGAAACTGAGTAGAGGAACGGTGTTCTTGAGGTAACGGTGCCCGCGGAGAAAGATTGAAGAATGTCGCTGCTGGATAAGTCTCTGCTGCGTAGAATGACCAATCGTCGTTCCCAAGTCCGTCGATAACCAAGATCGAGTGCCTCTTCAGCGATCCGACAACTGGAATCAACTCATCGCGAGCAGGACTGAAGAGGACATGCCCGAAGGTAAGCCATTTGCTGACTGTCATAGAGCCAACTCGGAGGTTAACTTGCGAAAGAGGTGTCTCTTCACTGGAGGCACTACAGTCGGACGCTCGCGTGTGGCGACTTTTGGCTGAGCAAGAACTGCTTCGTTGAGATGCCAAGGCTTTGGTTGGTGCCGCGTTATTGTTTCGTTCACCATACCCGGACACAAACTCGGATACCGAAAATGGGGTAGATGGAGGATCCGACCCAAAGTGGAAAGCCGCATTGATCCTCGCCGCCATATCGGCACTGTAATGGCTTGAAGATGTAGCGGCCTTGCCCATCTCAACCGAGTCCCTGAGATCTTTAGCGTCCTGCGTTTCAGGCTTGGTTCGGATCGTTGGAGATTCGAGTGGTTTAGTAACCTTCCTCGCAAGTCGCGTTTCGTATGTCTCAAGATGGAATGGAACTCCTTTAGAAGAAGTCGCTGAAGGGGGAACGTCACCTAGTAAGTCGTTATACTCGTCCCAGATCTCATCTTCGGCTAGCGGTGCAGTCGCAGTAGGCACTACGGCGGTATGATAGGTGTAGCTTGCTATGCCCGAATTGGTAGACCCCGAACTCGTGGTACCGCCCGAGTTCTTGCGTGGGGAAAATGCGAGAAACTCTCTGCCAGATCCTCCAAAATCTAGAGACCGGCTCTTCCTGTGCCTCAGAACTTGGCGGGGCGAGACAGTTCCACCAGTCGTGACCGTCGATGCATTTTGCGAAAGCTCTGGAGTGGATGGTCGTGGCGGGCTTGGTCCGAGAGCGATCGAGTCGCAATCAACTTGGGTGGGGTTTGGAGGAGGGAGCTGGAGACTGATGCGGTTGAATGGTCTTGAAAAACTCTTGGGCGAAGTCTGCTCTGGTCGAGTGTTCACAACTTTGGGTATTCTTCCGACTTGCGGCAGGCGACTTGGTCTGCCCACGGGCGGTTTTGCAGAAGTCTGGCCCGCCTGTATCTCGGGCCCATTACTCCTTGCTGGAGTTTTCACCAGGGGAATGGCGTGACGTTGGTCTGGACCCTTGGTCTGTACTTGCTCGGGACCCTTTGACACTATTTGCTCCTTTTGACCTTTCGATGACGGGCTCTCTTGTTGCTCATTTGGCAGTGTCGATGTGAGGTGCAAACCTGGAGGAAGCAAAACCTCGGCCTCCCTCAATATCTGGCCCATGTCCTGCTCTTCAGAGTCTTCTTGTTCTGATGAGTCCATCATAGTGTAGAACGCAACAGGCTTAGTTGGTGCTACTTTCACCGCAGCCGTGACAGCCGCCGCTTCATCATTCTTCTTTGACTTTGCTGATTGATTATGCGATCTACCAAATAAATTCCATTTTCGCGGAGATTTGACACGTTTTGTCAGCTTCTTTGGAGCCCCACTGGCCTCGCTTGCGTTCAGTTTGGCCGGTTGGTGCTCCGCTTCCGAAAGAGCCAGGGAGTCGTCCGTGAAGATTGTAGTGGCTACACTTGCGAGTGACGGCGATGTGATCCCTCTAGTGTTAATAGGCCTTGGAAGCTTGAGGGGCTCTTGGTCCGGAGATGACCGAAGTCGTTGGACAGATCTCCTGAAGGCAAGAGTTGACTTCATGGTCACACCATCAGACTCACTCGCCTCAGATGGGCGACGTGAGCGGACAGAGTCGCGAGGAAATGCGGATGGCCAGAGTGTATTCCTTGCATCTCCCCGAGACGAAATTGAGATTGAAGACCCATTGCGGGACTCAACACTAGGACGGGGTTGCGAGAGGCTTTGGTTGCTTTCTGTCCGGTTCAACTCAGCACTGGCATTCCGATTCTCGATCACTTCACCACCTGCAATCACCACTGGATTCAACCGTGCCAAGAAGAATGGATCTGTCGACTGAGTGCTTGTCAAGCTGTCCGATGATGACGCTGGCCCAGAAGGTCCTCGAACCACATTAGCCGCGTTGCTACTGCGCCTTCTCAGGCCTCCGATTCGCCCGTAGCCTTCATGGCCTGTACCGGCTGCTGGCCCTTTGCGTGGTGGCTTCTCTTTCTTTCCTAACGTCACATCCGTGTCCGTCTTGCGTCTCCCGAAGATCCCGAACCTGGACCTGAAACCCGAGACACTTGGACTAGGAGTTCGGCTCGTCAAGCTAGTGTCCGCTTTTGTAGTTGGAAGGCCTGCGGAGGATGCAGATCTCGGTGCTGGCGTCGGCTCGCGACTGACGGGTAGTTTTGATGATGCCGCACGATCATTGGACTGTGAAGGAGTAGTTGACCTAGGTAAGGAGCTTGGCGCTAACTGATTGCTTCGGCGTCTTTCTGTTAGACTTGTGGATGACAGGTTGCTGTGTACAATAGGAACGGGCCCGCCAAACTGAGAGTATAGATCCGGGGTTCCTTCTCGACTAGGTCTGGACGGAGGTAAAGGTCTTGATTGCGGAGATGCAACACTCCTCGGTGTTGTCCCACCGACAACTGGAGAAGACTTCAATGGTGGCGGTGAGCTCATTGTGGATTTAGAAGGAGAGATATCATTGCTCTTGCCCTTCCTCAACTTCTGCGAAGATTTCCTAGGCGGTGGATTGGGAGGAGCTGTTTTTCCCTTCCTTTCTTTCTTCTCTCCACTGCGAAGAGTCGAGCCTGAGGACGAAGATGTCAATGCCTCCGTGACGACCGCGAGGCCTTGTGGACCTGTGGCAAACTCTTCATCGTCGTGCACCAAACTTCCGGCTCTCCTCCGTGATACAGGTGGTCGTGTCTCGGCCGTGCTCTCCTGTCGAGCCCGTACAGCAGGATTGCGTAAAGGTACGACAAGGCTGGGTGATGCTGACGACATGGATGTTGGGGTAGTGTCTCGACTATAGGGGCCAGGTCCAGGTGACTCAGAAAACCTCGTCGAAGGGCTTCCACTGAAGTTACTCATTTGGCTATGGCTGCTCGCACCCGAGAAGAGCGGAGTAGGCGGAGGTAGGTCGTGGGTTGCTAGCCTGAAGAGCATCTCGGCACCAGGACCATTTCGAGGGACCTGTATATTGCGATACCTGTCCAACTCAGGGTAGATCATGGTAGCTTCGGTGGGCGGCATAGGAAGTGCAACCTGGTGGGCTATTGATATCTCGGCTGGGCTTGCGGTGAGGCTTCGATCCATCTGGCCTGCATGGGTGTCGACTGATGTCTGTGACCTTGGTATCGACGATGACGAACTGGTCCTCCCCGAGTGCTTCCTGGCGTTACTAGGGATATCAACTGCCTCCCGAGACACGCTGGACTTTTTGCGTCGCAGGACATTACGCGCTTGGGTGATGCCTGCATTGACATTCTTGCCGGGCAAGGAAGTATTTGCGTGGGTTGTTACCGTTGAGCGGCCTGTTGAGTTTGTTGAGCTCCAGGAGTTGGTTTCATGTGCAAGTGGAGGCCGAGTTGTGGCTGAGATGGATGGCCTTCGGAAGGAATTCTGAGGTATCCGACTCTGCGTCTTGCTCTGACTGGCCGAGGTTGGCTTATGCTGAAGAGTGTCTGTTTCCTTACGAGCCGCACTCGTCAAGGCTGCTGGAAATTCCTCACCAGCGGTTTCCATGACACCACCCATTCTTTTCGACCGCGAATCCTCACCGGTCCTACTCCTTGACTGAGACCGCGATCGTACCGACGCCATATTGCTCATATCGTATTTCGGTTGTCGTCCAGTTTGCACATAGTATTAAGCCCGCATGTCGATTTCGGTGACAGAAAGAAACCTGGGTAGCATATGTTGCTGGGTATTACTGATTGCGATTAACTGTAGCCTCCAGGGAAATCCAGTTACTGCCACGTAAGAGTTCAGGCCAGCTGGACATAGGGAAACAGTCTATCCAAGGGAGCGCCAGTGAGTGTGTTGGTCGAGGTGCCCGGGATATCCAGCCCTATACAGAGGAGAACACTCCAGTACCAAAGTTGGCCCGGTGGGAGCCCGCAGGGTAGTCACGTTGAAATGTTGGAAGAAACGAAATTAGAATATGATGAAGAAATCACGAAATATAGTCTCCTGGACAAAACGAAGCGAACAAGGATCCCCGTGGAACGCAGGCTTGAGGGAACGAGGTTCCGAAAGAGCTAGTCAAGCTGGGAGGGTGTGGTGCTATGTGGTGCGTGGCACCCGAACTAAGAGCTAGAAAGGTGTGGGTGGTATGTTGATGGTGGGGACTGGGCGTTTAACAAAATGTCGGCGCTGGGCTCGAATAGCGAGGCTTGCGCCGTCACCTAGTGAAGCGGCTCACTTGTAAGAGATGTTGATGTTTTCCGCAGCCCGAAGAGCGATGTGGGCCGGAAAGAAACTTGAGAGCTGAAGTTCAGAGTAGGCAGGCCAGGTTGTGTCAAAGACCAACTAGTAGTAAAGGTATAGAGGAGAGGGAAGAAACCATGAAAGTGACAGGCGTGAAGTCAAAAAGAGAACAGCCACCCATGGAGACTCTGAGCAGAAAGAGGGCTGTAGTGTACAGATACATTGGCGCATGGCATTATATTAGACAGTGGCAGAAGTACCGAGTGGGAGGGAGCAGATTCCGAGACCACGGTACATCCATAGCAAGTATCGATTTTTGACGATGTGGCGTCTAAACCCATGTCGACAGCCAAGGAGCGACCCTTTGGACCATGTCGACAAGTCACCTGCCCTTGGACAGTACTGGACTCGCCGATTACTTGGTCTGGTTGGTAGAGGCCTACACAGGCTTTTTGCGGAGACATTGGCCAAGCAGATCGGTGGGTCGCACCACTGAAGACACCAAAGGTACCCAGCATCGCTGAGTCACCGAGGGGTGAAGAGGAGAGTAGCGCTGCCCTGTACCCTGCTGGCCGAGCACGCGAAAGCGGAGGCCGGGGTGGAGGCAGAGGCAGAGAAAACACACCCCATGCGAACCGTTGCAAGGCATCAACTATTCCTGGAACATGATGCCTACGGGACGTTCTGGTGGCGGAGTCGGCCAGGCAAGAGAAAGCAGGAACGGACGCTGGAGCGCAGAACTACTGGGCCTCTGTCTTTCGTCTTGCGCAAGTACGTACAGCATGCAATCAAGGGCTGCTGATGTGCGCTGCAGCGCGACTGCACTGCCATGCGCGTAACATGTCTTGGATGCTGCATATTCCGACGTCCTATGAGAACGCTGTGGTGTGCGCTGGACCACCCTATTCGTCGGAAACGCCCCTGTTTGCTCTACCGACCCATGCCTCCTTGGGCTGTTGACGAGGAACTGGAGTATCCGCAAACCCACTCCGATTCGGGCTCGTCGATCTTGGTGAAGCAGACGGGGGAACACAGCATGCGGACCCTTGTTTTTGTCGACCACAAAATACGACCTTTGGACGACAGGCATTTCAAGAAAGTCCATGTCCCGAGGTGGGAAAATTCTTTCCTCGGGCATATGTTCGATTACGGATCCATTTGATGGGATGTTTGCGACTGGAGGTGCAGTAAGGGAGCCAACGGTTCTCTCGGCCGGCGGCGAAAACCCCCGGGTGCCAGGAGGTAGCCTGTTGCCGCTGGCCAGTGTGCGTTGAAGGCCCAACGTCTGCAGGGAAGGCTGATACGGGAAGAGAGGAGCGGGACGCGGCCTGGCCCAGCCCGCTATCAGCACACTGAAATTCTCTACTGAGCCGAGCAGACAGCAACCACCATAGTAAAGGGGGGTCCCTGTTCCCATTGCAGCCCACACGACGGGTCAGCGTTGGTTTGTCTCATCGTTTTGTTCTCCATTGATCACCACAACCAAACGGAATCGAAGGATGTGATAAGTCTCGGTAGTTACTGGTTCTGAGCTTTCGCAACACTTCACAGGTCGACAGGCAAACGACGGCCGTCGTCCACCCTCCAATGTGCCCCACCTCCTGTGCCCCATGGCAGCACAACCGAGCTAGTACGATCGCGCTCTTCTGCATGTCTCACTCTCGTGCCCTCCGAATCGTCGACCGTGTGGCAGGTGGGCGATCCACCCTGGGACAGCCCCTGTCGGCGTGTACAAGGGTTGATGGGATCTTGCGCTACCGCGGGCGCTTGCGAGCTTCATCAGTGGAGATTCCAAGATCCTTAGTTTCGTCTCCCATCACCACAAATTGGCGTAGAACGCTCTATCAAGAGGTGAACGGACACGCTGTGATAATGAGTTCGCTCCCAGGCCACAGATCCTTCGAGTCCGTCTACAACTAGCGCCTGTTTGGCAAGCCAGGCCTCTTGGCACCCTTTGCCTGTGCCGTTGCAGCTGCATACATAGTACAAGAGAAGGATTGCCACCAAAGTCCTACGTCGAATAATGTCTCTTGACTTATAAAACGAGCATTGGGGGTCGCTCACTCCAAAGTGGCCAGGATTCGAATGCAAAGAAGCCCGCAGAAGGAAGAGAGAAAAAGACATGGTACGACGTGCTTGCAGGTTCGTGTAACGAAAGCTGCGCAGTTCATAGGGGGATCTTTTAACACATCGCCGTATAAATCCCAACCAAAAGTTGCAGGACTAGGAATGCCCTGGACAACCCCTGCCCGGGGTCCTTTTCTTCCCAGGGGGTTGGCTTGACGTCCGAGTGAATTTTTTTGATTGGCCGTGCGTCGTTCATTTTCATCCAATGAGATAGCCGTACTTCCTCTCTCCCATCCTTCCCTTAAACTTACCCTAAACTCGGGCCATGGGCAATTAGAGCCCCAGATATGGCTCCTAAATCATTTGAACTCCAGTTCTGAGCCAGTTAAACGCCAATGGGTTCACTACAAATGGCTTTAATCAAGTGCCGGCCCCGGTCTGGAGTTAGCAGCTGCTATGTGCACCGTTGGACATAACAGGTCTAGACAGGAAAGGCGTTGACACGGTCGCATCTCCCCATCGCGAAGGCTAAGGCTGGACCAAGCTATCTTGCGTGAGTTACCGCGACTCTACGTAACCAACGCCGCTCTGTAAGACGCGATAGGTTCGGTGGAAGCTTGAGGCGTTCCTCCAGGATTCACGATATGACGATCATTTGATTATAACCCTAGCAAACATCAAGCCTGCCTGAAGCCAACCCATTCCTTTCAGCGTACCGGGTAGCCGGAAATGGTATTGCGTCGGCTTCCTTCTCTCCTTGCTCATGGATTGGTCCTTGCCATCGATGCTAAGAAGTCAACGAGTTGATACCTCATAACTGGTGGTGAAAGCCATTCACCTTAGCTCGACCCACATCTGGGTCTTAGAATAGAACAGTCTTCGGGATTTGTTTGGCTGGATCGGTTGCCCGACTAGAGCGTCTAAGGTCGGGATACATCACGAGCCGGTCGCAAGGTTCTTGTCTGCAGCACCAATATTCCCCTATTGCGTCTCAGGTAGCTCTCGTCCGCATGCTTGCCCTACTTTCGATTTGGCTCCAGAGACTGATCGCAGCGCCGATCAGGGAGCGCAAGCAGACCGAGCCACAATTCGCATGAACAGTGGCAAGCCGACTGCGTTAGTCTTCCGGGGTTTACGGTGCAGGTCGTTCGACTATGGGAATATTTCCTGCAAGGGCAGCCTCAGTTCGAGCGATTCCTAGGTGCATCTATGACGGTCTCTGGCTGTAGCCCGACCTAGTCGGGTACATCAGCAAGATCAGGTTTCAATTTGTGGCAAAGGCACAGGGTCGAGCGCTGCCGTTGCCGAAATCTTGCCTGCACTGCCACTTCTGGCGTCGTATCTCGCTCGACAAGCGACCTAGGCGACCTCACCGACAAGCGAAAGCGGGTCTTTGTGGCTCAGCTACTCAACGGCTTTCCAAGCGTTCTCTGACGTGGCATGCTCTCCTGCAAGCTTTCAGCGGTCAAGGCTCCAACTTCACTCTTGAAGCATGGAACAGAGAGGCAAATTTTCTCCGACACTTTTTCCACTTTGAGGCCAACAACACAGGAGACCATTGTGAGCCACGAAAGTCATCTAAATCTATATGGGTCCGGGATATGATGTACATGGCTACGGCGGGGACCGGAGCGCCAAGAAAGGCCCTGAACTTTGACAGGGTTCCGACCCGCCTGGGAGCCACGTTCCAATCGTGACCCCATGTTTTGCCGCGAGCTTCAACTCCACATTCAGGTGTGCAGGGGTTTTGACAAGACGATTGGGCCTTGGTCAATTCAACGATCATGGATGTTGAAGGTCTCTGCTTCTTCATCGTCTCGAAGATTTAACGTGACTAAGTCACATGTGGCGTGAGGACTCTATCGGAATGCCCTGCCTAGCTGCCCTCCTTTTCGAAGCTGTCCAACGGCCACCGACTTCCTGCGTGCGCCGTTCCCAAGGAATCGGGTCACGGAATTGTCAACCCTGCTATTGTCCCTCACTCGTCGTCGTCGTCGTCGTCGTCTGGAGGTTGGGGGCAATAACCAGTATCACGGACCATGCGGGATTAGCGCGCTCGATACAATGAGATCAGGCCAACACGCACTCTCGCGGCAATATGATCAGCTAACAATGCACATTCGCATCAAGTACAAGCATACGAAGTATACGGGCGTCTGTCTCCTGGCCCCCAACGACATCATCGTCTTACGCTGTTGAGCGGGTACTGGCGTGAAATCTCGCGTTTATCCCTATCACGTTTTAGCCAAGCTCACACTGCGGCATGCATGTCTTAGACATACAGATCGCCTCGAAAACTCGCCTTAGCTCAGCTTTTCGGTCAGCTGAACAAGGTTGCTCTAAGCAAGCCTCAGTGAGTTGTCAAATCGCTCAGCTTTCTACCTTCATGTTCGCAACTCCCAGGACTGGACAGCCATCGCCAGCCTCTTTCCAGAAAAGTTTTTTCTCGTACCTACAAGTTTCTTTAGTATTTATTTTCCGATAAGCGCGAGCTGCGCCAACTGATCTTTAGGCCGCGGTGGCCTTGCCCCAACGCCATAGCTAGACTCCTTAAGCATTAATTATGGGCCCTTCAGCTTGTCGTGCGACGACGCATCTGGTGTCACCAACTGGATAGTATAACGCGCCGACAAAGCAGACTGTAACTCAAACGGGGGCATAGAGCCATGTGGAGTCGATATCTAGACCTACGTATACCTGAACGAATAGAATCACTGTACCTCGTAGTCTTAATCCCTTCTGCCTACCCTTTAGTTAGCCCCCTCAGCCTTGCTCCGTCTCTCTCTGGCCTTTGTTGCACCCATCCGGCTGGGTCCCGAAGTCTTTCGGGTCCTGCAAGCTGGGTTGACCCTTACAAATGCGAAGTCGTCCCAGGCTATCAGGTCTAGTGGTCAGTCGTCATCCACCCCCACTGGCTCAGCTGTCTAGTCGAGACGCCAGTCATGCCCGAGGACCCTATCACAATCGTAGGGTTTCGCGAGCTCTGACGCATTTGAAAGAGACGTTCAACAAGTACGAATATTAGGCAGTTCTGAACAGTTTGGACGCTGGTGACGCGTGGATGGTACATAGTGACATCCACTGGTTTCAGACGCATGAAGTGGAACACGGTGCTGTCTAGCTCTGGCCTTACAGAGATACAACCAACCCACCTTGAGCTCTTCAGGGTTACCCTGCCAAAGAAATCAAGTCATTCCGAATTGTCGGGAATCCAATTATAAGGGTGGTTTTGTTTGACAAGCCGCATCATCCCTGACAAGTGTTGCATGACCGAGCTCCCCGGAGCAAATAGGACAGAGAGGGGGTTGACACATCGAGACCATTGTATTCCTACCTCCTTGACTCCATGACTTCTTCCCACTTTCTACATGTCTTGTATAATATGACCATCACGAGTCATTCCCGAAAAGCATCGTGAGACATTTAGAAACCCTAACAGGAGCTTCGATTGCTTCCGAAAGGGGCCTTCTCAGCTGGGCGTTGCCGATTGTCTCAGCGCGGCCAGACTGACCGCCCTCATTGTTCCGGGGCATAGAGCTTCGATCTCGATCTCTGGAATCAATTCTCCGCTTCAAAGGTGATAGTCCAGCTGGACTTAAACAAAGCTGGAACAAAAGCCTCAGCATTGTATCATAGTGCACCACCTTGACGCTTCGCAAACTTGCCATGATTTAAGTTCCAAATGCTATCACTATGGAGAAACCTCGAAGGGTGTGTAACGTGATAGTTCTCGTACCCTTCCAGTTCCATGACAGTATCCTCAGCGGTACATGCCATCTTTAGCTCTCAGATGGCGTTACCGTTATGTCTCGTGGTTTTCACCAAACTTAAATGTGGAACAATGTTTCAAACTCGCCCCGTGTGTATTCCCCAGTTGGCAAAGTAGCGGTACTACTCTCTTCCAATTATGGCCAGACTGCAATCGAACAAAAGTACCACCATGTATCTGTGTGTCAGTGGTTCATCATATGGCCTTGACTTCACCTGACTTGTAGCCATTGTGCTGAAACCTTATCTGATTATTTGCCTCCTAATCATCGACGAAAGTTGAGTGGTATATATGTCATGCGACACGACACTCACCGCAGTCGCGGTATGACAACAACCCCAATGGCTCAGTAGAGTATCGTGGAAAGGCATCTCGAAACCTCCATCGCCATGACTACCTCCGATATGCGCACGTCAAATTAGGGCTCTTCTAAGCTCCTCTAAACTATACCAGAGAATAGTACTAACGACTCCTTTTCTCTCTCGGTCTAGATCTATATTTCGAACCTGTTCACTCATCACTGGAAGTATCGTGAGTTGATGGCAAGTTACGTGCGCTTAGCCTCAGGCACCTGCTTTTCCTCATCATGGACGGGCGGCAGCCAGACCATTCGAAAACGCCACTCCGCAGAATCCGCAGCATCGCACGAGAGCCGCAATCCTCGGCGGATATGTCTCGGGACTCTCCATAGGGGCACGTATCAGCAGACCCTTTTTCAGACGGGATACACCGAGACGAAGCTCAGTCTGATGCCGCGAGCTGATGTGGAACCTGTATTTCGAAATAGCATGCAGACACACGTTTTAGGAAACCGGATACTTCCAAGAGCATTTCTCAACCGCGAGATTAAACGTTTACAAACGAGGCATTTACAGATGAAGGTAAGGGATTAAAGAAAGACGAGCAACTAAAACAGAGATTGTCTGTCTTGAGACTCTTCTGTCGTTTCCTCGTATATTTTAGGATGCCTGCGTTACGCAAAGTTGTTTGGGATATAATGCGCAAGGTGCATAAGAGAGGTTGTCCGGTTATCTAGTGCATCCGCGTGCATCCGCGTGCATGGACTTGAGTCAAGGTGGGAAGGATTCCGCGATACCACGATGGTAGGTACTGGCTGTCTCTTGACCGCGGAAACAGCCAAAACGACGAGGTCGTGGTATCATGTCCCATGTAGAGACGTTGCACGAAGGCAGTCTCAAAGTCCTAGTCCAAGCCGTGTCTCTCATCGAGTCAGCTTAGCCCAAGAATATTCTAGGACTGGCCCAGGGAAAGATTCGAGTTGGTCACCTGTGCCGTGCCAAGCGTAGACGATAATGCGGTAGTGGTACCGGAAGCGCGCATTTCAATGAAGGACAGCGAAGTCAACATTGAATACCGATTTGCTCAAGCGTGATGATTCAGTCCGTAAGCTTGAGGAGGAGAATAAGCATTACCACTTTCAAAGAAGTCGGCATTCTATACGGAGGGAACTGGGGATATAATTGATCACTGTTTCCACTCAACGTGTATGGCTGCAGAGTCATGAGCGTACGTTTCGTGACCTTAGTTGCACAAACTGGCCCGGCCAATGGATGTAAGAAAGCTAAGCGCAGGTAATCACGTAGGGCACCTACTTTAATTCTTGTTCACTTAAGCCATAGTGGTAGCCAGGCCATCCGAGTAAATTTGTGTATTCTGAAAGAAAAGTATCTCAGCTAGTCAAACGCCTAGGGAACGGTGTACGTGAGTGTGAGGCCATGCAAGCTGAGTAGAGCTGGCAAACATGGGCACCAAAAGGTTTCAGCAAGGGAGGATTTCCCGTACAAATTTATTCGTACAATCGGCACCGGACTGGTTGGAGATTCAGTCCAGCGAGCAAATTCCTTAGAGGCGTTGAGTATAGTTATAAGATCGTCAAGAATCTTGAATAGTTCTGTATACATTTTAACTACACATTTAACTACACATCAAGTCCCGGTTGATCGTCATTGCGAGACGCGTAGATAGTTCCACCTAGACTCTGTGGCTGCATTAAATTGCGTGTCGTAGGTACGTCATCATATGTCAAGTGATGTCGAAGGACCCACGGATAAAATCCAAGAGTCCTGCGTAAACAACTGCGCGACCTTGACCAGGGAGTCGATCCATCAGTTCATGACACGCCGCACTCTGGAGCAGGCAGGCCGGCGCGTACGGACGCGGCGCCTGCCAGCTACGACCGTCTGATGCACGGCGTCACGATCCTCTAGAACGGGTGTCAGATACCTGTACATGACTTCTAGCCAACACTTGTAACATCAGCATATCATCAACGGTATTGATCTGCCGCAATCCTTTTTTGAGTAAGGGATTGGCGACTTTCAATATGTCCACTAGAGATAGGATCAAGTGTTGAAGCCTCTGAGGGTTTACAGTCACTGAGCCAAAGCCATTACCCAAAAGTATGTGATACCCGTCCGAGCTTAATGAAAGCGGGAGTTTAGATAGTCTAGTCCAAGGCCGCCACGGTCCACGGCCGTCTACACGAGCCGGCGGAACGTCATGACAAGCTACCTGGAGGTGCTGGTCTTGTCTACGGGTTGCGGCTCGTGTTTGTCATCGTGCAACTCGGTCTTGGTCGCCATGCTGTCAACCTTTGACAAGCATGGAAACCATAACTTGAGGCACAGGGAAAACGTTATGTCCTGGCAGTTCATGAACTCCGCTGGATACTAGACCCGGGTACTCGCCAACGGGGGCCCAGTAACAGTATGCAGCGCTATGAAGAGCGGCAGCGGACACAACATGAAGCACTCAAACCGCTCCACCGTCGCTTTTGGACGCGCAAAGGGGCTGTATAGGTGACATGTGAGGTAGAATCCAGCGAAATGGCCCTGTTACGGACGATGCTGCTGAGAACAGGAGAGGAGCAAGGAGCAGATTTGGGATCTTCAATGTCCCTAGCAAACCCTATAGCAAACCCGAATCCGTAGCTCTCGCCTTCCGCGTCCTTCGCAACTCATGTCTTGCCGGAGGCCATTCGACATGGGGGTTTCCTGCAAGTGACGGAACCTCGGAGCGAGCTTGATAGACGGATGTTCTATAGCGACGGCGCACTCCACACTTGCTACCGCTCGCTGTTGTGGTGGTTCAACCGAGACGTCGTCGTCCCTGCAATGATGGATATAGTTTAGAGAGATAATTAATAGATTGAATAATATCCCGGTCTCGTATGCCTCGCAAATCCGATCCTCTCGTCAAGGGATAAAGATACTGCCTGGGTTTCAACCAAGAAAGTGTCGTCTGTCCGTCTAAGCGCCGCCGAAACGCTTCGCGCGAGCCTCGGCCTTGGCCTTCTCGGTCGGATCAGTCAGGATACTGGCCTTCTTTGGGCCGTTCTGTCTGCCCTCGGGTCTGCCGCCGGCGCCTCCTCTGCCATTGCGCTGACCCTGGCCTTGTCCACGGTTGCGACCACCGGCATCGCGGCCTCCACGTCGCCCGTCGGTGCTCTGCCTCTTGGCGCCGCGCTCGCCTTCGCCGCCAGCCTCTCTGCCGCGCTTGCGCTCGCGGCGCTCTGGCAGTGGGGCATCGAGACCCTTCACCACGGCGGCATTGTCGTCGGCGACTCCGAACTTCTTAGCACGCTCGGCCTTTTTCTTCTGCTCCTCGTCCTCATCCACCACGATGCCAAAGCGCTTTGCTCGCTCGGCACGCTTTCGTGCCTCCTCATCTGCGCTCGAGGCAGCCAGGTGCGCCGAGAAGTCTGTTTTCGGCTTTTCCTCTTCCTCCTTCTTCTCCTCGGTCGCCTCTTCAGCTACGGGCTCAGCAGTTGGCGCATCTGTGGAAGGAGCGGCAGCCTCTGGCTTGGGTTCTTCGGCAGCTGGGGCTGGTGCAGGCTCAGCGGCCGGGACAGGCTCGGCAGCCTTGGCCGCTGTGGTGGTAGTGGCGGGGTCGTCATCGTCCCAATCGATCTCATCTTCAGCGGCGGCTTGGACATGTCAGTCTTGGATACAGAGAGCGCTGTCGATAATGGCGTGAAGATGATGGTGGGTTCGGACTAGCGCAAGGCTGCACGTGGTGAAGGCGCGACGGAAAGCCGACTGGACTCACCTGATTTGCTGGGATCTGCCTGGGATTTGTCGTGCTCCTGGAGGCGTGCGATGAGGTCGGCTTTGTTGCCGGCCACAGGAAGCGACTTCTCCTGGAGAAGCTTCTTCAGCTCGGGGACCTTGAGCGAGTTGTAGTCGGTCATGGTGAGAGTGCGGCTTGATGGACGACCGTCAGAGTGGGAGTCGAGAAGAATTTCAGCCGATTTCCGAATTGATATACGGGCGCAGGACTCGGCTGATGAGGAAATGGGATGGAGTGGTGGAAGCAGATGGATGGGAGGAAGTGAAAGGAAATAAAGGCTGGCTGTAGCCTCGATATGACGGAACTGGAAGATGCGATCAATGCCAATCCAGGATGGAACGCGGTCGGCGGCGCGACAACACTGCGCTCCAACTGCAACCAGCCCCAGCCAGTCCCAGCCAGCCCCAGCCAGCCCCAGCCAGGCCCCCAGCAACAGCTCAAGCTCTTCCAAGCTTCCAAGCTACACATCCATTCCAGCTGGGACTTGGTTGGTCCCTGGCGCACGGACCGTAGACACCACAGCTGGACCTAAGTCCAGTACCATGGTATGTATGGTACCTCGCAGGACCAAGCGTTCAATGGATGTGCTTCATACAAGACGGCCGAAGCGACCGCTACAACGCAACAATGGCGCGTTAAGTGCACACTGCATACAAAATCGTATTATGCCATTTACATATACGCAGGCCTTATGACATGACTAACAGACAAGATGCGCAAGCCCTGAGTGATCTTTATTCCCGAGCTCAACTCTCGGTTGTTGGAAACTTTGCGGTACACTTGTGTATAGTCTGAATCCCATTGGTTCACTGGCATACTCGAGAAATCCCATTGGTCCATGAGTGCTAAGGAATTTCGCCACCACAGCCAGGGACGTGTGTCGCCCGAAGGCGCTGAGGCGAGCGAGGTCGCGAGGCTTCCCAGTTCAAGGTCAAGGACATGGGTGGGCTTTCGGATTGATACACTGTGCCAAGTGAATTCTACTGAAAATGACGACGAGCCACGACGCAGTATCTTCCTTACCTGCTCTGCCCCTTCCTGATGGCGTCGGTGAGTGTTACGTTGATTGCACCGCATCGTGCGGCCTTAACTGGCATGTTTTGAAAGCCGGCGAGCCCGGCAATCCGCTGATACTCTTCTGTCATGGGTATCCCGAAGTTGCATTCTCATGGCGCAAAGTTCTGCCCAGTATAGCCGAAGCTGGCTACTACTGTATCGCAATGGACCAGCGGGGGTACGGGCGGACCACTGGCTGGCCCAGAAGATCGTTCAATGAATCGAACCTCAATGACTACCTTTTCACGAACCTGGTCCGCGACTTGGTCTGTCTCGTGTTTGGCCTGGGCTACACTGAAGTCCATAGCATCATTGGTCATGATTTCGGCGCTGTCAGCTCAGCAATGGCGGCACTGATGCGTCCCGATATCTTCAAGTCAACCGTTCAACTAAGCCATCCTCATCACGCCCCGCCCACGCCAGCTTTTGGGGAACAGTCCTCTCAACCGAAAGTTGACATACAGGAGGAACTTGCAAAGTTGGACCCACCACGGAAGCACTACAAGTGGTATAACTCCACGTCTGAGGCGGCATCCGATTGGGAGAACCCAGCTCAAGGGATTGAGGCATATCTTCGAGGCTATTTTCACCTGAAGTCTGCTGACTGGGACAAGAATGACCCCCATCCCCTTGCTAAATGGAGTGGCAAGGAGCTTGCGGTGATGCCTGAGTACTACATCATGCGGAAAGATCGGTCCATGCCGGAAACTGTTGCAGATATGATGAAGGGCGAGGATTCATCCAAAACAGAGACATGGCTGGATGAAGAAGCGCTCCGTGTATATTGCAACGAGTGGAAGCGGACAGGGTTCCAGGCTGCGCTCAATTGGTATCGAGCCCAGAGTGCTGCGACTCCTGAATCTACCCGTGATATGCTTCTTTACGCTGGCCGACGGATAGAAGTCCCATGTGCGTTTATCAGCGGGAAGCAGGACTGGGGTAATTACCAGCAGCCTGGTGCATTCGAGGGCTACAATGACACCAAAACCGTGAAGCAAGGCTGCTTCAAGGGGACAAAGCTCATAGACGGCGCTGGGCATTGGGTACAGCAGGAGCAGCCGGATGCTGTCATAAAGGAAATCCTGGGATTCGTCTGGGCCATATGTTGAGTTCTTTTTACGGGCTGTTCTTTTTTCCGGCTTGGCCACAAAGCTGGTGACGTCTGCGACTCAGAGGATGGATTCGTTGGGCATATCTGAGTTATCGAAGACTCTCAATGGGCACTCGGTTGGCTTCAGTATTACAGAGCATCCCTTATTCAGAATGTATATCGATGGCGATGCAGGCGAGGCTTTCCAAGATTAATCTCACTATCTATCCACTATACAATTCACTTGCGCCTTTGTGATCACTAGCTATGCGGACACTGGCATTTGTCAGATGGATGATGTAGTAAAAGCGCTGAGAAGTTCATAAGGAACCCACAGAACTTGGACTTTCTTTCGCAATCAAGAATCATGGTCAGGGCTGTCAACTTATAACAGAGATCAACCTTCTCCTGGACATATGGGCATCATGAGAATATTACTTGTGACGAACAGAAGTGCTTCGTAGTATACTTAGACAGTTCTGGCGCACCGAGAGACTTCCGGGTTTGAGCAATATCTGCTTACAATCACCGCGAACTGTATATGCTATTGCCCTTGTCAGAGATTGGCTCCGTCTTAGTCAAGAAGCTTCGCCAATTCTCGTCTTTCGAACCCTTATCCGACTCCTTTACGTTGATCTTTTCACATTACCTGCAGATAACGGGCCTCGCGTTACAAGTATCCTCTCGTGGGAATTGCGCCAGCCATTTGTCAATAAGCAATGATCCCAAAGCGTCTCCATTTCCAGTGGCTGATTCACTACAGCCATTTTTAAAAGAATACAGGGTGCTTGTAAAGTCTATTGCAAGCACACCCCATCGATATGGATGAGGCATTGCTGCACTTGACAGTAGCATGGGTTTCCCAAGCTCGCCTCGGTTCCAGTTTCGTCAGTATATCTGGATGGCTGCTTTCACTAGTACTGGACTGCCTCGTTGCTAGAAATCAGACACCAGCTTTAGAGGGATCCGTCAGAAGATCCCACGCCTCAGCCTCATAGACTACCTCCCTCCCCGCCGGAATTCATTTCATAAACATCTGTCAGTGAAAAATTACAGACTGCTGATCACTAGGATAGACTCGATCGATTGGAGTGGCTTTTGAATGGCCCGAATGGGAGGGTCCGGCTACCGGTTGCCCGTTTGGCCAGGGCCCTGCAACGCCCCGCTAGGGCGCTCGAAGTAGGCCTAACTCGGCCCCCCCAAGTCTCCCAGCCTAGCAAGCTTTAGGTACTATGGGAGAACCAGACGGGCCCACCCCAGATCCAGTGGGTCGTGCACAGACACCACTTATCGTTTCTGGGCGCAAAGTAAACAAACGCGGTGCAAACAGGCGAATGAGAGGCGCGTCCGAGACGAACCGCACAGCACTCGTAACATCTCGAGGTTTACTGCTCCCAAACCACGCAATCCCACTTTCCCAACTTCGCGATCCGACTCAGCACTGATCTGTGGACGTGCCTTCTCGACGGTCGACGATTCCACATCCGCCCCGGCGCCGCGACTCTACGAACCCTCACCGAGCAATTATCGCACCAATTGCTTTGGAGTCGACGCCCACAGCGGGACGAACATCGGTGGCGTGGAAATCACGAACTTGATTCCAAGCGGTTCTCTGTCGTCGCACCACGCGCACGACTCCAAGATGGACGACGGCCAGATCCCGGAGCATTACTACACATACGACGGCCGGCTGGCTTCGTTCCAGTCCGTGCAGCCCGTGTCCGGACGCAAGTCCACCGCGAAAAACAAGGGCCCAAAGGCGCTGGCCTGGCCACACAAGCGCATCGAGCCGACGAATGTGAGTGAGCCCGGTGCCGTCTAGACGAGGTGTATGGGATTGTATGCTAACCCGGCCGCGGCCACCCAGCTTGCGCGCGCCGGTTTCTACTTCGATCCTACACCCGAGCAGCCTGACAATGCCGTGTGCTTCCTCTGTCAGAAGCGCATTGGCGGCTGGGAGGACGGCGATGACCCCGTCGAGGAGCATGTGCGCCTATCGCCAGGCTGCGGCTGGGCCATCGTCACCGCTATCGAGTCAAGCCTCGGGGAATATCATCTGGACGACCCGAGTCACCCAGACATGATGGAGGCGAGAAAGGCTACTTTTGGCAGCAGATGGCCGCATGAGGGGAAGCGAGGATGGAAATGCAAGGTCAAGCAGGTACGTTGGTGCTATGCTGCGCTCGGCTGATGTCGCCAGCCGTCGAGACCGCGACTGCTGTGTTTGTTGCGGAGGGTTTTGTGCTTGCTCACCTGCTGACTGACGTGCCCTCCAGATGGTCGATGCTGGCTGGAAGTACACTCCTACCCTCGACTCGGATGATATGGCGACCTGCACCTACTGCCAACTGGCTCTAGACGGCTGGGAGCCTTCCGACAAGCCAATGTGAGAGACCCTTCCAACACGTGCCCCCCAGCTTTACCACCGCTGACCATATCCCGCTTGCAGGAACGAGCATTACAGACGATCCCCCGAGTGCCCCTTTTTCAGACTGATCGACCAGTATCAGCAAGGCCCAACGAAGAAAACTGCCAAGGGCAAGGGAACTAGAACTTCCAAGGCCTCCCGCCTATCCTCTCAGTCCGTCGCAACATTTACATCGGAAGCCCCCTCGACTCTCGAACAGTCTGCCGACCACGACGACAGCGTCATGACCACGACCTCGGTCGTGACGGCCGGCGGCACCAAGCGTGGCCGCGCCAAGAAGGCAACAACAGCAAAGGGCAAGAAAACCAGGGCCAAGAAAGAGGAGCCGGTTGAAATCCTGGAAGACCCGCCCGAGGAAGAGCTGCCGCCGCCCCCTCCGCCCAAGCCAACCAGAGGCCGCAAGCGAGCTAGTGACGCAGTTGACGATTCTGTCTTGACGAATGCTGAGGCGCCTGCACCCAAGAAACGGGCCACGCGAGGCCGCCCTAGTAACACGGTTAACTCGTCTGTGATTGAGCCACAGGGAGAGCAGGATATGGTCGACGATTTCCCTGCACCACCTGCGAAGACAGCGAAGAAGAAAGGCCGGCCCTCGAACACTCGTAAGACGAGGAAGGCCTCGACAGCGTCTACTGCATCATCTGCATCACTCCCCGAACATGAACAGGATCTGCCCAACGACGAAGAGCTGGACCGCCAACTTGAAGCAGACCTCGATAGGCCCTTGTCTGACGACGATATGATTGCTGCGGACTCCGATGCCGAGAGGAAGAAAGCTCCTATCAAGGGCAAGGGCAAGAAGGCTACGTCCAAAAAGACTACCAAGTCCACCGTCGAGCCATTATCAGAAGACCATGCAATGTTTGACCCTACACCCGCTGAGATCAATGATGCGGATGTATCTGCTGAACTAAAGGAGCTTCGAGAGAGGATGGCAGCTGAAGAGCAAATGTCTTTAGAGGTTCCCAAGAAAGGGCGCAAAGCTGGAACACGAAAGGTATCGAAGCAAACAAAGGCTCAAAAGGCCCAAGCAGCCTCCGAAGCGCCGGCGGAGCCAGAGTCAGAGGTTGACGCTGAACCTGCTACGGTCATTGAGGACGCTCCAGCACCGACGGAACCCGTTCACCAGCACGACGTCAGTATTGCTAGCAATGCCACTGTTCTTAAAAGTTCAACAACTGCGGCTCCTGCGCCTAAGAAGCGTGGTCGCCCCAGGAAGAATAGCACTCAACCAAAGCCTCAATCTGCGGTCGAGGAGGTGCCGCCCCAAGAAATACAGACTTCTGAAGTGGACTTTGCCGACCCTCTGCAGAACGCCGCGACTCCTCGACCTAGTATTGCACCCGCAAAGAGAAAGAAGTCTCTGCCGCCACCTCCCGCCCCTGACGACGAGCTTCAAGCCCCATCAACCCCTGGTGCTGCAAGCATCGCACCAGCTCAAGCAGCGAAGCAATCAACAGTCTCACCATCTCAGTCACCTCAGTCCTCTGACGCGGAGAATCAACCCCCTTCATCCAAGCCGTCGAACACTGCATCTTCCACACGTGTGGCTTTAGCTCCCGTCGCTTCAACCCCAGTCCGATCTTCACCATCGAGGCGCAATAATAACTTGCTAGGGGGGTTGCAGAGCAATCAGCCATGGGCTCCTGCGGATATTGAGATGATCTTTGAGGACCTGGACAAGGAAAATGCAGTTCCCTCCTCAGACCTCCTCAAGGGATTGCAGCTGTCTAGCCCGGAGAAGAAGATGACTGTGGAAGAATGGATCTATCACAATGCTGGTCTCGCAGAGCAAAAGCTCAAAATCGAATGCGAGACCATGGTCTCCAAGTTTGAGAGTGAAGGTGGACGGGCCATGAGGTCATTGGAAGAGTTGATTGTGGAATGATTGGTTTTATTTAGAGCAAAACGACACACTTGGGTGCATGGAATTGGCGTTAGGGCAGATAAGGGAAGGATGGCACATGGCTGTGCGGGCGAAACTTGAACATTATCTTTCGGGGTCGAGGTGTTTTGGGCTTACGACTCAGTCACGACCATGATGATAGCTCCCTAGTGTGTTCGGTTCGATGGTTTATATCTCAAAGGGACCCTCAGAATACAAGGATTTGCGGTTTATCCTCTTCTATTTCTTGCAAGCATCCGTGTCCTTGGTCCTCCCACGATAGGCCTCGTCAACCTTCAAATTTAACAGACGCACAGGAAGTTGGCTGCGAAGATGGATATACCCGTGTGGGCTCCTTGCACACCATGTCCACCAAGGGTTCTTACTATTCGGACTCGGTGATCTGGGTCTTTGATAGTGCAATGATATCAAAGGTTCTGTGCCCTACCGCGCTGTAATTCGCAACATAGTTGTCGCCCCAAGGCTGCTGCCACGTATCTATCCGCTCGTCAGCCATGCCGAGCCTAGGACCTCGTCGAATACAGTTCCCGCGTTGGCTGTTGTAGAGAGGAAGGGAGACGCAGCTGTCACTCACCATACGTGCTGCTGGGCTTCGTGTGGGCGAGCCACACCAGCGATGCGTTGAAGCCGCCCAGCAGGTCCTCCTGTGGGTACTCGTGCAGCACGGCCGCGTACTCGGCCGCCGTCACCCCGTAGTCGGCGCCCCGAAAGTCCATCCCGATTCCGTTGCCCGTCACAGCCACCGCCGGCTCCTTGAACTCGTGGATACTACGCTCCGTGTGCAGCGCGATGGCATCCCAGACCAGCTGCCGGCGCTGTGCGTCCCATGCGGCGGCGTGTCCCTTCGGGCCTGAGCCCGAGGCGGTAGTGGTGAAGTTAGCCACAAAGCTCGTCGCGGCAAAGGCTCCATCCACCTCGAACCGCCGGTCCGCGCTCAGGAACGGCGAGCTCGGCGAGAGGCCCAGGTCGTGCAGTAGTACCGACACGGCGTGCACCTCGGGGTCCACCGACGCGGCCAGCGTCTCGTTGTGCGTCAGGATCAGGGTCCCGAAGAGCCAGCATCGCATAATGTGCTTGTACAGGTAGGGCTCGCTGTACATGCGGGCTAACCCGTGTGCGGCTTGGACGCTGTTGGGCATCATTAGTTCAGGGGTGGTACTCCTAGGTGAGGCGGAGAAGAGGGAGATGTGACATATCACTTGGGGACATCGAGGCGTTGGATATCTGGGCCTTACATAGGGGTGTCAACCACGGAGATGCCTGCAATTGTGCGCTTTGGCAGATCCGTGGTGTTTGCGTGCCTTGGGAGAGCGGCGGCTGAAGCAGTGGATGGGGCAAGGAGAACCCCTTGGAGAATAAGGAGACAGACGGTCGTGATCTTCATGGTTAACAGCGGAGGTTGTTTTCGACGAATACTGCCTTGAGATTCGGGTGGTCCATCGAAGTCCTGTTCGTTGATCAACTACAGCACGTCTTCTACAACATTTATATATCTCGAGACCCCAACGCTTCTGCCATCATGGACTAGATTGGTCATCTTAGTGATCTCTCCTATTCGTACCGATTACAAATGAGCATATGCTCACCGTAGTAATCGATGCGGGTTTCCTGAGAAATTTCCTTGATATCTGGTAATGGTCCCGCAGCTCTTAGAAGGTTTGCTGACAAACTGGCTCACCTATACTCGACAACCTCCGAAACGCATCGGAGCCAAGCAATGGAGCCTCGTAAAGCCCGCCCGGACCAGGGACAGACATTTCGGTATGGAAATTTGTCTGTAGTTGTCGTAGTTGCGCTTCTACGTTTTATGAAAGGCTATATTTATGCACATAAAGGCGGAAACGACTGTTCGCTTCGCAAGAGCCCTCTTCGTAGTATAGATCATTTGTCACGTAGATGCGTTATTATTGATGATTCCATATTCATGTACGTAGTCCCTACTGTCTGAAGTTCTCTAGTGAGACTGGAAATCGCGATGAGATGTATATTCCAGCATTAGAGCTATTGCGCTGTCAGATTCTGCCAGATAGTCGGCGTGCAATACCCCGTGTACTGTGTACACCATCAACTTTACATCCTTGTCAAGCAGGAGGCATTGTCCAGAAGACCGAAACAGGAAACCTCGAAGGGTACAGTCTGGAAGTCACGTAAATTCAATGTTTATTGGACGTGCAGGTACTCAGCAGACGACTAGATATACGTAAGGATCATTGCGTACGCCGATATTGAAAGGACGCGTCGAGTTCACCAGGTTCGCATCGAGCAGAAACTGGTCGAGCCTCTGACTTAGCAGTGGGGTCTACACATGAACCCAGCTGCCACCCATTCGAGCGTGCCCCTCTACCGCTCCCGTCTCAGCGATCTACTCAAGGATAGAAAAGCCTTGAATGTAGACGACCAGCAGTTCTTAAGGGTCGACGGGACGATCAATCATATCTGCCGCTCGCTTTTCTGAGTCATGGAGAACGCGCGCTTAGAGCCAAATCCATTGGACGAGGGCGCCTGGAGCTGAAACGGGGCATCGGCAGGACCCACCGCCGCCCAGGATTCAGGCAGGGGGTCTAAGCAAATCACCAGAAGTATCATCGTGAATTTCGGTTTCGAGCTGTTACTCGTGGCGCTGCCAAAAAGCACACTGAGTGCATGGGTGTTTAACGGGCTTGCGGGAGATTTTCTGTATGGGTGGCATCGATCATTCATCGACCCATGTCTTTAGCGGGGCGTGAGGTTCATCAGGTATCAACCCAGCCGCCGCCATGTCTGCCTACCTTCCATACTGAACTTGAACTTACCGTTCTTTTTTTCACTCTGCATCTACGTTGCGCTCAAATACATCATCATTTATCTTTAATCATACCTCGGTCTGCTGCCGGTTTTGGCGGCTGTTCGGTTCGCGGGCAGGTTCCTGGTCCTATCTGACTGGGATTGCAGTGGCACCATCACGATTGTTGCCGTGACTTGGGCAATACTCATTCTGACTCCCAGAGGCGCTCTTGGATTGTTGCGAACGACCCATTGTTGGCTTCTGTTCACCTTCTCTTTTCCACTTAATAATTTGCATTTTAAAAGCGTTCGGCATGACTCTTTCGTCTTCAATTGCATAGATTATCATTCTCACACCGAGCATCTCTACATCCCAGCCATCTTTGACAATCACTGCTTGCGATCGACAGTCAGAACGAATTACCCTAGAATCTTTCATTCCATCGCTCCGCAAATAATATCAGCATTCTAGAAGCACGACAAGAATCCGCGGCCCAGACCGTATTTGGAATACCTAACAATCATGCGTCTCACTATCATCCTTATCTCTGCGTTGTGTGGTGTCGACGCCGCATGGCTTCGATGGACAGAGGACTCGAACCCTTCATGGAAGCCTCCACGAGAGACAGCGTCCGCTACCTTGGATGGAGCATCGGGGTGGACGCCAAGACCAACACAGGCTCCAGGTGTAAAGTCGGAGGGCGAGGCCGTATTGGAGCTGCTAAGACGGGATACCTTCACCACTACCAATTGGACGAACTCGGAAACCTGCGGCTGGGTCTCAGGGTCATCTTGTGAGCATATTGTCTTGTCTACTCACGGTTCCGGGCGCAGCTAATCCATCATAGCCTATCCATGGACGTGTGGAAACGGTGCGTCCTGCGCAACCAATTCCGAGCACGCTGTTGCTTGCGTCTCAGGTGACTATCAGCCTTTCTACGTTTCTTGCTTCGACTTTGAAGCAAGCCAAGCCGGTTCTTGCGATAGTCTGGGATCAGCCACTGGATGCTGGTAAGCCCACTGATTTATACGAGTCATAGCGAGATGCTAACAGATTGAAGTCAATCCTCCCAGAACCCAGCATGTGTGACTTACATCTGGACTGGGCTGCCTGTCCGGTCCATGTTTCGCTGCGGTACATCTACGGCTGTTACATCTATACTGGACGAACCACAGTTTGTTATAGATGCTTCAATATCTGCTTCACGTTCATCACAGTCAGCTGCTAGTGCATCATCAGAATCAGCAGCGAGGGAATCTTCGCTGGCCTCCGAAGCTTCGAAGTCCTTGGGGGCTTCTGGAACAGGTGCCGGCGCAGCAGCGACGTCCGATCCGCTCAAAACGTCTCCAACTACCAGTTCGACAACCAACACCACCAACGTAGGCGCCATCGTTGGGGCTGTGGTAGGGAGCTTGCTCGGCCTTCTCCTTCTGCTGCTCTTGCTGTACTGTTGCTGTTGCCGGAGGAGGAACAAGACGAAGAAGAACACATACAATCTGTCTTGGAAGAAGAAGAACAACGAGAAGACGACCGTTTATGGCAGTCGCAGAGAGGAGCGGAGCGAGGAACGCAAGAAGCATGGCCGTAAAGGAAGCGGAGAGAAACGCCAGAAGCCAAGGCGCAGAGACGACGGGGAGGCATACGCTCCCGCTGAGAGGGAATATTACAGCAAGTCCTATCCGGATCCGCCAACGGCAGCCCACCTCCATGGTGGTGGCACGACCGTCTACGCACCGCAGTATCATTTCCACCTTGGCGGCAACTCCGATGTGGAGTCGCGGGGTGACAGCATTGAGAAATAGAGGCTACTCAGATTATGACATAGTCAGCTTCATCCAAAGAGAAGGAGGTGGCTGACGCGCTTGGCTTATCATGAGGGCTGGTTATTCAGTTGGGTATCTATGCTTTCTCGTTCCGACTATAGATAAAGGAAAACTCCTTGCGTTACATGACTTACGCCAGGCTAACGTGCTGCTGTTTCTCGTCAACTGGGCTGCCCGCCTCTTTCTGCAGCGCATCTTCAGCTCGGCCCTTGAGCGCGCTCTGTAGCCACTTGAACGCATCGACTATCCCGTCGCCAGTGATAGCATCGGTCTCAACAAATTTCTACAAAACCGGTCAGCTTCCATGACCAAACAAGTACATCAGGGTGTTGTCTCACATAATGCCACTGGTCAAGGCTCTTGCCGATATGGTGCTCGACTTCCCAACATGAGATTGGCTTATGTAGTGTAGGTTGTGAGTGGGGGTTTCGTTGCAGACGCTGCTTGTTGACCAGAATCAGGAGCGGTGCGCCATGCTTGAGCCCTTCTGGAGCCAGGACAATGCGGAGCAACTCTTCCTCAGCCTCGGGAAGTCGATCGCGGTCCCAACAATCGATAATCATAACTGCTGCATCACAAGCCTGAAAAAATCGCCTCTCTAGCTTCATGTGAAACTTTCTGCGCCCACCACCAATGTCCATGCCGTAGAACAAAGTACTGCCGCATCTGACACCCTCAACGTGGAGGCCGATAAGTGGGATGGCGGCCACGATGTTGGTTCCGGAGCTCTGAGACATGTACTTTTCCAACAGAGTCGTCTTGCCGGCCGCATCTAGGCCTGTAAGCATTATTCCACACGACATCCGGTCAAACAAACGTGACACCGGCGTTGCGGATGTCCACAGGCCATGGGCAATCAGTGTATCACGAATCTGACCGATCACGCTTCTCGACCGGGTCAAGTCTTGTATCGTAGCCAGGCTGTTTTTCATCAACTCGTCCAATTGCGTCATTTTGAAATGAGTTGAGTCGATTTCAACCTAAGTGTTGACAACTTGACGTCGGTAACCTGCTGAACTAGTAAGTTAAAGTGCTGCCTACCTACCTAGGTACTGTTAAGTGTCTTGGTGGTGGGGCTGAGCAAGCGGATTACTGTGGCTACGAGTGCTTGGCTTTGCGGCACAATGTGAACGAGTTTGGGATCTCACTGATTCATGGGAAGATCTCATTTCAGCCCAAATGTCTTGGGTGAAGTCACTCGTTCTGCGAACTGTTCGGATAACTTCAACCGCAAGCCGTATCTGCTCGGGGGTATTGGAATTGGGGAACAAATTTCATATATACTGCTCGGAAGAATATGTACAAGATGCCTCTCACTTGCCAACAACTCCTCAGCTTGGGCATCCAGACGCAGGGTAGTTGCACGTCTGGTTACCTCCAGTAATCTTCACATTTTCGTAAGAGAAGTTGCTGCAGCTACCATCGCCGCAGAGAATATAGTAGTTGTAGGCATCCTCACCCGTAACCGTTCCCTTCACATCAATGAATTTGATGTTCGCAATCTTAACGCCGTTGGTAGGCTCGCCGGTCGGGCCGCCATTCACTGTTAGAGTGAGAGTCAGTATTTTCCTCTTTTGGTCCGTCTGTAGGGGGGTGGCTCCCAAGACGCTAGTCACTGAAGCTTTGGAATTGTTGAAAAGAGCAGGAATTGAGTTCCAGATGTACGTACAATAGTCCTGTTGGATGTCAAGCCCATAATCGGTAATACCTAGAGCATTATTATCAAGTGTCAGTAA